CCGTCCTCGCCCCCCCCCCCTCAACCTCGATCCTCAGGGTCTCGATCCTCAACCCTCAAAGCGCCACCAGCCTCGCCCCCCTCACTCAGCCTCCGATCTCCACCCTCCGATCTCCAATCCCCCATGTAAGATCCCAAGCAAGCATGTAAGCAAGCACAGGGAATGTGTTGTGCGGTTCGAGACGTGGCCCTCTGCGTATATTATACAATGCCAATATGTAATTACGTTTGGTGTATGCATGGCGTGTGTGGATGCGAGGGCTGGTATGCATGGTATGCATGTACGTTGGCCGTCTGCGTAGACATGCATCCGATGCGTGTTTGCATAGTGCGGCGGTATGTGCGTTGCATAATTATCGTCGCTGCTCTTGCACGCCCGGTCCCGCACGTCTATCCATCTCTGTTGTTCGTGCTCGTCTACACTGCGTTCGTGGTGGGGGAGGAGGAGGGGTACATCTTCATCTGCATTTTCGGCGTAGACTTGGACTCGGGCTTGGATTTCGTCTGTCCTGTCTCACGCCTGGCTGGTGTTCTATTCTTCTCTACTCTATTCTATTCTATCCTATTCTATTCTATTCAATTGCATCTACGCCTGGCTGCTGCTCCATTCTATTCTACGCGTGCCTACTAACAGCGGTGCCAAAGGACAGACAACAAAGGTAGTAAGCAACTAGGCGACGAAAGAGCAAGGGCTTGGTATGGTGAGGCTCCATAGATTGCTAGATGTCTAGAGTGCTTGGGCTTGGGCTTGGGGATTAGGGAAAGGTGTGGAGAACTAAGGGACGGGGAAGGGGCTTGGAACTAGGAGATGTAGAATGGAAAAGGGACGGACAAAGGCAATGATGCACGCTGCACAGTGTGGCGAAAGAGGGTTCCTTTGTTGCTGCTCGCTGCTGCTGCTACGGATTGGTGGGGTGTGGGATACAGACGTAGGTGCGAATGCAGGTTCGAGGTTCGAGGTTCGAGGTTTGGAGGGACAAAGGGACAAAGGATCGAGTGGAGCGGAGGCGACATTCTTTTTGGCGATCTCAGGGTCTTTTTGCCAGGTTTGCTTGATGGCTCGATGGGGGCTCGTGCTTGCTTGATTGATTGATTGATTGATGATTGACGATCCTGATACTGATCCTGATGCTGATCCTGGAAGATAGAAGACGAGGCGAGCAGCAGGGCGATCCGTGGGACTGAGTTTGGAGCTGGGGATGATGATTTAGAGCCGGGAGTGTTGGTATGTGTGTGTATGTTCGGTGTCTGGAACGGGAGATGTTGGTTGCAATGGATAAAAGTGGGTGTGTATACTTAAATATGGAGCAGCTGCAACCAGAGTTCAACATGGAGCACGATCAGCGCGATCTTCACCACCATCACCATCAATCATCAATCGCTATCAAACTCCATATTCACCCTCTCAGACCGCCCGGCCGAGACAGATCCGTACAAGAGCACTTACGGAACCCTTCTAATCCAGCAGGGGGAAAACCAACAAGAAACGGCCACAGTCAGAGAGTCAAAGAGTGCTTGTTTTCGGACGGCACGCGCGTCTATCGGAGGATATATGACTACTACGACTACGACTACTACTAACCTTGGAAAAGGCTGTCAGCCATCCCACCGTACGCGCACCAGTGGTGGTGGAGGGTTCTCCACAACTTACTGCACGCACTCATTGCGGACATGATATTTACCATCATCCTTCGTGGCGCACTGTGCGTGTGTGTGTGTGTGGGTTCTAATCATCGTTGCTGATATTGATAGACGGCGGCGGCGGCGTTTGGCGGGGCAGACAGACAGACAGACGGACAGTTGTTGGCGCCTAGATTAATACGACTCCTGTCACTCCACGGACCTAACGAAACCCTGGGTACTACAAGTCCCAGATCCAGTCCCAGTCCCAGTCCCAGTCCGCGACCTGGCTACCAACTCACCCATACTCTGTAGCTTCCGTTGCCGCTCGGCGAGCCGTACGGTTTCAAGGTTGGCGGGTGTGAGGTGTTTGGGACTGGGCGGTTAGATAAGTACCACCACCTACCTAAGTCCTGTAAGGGAGGGGTAGTTCTGATAGTGCGGTGCCCCATGTACCCACTGCCAAGAATCGATCAGCGGTTCAGTCCCGAGAAGGGGGGGGAAACCAAAGGTGGGGCTCGAGCAGAGAGAGAGAGGCGCAATCTTGTCAGGGTGTGCTTATTGACGCCGACGCCGTCGTCTGCTGGACAAGACTGCCAATTCTGTCTAGTGTTCGCCCAGTTTTGGACACAACACAACGGTGCGTGTGGTGGTTGCGCAATTTCGACAATCTTCTTTGTGTGTGTGCCTCGAATGAAGTAGTATGTCGTCAACCGAGTTGGGATCTGAAGTGTATAGCACCCGTGGTTGGTGGTGGTGGTGGTGGTCGTCGTCGTCGTCTTATCAGATCCTGCCGCCAACCCTGCATAGCGTCGATTGGCGCTGGACCCTGACGTTCCCATGGCGCGGATGGCGAAACCCCCAACAAAAAAATTCTCGCAGATGGGCGCTCAGGATGCGAGCGAAGCTTGCAGCGAAGCCATGTATGAGGCGGTAGGTGGTCGAGCCCTGTCTGATGTTGCAACGCAGCACAACAGCACCATCACCATCACCATCACCATAACCATGGCTAGTATCGGCGTGCAACTTCATCAACATCAACTAAGCTCCGTGATCCTGGAGGAGAATGCAGTGTACCCACCACACTACACGGACTGATATGAGAAAACATCATGCCAGGGAATGCTCCCTTTATTGTACGTCTACACTGCCGTGACTGTGGAGCTATCGAGGCGTAGTTGGAACGGAGTGCAGTAGTCGACGGCCTGGACAGGAGCAGATGTCGAGCTCTCGATATTGTAGACCCACACACCTTGATGCTATCGCGAGACCCTGACCAGGGATGTGTGCGCTAGCGTGCTGCAGGACATGCGTCCTGGTCTTGGTGTTGATGCGCCATGCATTGCTCCTGCAAGTGCGTGCAATTTTCGAGAGCATGGCCGCTTCGGGGCCGCGCAAAGATGTATGATTGCGAATCTGCCGTCAACGGCGCTTGTTGACGATTGTCGCCATGGAGCCACATTTGTCGCCGTAGAGCCACAATGCCGAGAGCGACCGTTGCGTCGTACATGCCCGGCAACGGCTGCGATGACTTCGGAACGAGCGTTGCACGGAGCGGTGACACCAGAACGGTCTCTGGACTGCAATGTGCATAGACCCTTGTGCATCGCTGTCTCGACTAGCATGATGTGAGAGGACTCGCCTCGCAGTCGCAGCCCAACATGTGCGACGTCCAGTATCGCCGTGTCGGACTTCGCTCGAACCGCGATAATATCCCACGACGCTGTGTGAACGAGTCTATACTGTGGACTCGGCCTCGGACTTCATCTCAGCAGACCCTGAGGGACTGCTGTTGCGGGGAACCTGGTGTAATTACTGTATGACTTTCCTCGGACGAACAAGAACATCTCCGTGCCAGCAGCGTCCGGAAGAGTCCCTTGTTGTCTGTAGAGAAAGAAGTACAGCATGATCTGACGTGAGTGGGGTGATGCTTGCTCTATCTCTCTCCCAGGCAGTTGTGGGAGGCTCTGACCGCACTACGCAAATGTGCAGCTGAACCCTGCTGATTGAAGGGATACTTCGCGTCGAGCTGGATGGCGCGGGTGAGGTGATTGGCGAGTGAGTTTACTTGGAGATACGGCGCGCGCGACACTTGTATTCCTACATCATTTCAGTGCTTGCACTCCCGCTCAGACGTCCAGTTTCACACAAATGATGACATCGGTATCAAAAACGCTCGCAGTGACCTTATGCAGGGAGATGTTGGACATCAGACGCTGGAGGCATGGTCGGTGAACCTCTGGACGGGAGAAATGTAAAATTCACAATCACGTGGAATCAATCTCGCACGTGACTAGTCCTGCTGAGTAATGGCGATTCTATCAGCCACTGCCAAGTGCGTGCACAGACCACTCGACTTTCTGAAGCTCGAGCTCTCAAACAACATCATGAGGATCATCGTCATCTCCATGTTCACGAGAGACTTCATTCCTAACCGTTGCCTTTCAATCACAAAACCCAGAACCCAGGTTAGCCCGGACCTTCAACTCCATCGCATCGATCACCTTTGCTAATCCCTCGTCCAGGCCACACTCTCTTTACCATCATCACCACCATGGCCCGATCAAGAGCACTGCTACGCGCAGCACTCTCCCTCCACGCACCACGACCCATCCTGTCTCGCACCCCCCGAGCCCTCCGCCTACACTCCTTGCAGCCCTCCCTACACTTTGGACGACGCCTCCAGTCCACATCCGCATCACCGTCAACATCAACATCAACCTCAACATCCACAACACCCACAACACCCACATCACCCACAGCACCCCAACCCCCACCCCACCTCTCGCCCGGTGAACTGCACATTTACAACAAAGTCCAGCGCGCACTCGACCCCGCCAAGCTCGAAGTTCAGGACATCTCTGGCGGCTGCGGCTCCATGTACGCGCTCGAGATTGAATCCGCGCGCTTCGCCGGCCTGCCAGTGATGAAGCAGCACAGGCTTGTGAATGCGGTGTTGGCCGAGGAGATCAAGTCGTGGCATGGCGTGCAGTTGAGGACGAGGGCGCCGTGAAAGTTTCCCCCCCTCCTACCAATCTTTGGTGCTGACTGGTGTTTCTTCCTTGGGGGCGGGGGTGACGTCGTCGGTGGATCGCGCCGTCTGTATAGGAATAGGAATTGCGCTTTTGGTTGAATGTAGTGGTGGAGCCGTATATAGGACAAGGCTCGAGATAGATGGTTAGTGTCGCCGGGACAAGAGTCGTAGGAAGGGCATGGCGAGACAGAGAGTATCGAAGGGTTTGGATGAGGGGACATGCGAGCCACTGTGTAAAGCAGCAGCAGCAAACAACAGAACTGTGTCAGTACTTGGAGAAATGGTGGAGTGTGCATCGATAGGTACTATGTGCAGCGATTCTACACACGATTACAGAAGATCGGAGCGCGACTTACGGCCGCAATCGCATACTCTCTGTCAGAACGTATCAGTCTCCGCTCTTGGATAGAATGTATCAACACGAGTCAACGTCATTTCACACTGCACACACCAATAAATCGTATCTGCATATGTGCTTTGTATCATCACCTTGCGGCTCAAGGCGAGCCACTACCATATCTTGTCGTCCTTCCCTCAAGACGACCGTCTCCCATGACCACCGTTGCCTCCTTTCCAGTACAAGATTTGGAGACAGGCGAACGGTCGAGAAAATAATCAGATAAAGAACGCCAACATGTTTCTCCATTCCTCTGTCCTGCATGTTTCCCATTTCATGCGAGGCACGTTACATGTGCACCAGTGCTATGCATTCTCGTCGTACGGCTCACTCAGCATTCGAGATTATGACGTCGTAAGATGTTCCAAGTGAGCCATTAGAACGGCTGGCTGGATCTAGAAAATGAAACCGGAACGCCACGCTAAGAAACTCGCCCCTCTGCATGCATCCATGCAGCCTGGGCGATGCCGAAGTGACCATGGGAGTCTTTTTTGTACATAAGTGTAACCAGGTATGGTTTGCGTCCAAGAGTCTATTCGAGGAGAGAGATTATGGTATATCATCTGCAAAGTCAGACTCGCTGCCGAAATCAGAGTTTTCGAAGGCTTCTGTTATATGTGTTAGATTGTATGTCTTCTTGCTTGCCGCACTTCATATATGCTCAACACTGACCATTGCCAGAAACTAAGGTGTCGTCTTCTTCGACTGGCCATACCGCCAGGATCTGATCGATTTCTACTGGTTCGTCAGTGGCTACCATGCGAAAAGAAAATTGGGAAGGAGAGGGTTGACGAAAGGGGGAGCGCTTACGATTTTGCCATTGGAAGATTGAGTTTCGATCGTCTACTTCCTGGTACTGCTCGGCATCAGGCTCGTCCGAGCCAGCAAGGCTGTCGAGAGTCTCTATACATTCGCTCAAGGTCTGCTGAAATTCATACATTGCATTCCGCGAAGCGCCGTTTCGCGTCTCGAGGCCGAGTTTGCGGATCAACACTCTGATCAAATCTCGGAGGGCCTTGTATTTGAGCTCGTTTGATCTCCTGGTTCGTTCAGAGATGGGTATATTGAAGATCACGCTCAGAAGTGTTCGAGCGCGCTTTCGAACCCATTCTTCGTCATGAAGTAGGAAGCCAGGGCCCCAGAGCGGAATCAGCCGGATCACGCGCTGATAGAAGAAGTCTGGATCGGTGTCATCGTACAATCGCTCATTTTGGATCTCGAGAAGATCCGCGAAAAATGAGACATAGGCCATGCCAACACACGGTTGCTGCGTTGAGACACTCTCTGCCACAAGTCTCATCAATTCGTTGATCAGGTTAGAGCGGTGGCAGCTCTGACAGTACCAGACCGCAGCTCTGATATATGGCTCAGAGAAGGGCCAGTTGAGATCGCAGACATTGACAAGAATGGACTTGTGCAGATGATCAAGCCTGCCGAAAGGGGGATGGGCCTCCAAGAACATGGAGAGGAGTTTGCCGGGAGCGAAATCCGTTTGGTCGCGCTCCTTTGATCTATCCCACAAATCCAGCGCTTTGCCCAGGACCGTAAGCACGCTATCATCATCATGGTAGTGACTCAGGTGGGTGAGTTCTGATTTCGAAAGAGGGAATCGCATAGTCGATGAGTCGTACGAGGCTATGTCTCGCTCCTTGTCTGGTATGATGGCGGCTCGGAGATTAATCGCAGTGAGAAGTTCGTGGACCAGCTCAATCAGCTTGTTGTAAATATTGCGCTTCTTCTCCAGAACAGTGGCGATCCCGTCCCAACGTTGCTGTGCTCTTTTGCTCACGCTACCAGCCAGGATCTCCAGGCCGAGAAGGAGGACACCTTCAGTAAGGATCAAAGCTCTCTCACCGAAACGATCTTCTCCAACACACAGTTCGAGAATCGTTCCAAAGATGTCGTCCCAGCCCCGTGTACTGTTCAACAGCTGGTAGTGAATGATATTGACAAGCCTGGCAACAACATTGCCTATCAGACCGACATTTTCGATTTTGAGATATCCGTCACTGAATTTGAGGCCGTATAAGTCACGGTCTTGCGTGCGCAAGATCTTCAAGGCTTCAAGAAGGAGCAGACGTGTTTTCGTACGAACTTTCGGATAAGGGCATCTGAACAACAAGTCATGTATGGTGTTCTCGTAGACCAATGCCTGGAGCAGATTGGCGCAGCACCTGATACAGCCATTGATAGACTCTCGGAGAAGCTTGCCGATTTCGTCCAGTTCTGGGAGATCCCTGTTCCTGGCAACAACTTGTCTGACGTACTGAATGGTGACAAACAAGGCAGCCTTCTCCATCCCATGATTCTCCGAGCACCCGCCGGCGTATAGAACGTTTCGCTGATGATGGAACAATTGTTTGATAAATTTTGCGTGATTAGGGTCGAACACGCCATGGATTCGCACGACACTCTCATTGTCTGCAGCAATATCTTCCTCGAGCGTAGGGGGTATTGGGACTTTTTGTGGACCACTGGCCGAAGCCCGCAGTGCTTTCTGTTCAGCAACGATGGTGCTTGTGCGTTGGTAGAATAGCATGTAAGCACTGAATTGCTTGCATCGAGGCCCGGACTGATTCTGTGTGTAGGCCTCTTCAGAAAATCCACCAAATCCCATGGATGATATCATTTGCGCTTGCAACTCCGTGACATCCCTATCATTAAATTCCAGCCAGGTCGGCGGGCCAGAAGACCCAGAAGGACGCTCTCGGATTAAGGAATAATAGTGGCCACCTTCCGCCGTGCCTTGGTGAATCAGGACTCCCACGAGCTCAAAAACATCGGGCGTTGTCGGTACATCAGGATGCGACAGATGCTTGACATTGTAAGGGCTGACATCAAGCTTGTCGGGGAACTCAAAGAGATCATCGATCTTGGCCCTGGTCATGTTTGTCAAGTCGAAGTCAAATCGCTTCAGGTGCAGGATGAGATTGTCTGGAACTTCCTTGAGACAGGTTCTTTTGACAGCGTCAACGAACTTGCCACCGCACTTTTCACACTTGTATTTGTTGTCGCCTTCCATGACGTCGCCTTGGACGTAAGATTGTAGGCTGTCCATCAAGTTTGGCTTCCCTTTGACGTCGCATTGAACAACAAAGAAGCTTTCTTCTCTTTCTGATACGTGCTCGCACTCGTGTGACTTGATTTGAGTTACGGTCTTGCCGCCATAGAAAGATCGGAAGTGCTGTTTCGCATTATTGGAAAGCATTTGTTGCTCCCATTGATCAAACAAGAGGTTATAAAACTCGTCTGCGTCCATCTGGACGGTGATGTCAATTGATTCACCATCGATGCCACGGACACACGCTGCGAAGTCCCTTGGGTCTGCTGCTTTCGCATAGCTGTTTTGTAAGTGAGCAAAGAGCTTTTGAGTCTCAGCGAGCAGGCGCTGCGAGCCTGTGGATTCGGTGATATGCATGTTGAGCATGAATCTGCGAAATTCTCGATTCATGAAAAGCTGAGTCATAAGAGAGTTCATGTAACATATGTTGCGAGGGTTGTAGACCCCCACGTAGCCTGTGCATGAGCGAATCTCATCGTCCCGGTCGAACATGTAGCTTCTCCTATCCAGAACGGGCTCCGAATCAAGGGTATGAGGTAGTAAATCGGTATAGATTTGTTCGCATGCTTCGGAGTCTTCACAAAGTATTAGAATCAAGTCATACAGCCCTTTCCGCGTCTCCGTATCCATAACAGGCAACCTGTAGGTTTCTAACACGTCGAAACCATGACGGATGAACAGAAACTTGCTGAACAGCTGATCGATCAAATCATGGGCCTCCAGTGGCTTTTTGTACGACTTTAAAGAAAGCGCACACGCTGAAAGTAGCTTCGTATACCCAGCAACGATATGATCAACCTCGAACCTTCCGACTATCTCTTTATGTTCGTAATTGAGCAGACGAAGTGACCACTTTTCAAACAGTGACTTGAGCTCTGCCTCGTCCCGAGTCTGCTCATCGTATTTTCGGAAGACAATATCTGCGATCATGAATAGCTGACCACTTTGCTTAGGATACACCTCGCTGTCTGAGACAATACCGGATAAAGTCTGCCAGATCACCTTGATTATCTCCGACGTTGATATCGATTGGGCTACGGAGGACTCGGTGCACACACTTTCGATGGCCCTCCCACACTCCATTCGTACAGCGATCCGCGTATCTTCCAATAGCAGCTGCCGCAAAAGAGCCGAGATGTTTGCGGCATCCGTAAATGTGTTCCAGACTTTGATGCTGTGCAAGCAAGCCTCCAAGATTGTACTGAGACACCAGCATACAAGCCTGACCTCAGTTGGCAGGGAAAGTGCGGACTTGATCAACTCAACCAAACCTGCCACGAACGCGGCTTCATCACCGAAATAATCCACTGGCTCGCCATCAAACGGCCGTTGCTTCATGAACATAAGAGTCGTTTCGAGGAATAAAGCCACTGTGGACGGGGCACCTTGTTGCTTGAATGTGCGGTCGATGAGTGGGTTGTGGACCAGGGTGTGGCTTAGTATCTTGATCGTAGCCTTGACGTAGTCTTTTTCGACCGTGCCTTGCTTAAATTGAGACTGCAAGCAAGTACCCAGAGCACGGCAATTGTATCTGGCAGCAAATGGTCTAGCGGCCGGAAAAATCTGAGCCGCGTCATTATGCCCGTGCGGGTCTACAATGACCACAGATTCAACAGCGGCAAACTGACTCAGAAAGGACGATGTAGATTCACTGACAAAGTCGTCGCTGTCCAAGTACTGATACAAATCCTCGAAATGTGCCATAGTCGTTTGCTCAAACTTCGACAGACCGGAGCTGCTATGTGGTTGGACCACATCTGGTTGACTTCTGATTAACAGCCAGTCGGTGAGGCCTTGCATCTCCTTGATGGTCTTGGAGGCTTGTATATCGAGATCAAGATCTGTGCCTCGGGCTATCACTCTGAAACACGAAAGTCCGGTGATTTGGGTCAAGCGATCTTTCAGATTTCGCAGAGTATCGTCTCCTCCAATGGTCAATCGTTTGATTGGGCTTTCCTGGCCGTGGAATACTTGGAATTGAATAGTGACGGGATCTCCCGTGATGGGCAAATCGGGTGTGATAGGTCGCTGTTCAGACGCGGCGGGCCGTGGATAGAATTCTGATTTCAGTCGTAACATCGACACGAATGTACCCATAAATAGCAGCGTCCGCGTGAAAGTCAGCTCGTGGCTGTGAAGATCAGTGCGTTGGTGCGGGGAGTCCACAAGCATGCTCTCTCCTTTTTCTCTGATAGCAGCAAAGGCCGGACCTAGACGATCCAAACACTCATTGGCGAGAGCTACGTGGGAATCCTCCACAGCCTCCAAGGTCACGCTCGGCGCTTTGAGTATCTCAATATAACGACCGGCCAGAATTTTGGATGTTGAGGTTTCGATGGTACCGTTTGGAGCGGTCACTATCAGTCGCCATAATAGGCTCGCATTTGGGATCTCAACTACCGCCCCTGGACGCCATTCATTCATAAACTTTTTCCAGGCGAATTCGGTGATATGTGTGACAAAGTCGAAGAAGCAAGTCGTGAAATAGACAGGTTCGAGCTTCGGTACGAAATGCTCAAGAAGCTTTTTCAAGAACATATTTTCCGAGTCAAACTTTGCAAGTTCGCAGAACTTTCGCCAGGCCAGATCTCGAAGCATATTGTTGAGAGCACCTCGACCCAGGATAGCGCACCACAACGTCTCGAATAGATCGTCTGATATCGACTGTGCGTCACGCTGTATGATGTACACAAGTAAATCCAGGCGGCTGTTGAGGGCTGGGACTTGCATATGGTGCGACGGCTTGGACTGTTCGCGTTTGACGAAGGCGCAGATTTCCGGTACAAGATAGCGTGCCAATTCCAAGTCTTGTGTCAATATTTTTGCATCATCGGAAAATGACAACGCAGCCACGGCTTGAATAGCGTGAATGTCCGCCAATGCATCTTCATCCTGGTTGCGTATTCTTTGCACGCTAGAATCAAGTATCCTTGCACGCTCTGCAATCGGAAGCGTTGTCGAAAACGCTCGCAGTTGCATTGCTGCTTCCTTGCTAATGCTTTCTCTTCTATGTGCAGGCTTTGCATACGGCGACGTTTCTCGAACCATTTCGAAACAGATACGATAAGGATTGCTTCGAGGATCGACCGCATTCCAGTTGATAGCGTCATGTGCTTCCTGTGGATGAGGAGCAAGCTTCGAGCACAGACTACGAAAGACAAGAAGCATCTCATTCGACATGTCTTGTATTGGTAATGTTCCAAACTTTTCGCTCAAAATATAGAGCGCCTGCCGAGGTTGCATTAGGTGTATTATCGAGCCTAGCATATGTATCATCGCTGACACGACGCGAGGATCCTGACTGGTTGTTATGGTACGCCAGATCTTGTCCGTTTCAGTCTCGGTGTAGCGGTGGGTCACTACGAGGAAGCCAACTATGTTGCCGCTTCTTTGGATAAGCTGGGGGTGCGAATCAACGCCCACAATGTAGTCAATTATTTTCAGCTGTAGCAATAGCCCAGCTACGTACTGGAGCAGAGGATGTTGCCCATCATTGCCGGAGGACTTGTAGAGATTAACAAGACAGAGGTCCATTTCGATGACGCATGCTACGCGGAGCTCCATCCTGCCCTTGGTGATATATTTGTGGAGTAGTTTATGTCGCCAGGTCTGCGCAACAATGGCAGGTAGCAACTCATTCTCATATGATTTTGTCGCTTCGCCAAGTATCTCTACGCAGAGGTCATTGATGGGGGCAGACGTGACAGGCTGGAAAAGTCCATGTAAAGCGTTCAATAAGAAGTCCGTTCCCATGCTCAATAATTCTTTGTTAAGATCAATTGGAAGTACTCTGCCCACCTCTTGCAGTTCTTTATCAAGTCCTCGGAACACATCTATGAGCTCAGACCTTACCATCGATATCTCATCTGCCTGAAAGCATGGTGTCGATGAATTTTGCACATATGATAAGATGTTATTGAATATCCGGAAGCAATCAACCATCGTGCGACTGTTGACCCGCCCATGGCAAGTCGTGAGGAACCCACATAGGTGGCGCAGACCATTCGTAGGAGCTTTGACGAAGTTGCATGCAATCCTTTGACAAGTCTCGGTGACGTCTAGCGGATCGCTTAGACGGCCCAACGTTCGTAGCAAAGGAGTTGGTGTGTCATGAAGGAAGAAACCGGCTAGAGTCCTTACATGCCTAAATATGTGAAGATATTGTTGGGTCTGAAAAGGATATGACGGTGGAAATTGGTATAACAAGGCTGTGTCGACCTGAAGAAGATAGGAGAACAGCAACATGTAACTTGACATGTATTCTTCCAATCTGTCTCGCAATATATCTGTGTCGAAGACACGACCAGAGACAGGAATGCTCGTTCGATTAGACAACACATGTGTCATTTTACCCATGTAGTCCCAGATCTGGTGGTTCTCGGGGATGATTGAGAATGGTTGATAAGCCGCGAGTTCCTGAAGCCAGCCCGCAAGCTTCAATAGATGCGACGTGTCAAACTTGTCCGCTCCAAAGTGCTCAACAACTATCTTCAGTATGTCCGTCAGGTCAGTTTCAGATGCTTCGTCGCGGTATGGAAAGTGGGCGAAAAAGACTGCGGGGTCGCGTTCGTCGCTGTCGATTTCTATGACCGTCGGCTCAACGTCTTCCACCATGTCTTCGACCTCGAGTTCGATAACTGGACTGTCCGTGGGCGACAGTGAGGGACTGGTTTGCGCGCGATTCGGCGTGTAAGGAGGACTAGCACCCGGCTCGATATTTGGGCTGGTCCCATTCTCAGAAAGCTGTGACATGTGTTCTGTGGCTGTGACGGACGCATCTCCTTTCGACGAAGGCATAGAATTCGTTCGTACGTTTATGGTGACTCGTGCTTGAGGGGTTGTAGGAAGGATCGCTTCGGGTTGCGATTCGATTCGCTGCGTGGGGGAGGTAGGAACGGCCGGGGGGGTGTGAAGTTCGGTATGCTTCAAGACAGGGGAAATTGGGTCTTCAGAAGTGCCTCGGATGGCTCTAGGTCCACTGTCGAGGCGCGCACGTTTCCGTGAAGGGGAGAAATCAGCCTTGCCCATAGATGCGCGGCTTGGGAGTGAAGCGGGCTCGGAGGTCGCAGCGCGGGGAGGAGTTGTAACAGGCTCCATTAGAGCATATTCGTTGGCAGGACAGTAGCAAGCAGAGGGTAGGAAAGAGTGACTCGTATCCAAAAGGCCGAACAGCGCCCAAGTGAGGGAGAAGAATAGAACGGAGAGTGAAGCAGCTCGAAGCACAGAGTGATACGAATTCTAGCTTATGTGGATGCCTTAGTACTCGACGCACCGGTGCATTGACGCGAGACAGCTTGCATTGAGGGTGTATAAATTTGCGAGGAGAATGCTGTGGCCACTGCAAGAAGAAGAAGAAGAAGAAGAAGAAGAAGAAGAAGAAGAAGAAGAAGAAGAAGAAGAAGCAAAGGATGACAGGTACAGAAAGTTGGCCAAAGGTATTTCTACAGCCCTCAAGACTGTCGTGAATAAACAGGCACACACTGATATGTACTGCGCAGCCGGCAACAGTAAATTGTTCGGAGCTCTTTTTCGACAATCAACACTTCAGCCCAGAGCAAGCGACGCGTTCGCGAATTGAGGGGCAGTAGGTGCACGGATCGCATAGTGCTGCCTGAATCCCTGCTTGGACCCCAGCTGTCGGCGGCGTGAGGTCATTCTTTGGAGTTTTAACGCTCTGAACGGATCAGTCCGGAAGTCTGAGAAGTACGCTGGCTTCACCCCATGCATGCCCTGGAATGCCTACCTCATAAGTACCTGTTATGCCTTCACTTTAAGTTCTAGATAATTCATCATTTGGATATTGATGTCTGTACCGCCCGAGCAAGACAGATTTCCTTATGGGCATCGTCTAAACCTAGTGTCCTTCATTCACACCATCACACACGCCACATTATGATTCCACAGCAATGCATGCAGAGCTGTAACAACCGCCAAACACAGACCTTTTTGGTCATGTTTTCGCTCCTTATTCACCGCGTCTCACCATCAGATCGTTGAACGATGTTCTCACTCTTCACCAGCTTCTCGATGCCTTCTGCTACAGCCTTTGCGTCTTCTTCTGTCTTCAATTCTACTTCACTCTTACCCAGTGTGTCCAACGTGCCAAAAAGCCACAGTTCTTGTAGCTGACGCGTTAGTTGAAGAGTGTCTTCTGCTACCCGGACCTGAGGACATTATCAGCACATCTTCCATGTGACACCAGCCATGTATCAGCGTAGAAACTCTGATCAGAGATAAATTAATCCAGCCTTCTCATATATGTTAAGAAATCGATTAGGTGCTTACCAGGGCATTCGTTTCCACGCCCATCATCATCTCGACAGTGCCAGTCGTCGCCTTATCCGTGCTGTCCATAGGCAGGAGCGCAAGCATATTCTCGAACCGCCGTATATACGCCTCTGTTAGCTTGCTGACACGACCTAAACCATTCGTCAGCCATCAAGATACCTCCATGCATTCGAAATGGCTACCATTTATTGCGTGTGCATTTCGGTTCGCCGGATTCATGATTGAATTTCGACTTGACAACCGTAGTTCCGGGGACCAAATTTGTTACAGCCAGCACAAGAACCGTACTTTAACACCTAGGTGTACAGGTCGGTGTCAGTGCATGAATTGAACGTTCAAGGGAAGGACGTGACTGTGGGATGTGCATGGTCACGTGAGCACGTTCCACCAAACCCGGTGCACGGACACCGTTTTGGTGTACCGTTCTCAGAGACTATCACGCGCGAGTCATTCATCTCTGGATATTCAACGATTTCAGTGAATGGTGGACACGTACAGCACAGGTATTGGATTGAACTGAGTAACGGCTTCCAATTTAGTGTTCAGACGATAAACATGAGGAGTGCTTTCGCAGACGATAAACAAAAGTAATGGAGACAACACCATCCTACGTGTAACTGTGACTCTCAGCCCTGATAGTGAAAACGCATAATCCTATGCAGTACACAGCACTCATCAGCGGTAAGTCAACCAGTCAGGTTTGGATCCCTAATCGGAGTCCTCCTCCTCGGATTCGGCGGTTTCAAGCCACTTCATGAATTGATCTGCGGACTTGCGGACTTTGCGACTGGTCGACATATCCACATACTTCTTACTGGCTTTTGATCCCCAACCAGTAAAGACCTCCTCAGTAACGAGATCGTTCTCATAGTACTTCATCATGATGGCTGATACTTGGGGGATCAGGGCCGGCTTGTCAATCCCGACAAATCGCTCAGTGCCGCCAAGCAACGCCTTTTCGTGGCGCTCGGAGGTAATCATCTACGATTAAGTGAGCATTCATTCAGCAAACGAGATGCGTGAATCTGACCTTCTTTAGCATACCAGCGCGGCTGTCAATTTGTTTGACGATGCCTTCGTCAAAGATAGTCTGCGCCAGAACGGTAAGAGTCTTGTACTTCTTCTCAATACCAAATTCCTTTGCCTTGACATAGATGTCCACATCTTTCACCTTAGCAACGCCTCCTTTGCCTTCAGCCTCCTTGATAATCCAGCTGCCTAGTTGGTCGTACACATTGTTTCCGCCTTCCTCGTCATCTTCATCACCTCCATTGGCGATGACAGTGCGCTTCAAATCGTCAGCGAGCTGATCCGCGCGAGCTTTGACTGCAGCCTCGGACGTATCGACTGTCCATTCGACCTCCTTATTCTCCTCGATTTCGATGTTCTTGGCCTCGCTATTGATGCGACGAGTCAATTCGTCGTCGCTGTTGGCCTCGACCTCAACATCGCCATTCTCTTCCGCGTTATCGGAGTTGCTATCGTGTGGAGAACCGTCATTTGATCCTTCCTCGTGTTCATGCTGTTCGCGCTCTTTACGAGCCTTGCGTTCGGCCTTCTTGTTGGACTTGTCCTTCTTGCCTTTCTTTGGGGCTTGCTTGAGAATAAAGGAACTGAGCTTCTGGCGAAGGTCTACGTCGGAGCGCTCGCCACAGGCCTTACATTTGAGGATGATACGACCTTCTGGGAAGGACATGTCAGTCTCAGGGTTCTTGCACTTCTTGCATAGCACGAATTTATTGATGAATCCGTCCAGATGATCTTGGAGCTTGCTGGCCTCATGGGCGCCATTGATGATCCATCGGTCATCCGAAGGATTGGTGTTGGTCTGGGCACCAAGCTCGAAGCCAAAGTATTTGATGATATCTGGTGGTGATGAAGTCAGCGAAACTCGGGAAGGAAGGGGGTGGTTGGGTCACTTACGGCCAGGCTCACGAGCAAGAGAGTGGGCAACGCTGCTCAAGTTGACTATAACAGTCTTGATGCCATTACCTTTGCCCTCAATCTTGGACTGGATGCGTTCCATCTTGTAGCGGTAGAAGGGGTCGGAAATATCCCGACGAATGTTGACGGTAGCCATGATTGCAATATGACGGAGAGAGAACTAGAGTTAACAAGAGGATAGCGGACGTGACAGCTGAGGAAGTTCGGAGAACACGGTTTCGGGTAGCAAAGACATGCAGTAGACAATACTACTACGTGCTGGGGTTTCGGGAGTAGTCTTGAAGGCAGGACGTTGTAAGGTGAGTGTAATGAAGGGTTACCCGTTGACGAGATGAGGATGACTGGGCGGTTTTTTCGATATACGAAATGATTGCAGCTTGAGCGGCGGTTCGTGTCTGAAAGCGTTCGCGGGAGACGAATACATAAACCGCAATATTCGATATCTTCTGGCGTGTACTGTTGGTTGGTCCTGGGGGTGCAGATAGGAGGACGGAGAGTGGCGAGGACGAAATTGCCGCTCTCTATTGATATGCGATATTCGATGTGAGACACAGGGTGGATGGATGGATGGATGGATGTATAGTTGTAGCTATAAGGCTAGGATGGTTGACACACAGAGAGTGTATTGAGCAGTGGTTGAAAAGTCGAGTGGGAAGATTTTGGGGGGGATGTGGTGAAGAAGGAGAGGGAGGGCGGATGTGGAAAGCAATTAGTAGTAGTGGTATTGTTTTAGGCGACGCACCTGGCTCGTGCGGCGGACACTCACTGGGCGGAGGGCGACAAGGGAAAGTTTGAACCTGGAAGGGGGACAAAGCAACTATCTTTTCTCTTTTCTCTTTTCTCTTCTCTCCGCCGGCTGACAACCATTCACCTGCCACACGTGTGGTGTTTACTAAGGAGTGTCTTGCTCCGCTACGCTATTACATAGGACAATCAGCCTCTTCCTACAGCTGCTTGTGAAAGGCCATCATCATTTGCCGCCCGTTGATGCTTGCTGTTCGCGCATGCAGTTGCGTAAACTCCGGGTATCGCTGCATGTTTTCTCGCTTGTTTGCTGTTACCATCAGCACACGTATCTTCTAGGGACTGAGTCTGCGGCTACCTTACACCGCTGGGTGGTTCTGCTTGCACATAGTAAGGAGAGTAGGTTCGACTTTAATGGCGATTCGTACTGGTCGACTTCTCGGAATGCGCTGCTTTTCATCAAGACTGCTCATACAGCATATGCCTCTTGAATGGACTACTAGATACATAGTATCGTCGTGGCCACGTTTGTGATGTCAGTCCAATGGTCTAATTTGCGCCCGTGACCCACCAGCACAAAGACGCCTTGTTTCGCTCTTTCTTCTCTGCATCATCTCAATACAGCATTTGCCATGAAGGTCGACTATTCTTTGTACTTGGTCACTGACTCAACCCAAGGAATTCTTGGTGATCGGGATTTGACATCTGTCGTCCAGGCTGCCGTGGAGGGAGGCAAGTCGGAAGCCCCTCCTCGTCTTAGCCGCAATTCTGATCGGGTCTCGTAGGCGTCACCGTCGTTCAATATCGCGACAAGACTTCAGGTACTGCAGAGCTGATACGGACAGCCAAGAAGCTGCACCAGGTCACAAAGGCTGCCTCCATTCCATTGTTGATTAATGATCGCCTCGACGTTGCCCTTGCTATGGGCGCCGAAGGCGTCCACATCGGACAAGACGATATTGGTGTGCATAATCTAGCTGTTTCTTTCTGTATGCATTCTGACTATTTCAAGACCTGCCAACGGCGCGTAGACTCTTAGGAAAAGCCGCCATCATCGGCGTGACTGCTAATTCGGTCCAAGAAGCCGTCAAAGCCGTCGAAGATGGAGCAGACTACTTAGGCATAGGAACAGTATATGCTACGCCAACGTGAGTGACCTCATCCATGCAGAGAAGTTTACTAAGGGATATTAAAGGAAAGAGGATACAAAGTCAATCATCGGACCTGCTGGAGTTCGAGACATTTTGACTGAAATTGCCGCTATCAGCGACAATGTTGCTACAGTTTGCATCGGAGGCATTAATGCGTCCAATATACAGCGAGTCCTGTACCAATCGCAATCAAGGCTTAATTCCCTGGATGGAGTCGCTGTAGTCAGTGCCATAATGGCCTCAAGCGACCCTACAGGAGCGGCACGAACCCTGAGGAGCCTAATCGCAACACAACCTCTCTTCGCAACCATACAAGCATCCAATGCTCTCATAACCAACGTCGTCAAGATAGAAGGTCCTAGAATCATCCAAGCCCTGGTTACTCAATCACCACTATGTCACAACATGACCAATTTGGTCGTCCAGAACTTCGCCGCCAATGTTGCCCTCGCCATTGGCGCAAGCCCTATCATGTCCAACAATGGCGCCGAGGCCGCGGATTTAGCAAAACTAGGTGGGTCGCTCGTCGTAAACATGGGAACCGTGACTTCTGACGGTCTATCCAACTATCTGCAAGCCCTCCGCGCATACAACGCTGTCGGTGGGCCCACTCTTTTCGATCCTGTTGGCGCCGGTGCAACGCAGCAGCGCCGTGACGCGGTCAAGACACTGATGGCAGGAGGGTATTTCGACGTCATAAAAGGAAACGAGGGAGAGATCAAGACTGTGGCAGGAATGGCTGGTGCACAGCAGCGAGGTGTGGATAGTGGTGCAAGCACGCTAAGTCTCGAGGAGAAGGCGAGGCTCGTTCAACAGCTTGCTACGAGAGAACGGAACATAGTTCTAATGACTGGAAAAGTCGATGTGATCAGTGATGGCCGTCGGACGTATGCGATCTCTAACGGGCATGAGCTCTTGGGTAGTATCACTGGGAGTGGATGCACGCTTGGTACGACTATCGCGTCTGTCCTTGCTGTGCATAGATCCGACAAGCTCCTGGCTGCTGTTACCGGAATCTTACTATATGAGATTGCTGCTGAACAGGCTGTATCTTGTGGAAATGCCCATGGGCCCGGCACGTTCATACCTGCGTTTTTGGATAGACTATACCATATCAGGACCGTTGACGTACCAGCTGGAACAGGGTTTGAGAACGCAAAGATTAAAAATATTATTGCGTAGTACAGTGTTCTGACAACTGCTTTGAGCCAGTCATTATACTTCGCGTGTCATATGTGCATGGAGACTCGCATCACTGACCCCTACGTACCGTACCATGAACCAACACACCTCAACGACCAGACTCCGCTCATCGTCTATTGCATTGCATTCACTTGTCTCTGCCCGTCAGGGCAACTGAAATACGGCCTGTTGGCTACGAGATAGATGACCAGCATTGGTCAGAGTATTGTGTGTTTCGCAAGCCCATGCGTTTAGAGCGAAAGACCCCTTCCATTGTTTAGTACATGGAACCTGGTCGACAGTCTAGGCCAGGAGAAGGTATACAATATTCACTAGCTAATCGAAACACAGTGTATACTGCCTAGCCCGCGTATACTGCAAACTAGCCATAATATACATAGAACAAAACGCCATCGTGGGAAAATTATGGTGACTGTCGGATGAAGATCACGGAGTAGCATAGGGTATGAGTGTAGATTTTAGGTATTGTGGGAAAACATCTGCCAAATCATCAATCGAAGAAACAAAAATGCTTCGGGAATCAGGTCTTCGCACAATCTACGGTGTATGAGTGTCGCGGGTGAAGTGAGGAAGGGAAACCTAAAGAGCATTGTTTTCTTGCAACTCGCAATGACATCAAAGGAGGCCACGTAGGTTCTATTTTGCCATCTGTTGACTAATAGAAGAGTGTTTAGGGAAAGGGAAAACGTTTTTTGTATAATGTGGAGCCTCCCAAAAAGCTACAAAGGGTAAGGAGATGGAACAGGGTACTAGGGATTGTCATCGATACAGTCTACAACGCCCCCTGATTGGGTATCTGTCGGGTCTTGGCCACGTTTCTAGCCTCACCTTACAGCTTCAAAATTGTACTCTGTGAGCTGATATATAGCAACCTCAGTGTAACTGACATGGGGGATACATAGACTATGACTGACATCTTGCGACTCAGATCAACACTACAGTATTGATTGTGCACAGGGGGGGAAGCTGACTCTATCTTGGAAGCAGGACACTGCCAGAGAACAATACAGAACACAAGCCAGATAAACCATAGTTTTGATTGCAAGTACGTATCTTTTCAGCTCAACCCAATCTTCTTCTGTGATGTACTCTAGACTCATTTCCAACCTAGAGACGCGTAACCTATCATTTAGTCGAATTTGACAGGGAAATAGAATTAGCCAGAGAAACCAATGTAATAGTAAAAAGGTAGTATACACTGATAACCACAAGTAGAAAATTCATTTTATCTACAATCTAGCACTTCCTGGGTTCCCAAGCAGTCAAGTGCTGTATCACGTCCCACCCACAACCTCACATCCTTTCCCAGTTTTTTACTTCTTTACACTCTGAAAAGGACCAGGAAAATCACTCCCACACATATCTCAGCATGGGAAGGAATGCAATGAACACGTAGGAGTCATACCTGTGTTGGCAACGTCTCGTCCCCACTGTCGCACTAATTCCTCTGATGAACACCAACTTCAGAATCTTACGAAAACTATTTCGAACATGTCTCGCATTCTAGCATCAAGCGCTAATGGAGGCGTCTTGAAGACTCATATATGCTACACGTACGTCACCCCTGAGCAGAGAGGAAAGTATTGGAAAATTGAGTGCGTCGGAATTGAGCGGCTTTGTGGCGCAGGTTGAGGGAATGACGGAAGATCGAGTATGCAATAGTAAAAGCGAATGACTGGCCTAGAGGTCATTGATCAGCGTATCCGTGTCTTGCCGAGAGTATAAGTTTGCAACATGATACATAAGAACCAGACGAAATGCACAGTCTAAGGTCGCATGTTTTTCTTTAGCTTGCTTAATTTGCATTCTGCTCTATCTGGGCACAAGTAAGACATGCACTATGCCCACCCCCTCAGTCTTTTCACAGGAACTTTCGAAAACAGCGGCGACAGACCCTCGTGTACAGTATAAGTCATATGTAGGCCTTCCAAGACCAGCCACCTGCACCAGCACCACAGGTTCGAGATCAGAAGAATACACGGACACAAATACAAGCAATACAACAGGCCATAAAGAGCTCGAACTCCCCCGAAACACCGAGCCACCGTATTTGAGTGACAATAATGCAAAAGTGAGTGAAATGTATCGACCACAAGAAACATTCTCAAGCGAGTGACGGGAACATCAAGGATATCCTTCAAGGCTACTCAACATGTATGCAGGAAGTAAAGAAATCAAGTGTGTTGCAGATTGCAATCACGACAGCCAGTGTCGGAGAGCAATATTTCCCGCCGTGACAGTCGTTATATTCGGTCTCGTCTCAAGGACCATATGCAAATCGAAATCTGCTTGGGAAACATACGAGATCGAAATACGCTCGCTCAAGTGATAAGTTCGATCTGTGGTTATCGTTTACTGCCAATGAACAGATGGAAGAAGTCTGCGCTCCTGTGAGAGCTATGCTACGGTATGGCTCACGAGAACGCTGAGCTGAGTTGCTTTTAGCGCTGGATCGTATTAGTTCACAACTTTTGAATCATGAGAGGAGCCAACTTACACGTCCCCTACGCCCAGTGGCTATAGGTTGCTGGGGTTGCTGTTGTATATATGGATTTTGATACTGTTGATACATTGGGTTCATCATTGGGTTGTATCCTGCCTGAGAGAAACCTCCATTGGGCTGAACCATCGATGCTGGCATGCCTGGTGCTCCGAAGCCGTTATTGACTCGAAAATTGCCCATAGTGGGAGCAGTAGCACCGAAGCCGTTCATATGTGGGAATCCACCTCGAGCAGCTAGCATAGCCTGCTGATATTGTAGTTGCTGGGGGGTTGATTGCATTGCATTTTGAGCAAACATTGGATTCCCATTCATCTGGAACTGGTCGACGCCATTGGAGTCCATGCTGCCAGTACGCTGGAGGCCAACATTGGTATCATAGGACATCTGTGCCATTCCCGGAAAGAACTGGCGGTTGGCGTCGTTCCCACCAGGTGCTTGGACATGTTCTGCCTGTCTTGAGCCGGGTCGCGAGCCCTCAGCGCCCCTGGCTGCAGAATGATCGCGCGTACCTCGAGTAGATAGGTTCACCTCGTCCATCAAACGCTTGTAGCCTTGTGCAGGTTGTGCTTTGATGCGAATGAGAACAGTACGAACATTCTGTACTACATCCGGTCGGATCTTCTCGTCAAAAAATGGTGTTGTCAGTACCTTGAAGATCAAAGTGGCGCCACATGCTTGGTCGCTAAGAATGTCCTCCAAGACTTGATCGTTTTGTGAGAAGAATAATGCTTTCAAGATGGTATCACGGGCTTCAGGCTCATTTCGTTGGTTGATAATCTTCAGAACAGTCAGATATGCGACCTTGTGAGTGCAAAGATGTACGAGGTGTGGAACCAGTCGAGGCGCGAGGACTGTCCGTCGTCGTGGGAAAGTACAGGTATCAAGAAACCAGGTCAATAACAGAGCACCATTAGCATTGGTAGCCAATTGTACACTGTGCAGCGCGATAGCAGCGGCGATCATCCTCTGCTGATCTTTAGTGGCATAGTGACTTTCAAGGCAAGCGCGCATTGCTCTTGCGCCGAAACGACCTTGAGCAAGCTCCCACAAACGACTGAGCATAACATCAAAGATGAATTGGTTGAGAGGGAACGAGTATCTCAGGCAGCCCTGCATGACGTAGTTTCCAAACTGATCCAGAAAAAGCGTCACGCCGTAATTCCGAAGACTGTCGACGACCATTTTCATAAGCTCAGGAGTTCGGGCGACGTCAATGATCTTTTGCGCCGCCCAAGTGCCATTTTTGTGAATTCCGATTTCAGCTAGGTGTGGTGCGATCTCGCGCAACATAGCTTCTTTCGTGCTCTCAGAGCAATACTCAAATAGCTTCTGGACCACTGTGTTGCCCAAGTAATCGGAGGACAGCTCGGCAATTTCAGGCAGCATATTCATGGCCACCTCTTCGATTTCGGGCTGAGAGCAGGACTGATTGTCGATTCGCTTGCGTATTTCGCGGAGTCGGGGAGCATCGTGAATACGGTTATGATTTGGTTCTGTACCGGGAGAGATTTCCTTGATCTGCTCATCATTCTGGATAGCTGTATCGACTGCAACGGCGATTCGTGTCTGTTCCTCGTCGTTCGCTCCAAGGTCCTTCACTATGTCGATAATATCGTCTCGAATATCGGGAAGCTTAGGAGTCGTTAGCGGAGCGGCTGTTGCGTCTAAATTGATTCGGTCAACCTGGCCTTGGACAGTGATATTGCCATTATTAGAGGTAACATTATCAGCTTGCCCTTGAGCCTGTGGATCAGGAGATGGAGATGGGTATACACCGTTGTTGCCAGGTGTGACAGATGCACTCTGAACCTTGGCATAGCCAATCCGGACAGGACCAGCGCCAGGGAATATCTCTTTCCCATTGAGCTGTTGCTTCGCTCGAATAGCACTCTCAAGGTTCTCGAAGTTGACGAACCCACAATTCTTGTGCGTAAGAACCCTTGTGGATTCGATGGAACCATAATTGCTGAAGATGACATTCAGAGATGATACGGTGGTAGATGAAGGGATGTTTCCGAGCCAAAGTGCTCTAGTGGGACCTTCCAGGTTGGTTTCGTCACCAACAAGCTCAGGCTTCCCACCCAGTTGCATACCATGCACAGCTTCAGCAAGACCGGTATATTCCACGTCTTCGGAAAAATCACCAGCATTCATGCTGTTTTCGAGCCTCGAGGAAGTTGGCAAGTAATTGCGCATAAGGCGAGTCGGAGTGTCTAAAATGCCAGCAGTCCTAGCACGAGGTCGGTTTTGGCTGGCAAAATTGGCAAACGCTTGCACTTCGAGGTTGTGCTGTCTGACTGCCTCATTTAAGGCCATTGCCTCGGCAGCTGGAGTCATTTGTCCGCTGTAACCGCCATATTCCATCTCCTCGAGCTCGTCGTCTGCGTACTTCTCCTTCGCGTTGACAGAATATGATCGAAAACGGCTATTTTGAAGATTAGCACTAGCTGAACGTTGCTGCTCTAGAAGCATCTCAATATCAGAAGGCGCTAGAGTAGGCCTAAGTTGCTGTGGGGTTTCGGCAAGGCCGAGATAATCTAATGTCTTCACGTCGTTGTCGACCATCGAATCTCTGGAGAAGTGAGATTGGGCTGGAGACGTTGGTGCGTTCGAGGACTGAATGCTGTGCAGAGTGCTTGAACGATTGCGTGCACTTGTATACATATTGAGACCTAGCGCGGACCCAAATGGACTCGGATTGTTTGTCATGAGATTGGGCCTTTGAGGCATGGAACCTGATCTCAGTCTGGCCAAGTATGCATTCACATCTTTCGTGTTGGGAGCTAGATTCTGGAGGAAAACTGAGGTCTCGGTGGGAGTCCCTGGCCCCTGCTGAAATGGACTCGTAGAGGGTGTCGGACGAGAAGTCTTAGGGGGGAGTGTAGGGTAGGCTGAGAGCCCGGGGATGTTTCCGCCAGGCGAAAATCGAGATGGCAGAGTTCCCGCACGAGTACGCTGACGAGCCGGTTGTGGCACATGGCCATCTGAGATTGATGTGGCATTGAAGTCTGGGAAGCTGTCGGTGTTTGGAGATTCTGGAATCGTCTCACGTAGAGGAGTAGAATGTCCACTGGTTGGAGGACCCCATATCTGTGGGCCTAAACCTTCTTGCGCTTGGATCTCACGAGCACTCGCAGCTAGTCAGCAGAAGCGACTAGAAGGAATGAATATAGAGACTTACCGTTTGGAGAACAAGCGACTACCATATTCATGAGATGGGGAGCCAGCCCCTAATCTCATGCTAGGAGCTGTGCTGCCAAGGCTAGTGTTGCTCCCGCTACTCATTTGAAACCGAGTGGAACTCCCAATAGAAGGGTCTGTGGGTGACGTGCTACCAGTCGAGGTCCCTGAGCGAGGTTGGGAGCCAAGCTGGGGAATATAGTTGAGGTTGATGGGTTGCTCAGAACGCGACGTTGGAGCCATTACGAATTATCAGATCTTCTTGATTGTATGGGGTGATGGTCTCTGTATGAGTGGTCGCGGACCGACGCTGGCTTTCCCAGTCGTGGAAGTGTTTCGAAAGAGCGACGATTCGTGCCGAGTCCACGTTGGGTGAATGGTAGACGATGAAGTCTTCAAGAGAGTGTTGAAGTGTTAGCACCGGACAAGGCTGTTTGTAATGATGCAGGACCCGTTTTAGTCTATGCTGAGATGACAAGAACAAAATTGGAGATCAGGTTTGTCTCAAGAAGTCTTCTTCAAAGGGAGTTCCATTCATGAAGCGTAGTCTCGAGCGATAAAAATCTTGTGGAGACAGAAGAGTACTGAGGATCAAGCTGCCTTTTAGCTCGAGATTCAATTGTCCGATAGTTATTGTCGGCGCACTGGAGAGTAAAGTCGTAACGCACGAGGATGAGGATCGAGATCTTTAGGGAGAGCAGGACGTGGTGTAGGGACGGGAGCCAATAAACAGGCCAGATTGCGGCCTGGAGAAGCAGACGAGGGATTACAAAAATGTGATTAGGAAGTGTGTAGAAGACTGAACCGGACAGGAACAGAGATGGAAGCGCAAGGTCAAAGAGGCGGAAGTGGTGTGTGCGAAGGATGGAGGATAAGGAGGACGGAGGTGTCGGAAAAGGTTGTGGTGAGAGCTTGTTTCACACTTCTAGGTAGGATGGAGTGCTGCGTAATGGAGGTCACGTGTGCTCGCGGCCCCTAAAAATAAGACGACGCTGCAGCCAGTTTCGAGGGTCGAGGAAATGAGAGAAGGCCAGAAGGTGAAGATTATTCACATTCAGGAAGATGAACGCAGGTAATTAAGTGGACCGCTGTCGCACCTCGTTCGCTTGAGGGTTGGCTCTTGAAGGGCAAACTGGAAGCATGTACGTTTCGCAGCCAGACAAGCACGTTCGTTCAACACAATTAATAACATCCAAAGTTCCAGGTCTGCGGGCTTCGACATTCTATGACCTGGCCTGTTCTGAGGGCCAGAACCATAAAGAATATGGTATTATCATATTATGGTACATATCACCTACAGCATGGCGTCGCCTTGCTCACTGACTACTGCACACTGCGCCTCCACCTTTGGCCTTGCAGCAAAAGATACCTGAAACAAGCTAACATCACCCGCCACTGGTCCGGTCAGAAACGAACTTGGAAACACGCTCTGTTACCGCCCTAGCACTGAATCTAGCCTCCTTGAAGCCAACCGTTGTTGATACCCCGGCTTTTATAAAGCCTACTTGATCCCTCTTTCCCCATACCACCGAGTAGATCACTATTCTGATGATGCTCGTTATAAATGCCCATAGGGGAAAAAATTGTGCATTCGGTATACCATTCCTCGTGTCCTCTACAACCAAGCCCTATTACACGGACCTGGTGAGGTACGATGGGATCTGTAGAAAAACGGACCAGTGACACGTCATATTGGTAATCATACGATATAATGATCGTTCGACAGAATTTCTAGCTGCGCGCTACTACAGTAACATCATCAGATGGCTTTAACAGAGTATTATCAGTCGCCATCACCGCGTTGTCACCGATGACATCTCGTCCCAGCCTACTGGTCCGACGTTCTCCGTGCTCATGTTCATGCTTTATCATAAACGGACGCATTGATTGTGTACATCCTGCCGAGGCCTATTCCTATGTATGTCCACGGGCTTTTATGTTGAACAATTGTAGACGAGTGAGAACAATGCAAGGTCATTATTGGATCGAACATTCTATGATGCTTGATCTTCATGAACCTTGAAGGCGTTTCGGACTATCTGGGATGTGCTTTTTGTACGACCAGCCAAAGGCCGAATAGACGCTGGTGCCATAATTACTGATGCGAGCACTTGTTCTTCCTCCTCTTTCGCTTATAACATGCATGGTCGGACCAGGGAGGTTGAGCATCGGTTTGTAAGCTTTGCAGATTTGTAATATAGAAATGTATTGCCTCTGTACGAGTTCAATGGATGGGGTAATCGCATATTCTATACTGGCAACCAACGAACAGGACTTCTCCAGTACGCGTCCCTCAAGCGTGCACCATTACTCGAGAGTGTGACAGATCACGCGCAAGAGACTACGACTGCGACGTCAATATCTTTATTGTTTCAATCACAGAGTTAGACGGTTCACGCGACGCTGATTCGAGGCTGCTCTCTACTCCGGAAGAACCTCAGACACGCGAACTACACAGCTTGCGCCAGCGCCGTACAAGAGTAAGGTCATTTTAAACAAATACTCATCTGCCTACTCGTTGCAAGATCTAACCACCTATTCATTCTTGCTACGCTAGCCTAAAACTCTCCCCATTCTGCAGAGTTATGGAGCCCTTTCTGCTTTCCATCTTGCCTACCGTCCACAATCTCTCCGTAAAGAAACGGTAAAATTGAATCAACCTTGAATACTCGATACCCGTATGTTCAGGCACCAGACCATATGGACTATACATGCGAATCCTAGCCCGCTCATGACCTCAAATGGTAGCCTCGTCATGGCATGGCTCGCTTGCTCAAGACCACAAATCAAGACTTTGAAATGGGTATTTAGGGGTGCGCATGCGGGAATACGAGAGACCTTGGTGTACTAAGTTGGTTAGAGTCTGTTAAGGTAATGATGTTATTGGAGTGATACTAGGAGCAAATGACAGCTAGGGAGTGAGTCGTGGCCTGTATACATAGCGCGAGTTCGCTGAAATTTTCGTGATTGTTATATTGAATATGACGAACATCACGTCGATATCGATGACGAGTGTCATGCGCCGTGTAAGTGTTCACTTGTTTTTATGATCTCAATGTCGTGCATTAGCCCCGTCAAGGTATGTCAGTAACGAATAAGTCCTTAAAGACAAATTTTCGGATACGGATTTGCTTCCACGAATGAAGCCAAATTATTTGTCGACGACTTTGGTCGTGCACAGCTGTGTAGTGAGACTTAAGCTCAGTCTTCACCCCTTATAGACATCTTCTCATTGGTCTGTCTTATCGTAGGCTGTAAATGTGAATTCTGCCTGATATTAGGAGGGTTTCTCAAGCGTCCAGCTGTATTATATGTACTATACGAGTCGGTTATTATACCATATATCTAAGCCGTCTTACTAAGTAATATAGAATAAACTTAAAGCACGTGTATATCCGTAGCCCATAAGGTTAAGAATAGTCAAAAACACGTGTAATTAGTGTTGTTTTGAAGCCTGCGAGGTCAAAATCAGTCAAAATCAATCAAAAACACGTGTAATAAGTGTTGTTTTGAAGCCTGCGAGGCTAAAATCAGTCAAAATCAGTCAAAAACACGTGTAATAAGTGTTGTTTTGAAGCCTGCGAGGTCAAAATCAGTCAAAATCAGTCAAAACCAGTTAAAATCAATCAACAACACGTGTGATCAGTGTTGTTTTAAAGCCTATAAGGTCAAAATTAGGTAAAAACACGTATAATAGAGAGAGGGAGGAGGGGGAAGAGAGGGAGAGAGGGAGAGAGTGAGAGAGAAGAATAAGAGGCGGATAGAAGGGTACCGGATATTACTTCGGCTAAACAATTGACTACATGATTACTCAGTAAGTCTTTGTTTTGAACGTTTAGAACACTAGGACACTTGAGAAACCCTCGATATTAGTCAGGCATGAAGGTTTCTGCCTTACGATTGCGGCGAACAAACTCACCTCCGCATGGGCAGCGGTGGCGTATAACTCCTATCGTCTATGCTTCAAGGCCGTTCTTCATCTATCCTTTCGTCGTATGCGCCTTCCAGTCTGTCGGTAAACACTTATCGCCTGCGGCTAAGCTCCGAGCAATCGTTGTGTTAATGGCATAAGTATACCTAGTACTAGTTTCACAACCCTCTTAACACCTGCTTTTACCAACCACCGCGATGAGTACGCAGGAGCAAGACGAAGAGTGCCAGACCTTGTCTCATGATGAGTCTGATGGATCTGAGACTGAGGATGCGGCGGAACCAGCGATGGTATTACTGCGTGCACGCCGTTCGAACGCCGGTAATCGCATGTCCAACTTGCTCGCTTTGGCTGAAGCAGAGGATGACGAGACACGTGTTATATATGGCGATGAAAGTTGGCAAGAAACTGCCGACGATATGGAATTTGGTGGGGCGGAGGCTGAAGCACCTGATGACGTATCGTTAGAATCGTCTTCGGATGACAATGATGAGGACGATCAAGAAGACGACGAAGCTGGGGAGAAAGAACTGAAGAGACAAGAACGGACGGAGAAAACGAAGAAGCGGAAACAGATCGCGAATCCTTTTGCAGATGCGGCACGAAAGAAGGCCAAACTGAATGCTGCTCCGAAAGTCTTCATGCATGCCCCTCGACCGAAAAAGAAGTCTGAACGCGACTCGTGGCTACCAACACCGGATGAGGGGCCTGTCCGAGCTTCATCGAGGAAGCAGACAATGAAAAACAAGAAAGATACTCATGCGCGTCTAATACTAAAAGAGAAAACCCGCGAGCGAGTGGTTGAACTTATGCAGGCAGCCAATAGGCGCAAAGAAGCTTTTAAGCCTCTATCACAGGAAGAGAAGCTGCGTATGGCGGCGAGGATCGAAAAGGAGAACAGTAAGAGTCTCAATCGATGGGAGGAGTCCGAGAATAGAAGAGCCGCGGAACAGCAAGCTCGACTTGATGCCTTAAGAAATCGCAAAATTGATGGCCCGTACATCCGATATTGGAGCGGGCCAGCCATATGGCAAGATGATAAGCTTGTCGCCACTGGTAAGAAAGCCAGGCTGGTTCAAGAGCTCGACGGTACAGGAGAATCGCTCTCTGTGCAAAAGGTGGAAGCGAAGGAGGCGTCCAAAGTCGTGATACTGCCTGATGTACCACTCTTACCACCACACTCGACTGAACAAGTGGATAGACAGCTTCTATTGAGAACTCATAGAGCAGATGGAGTACAATACTCTCAATCTACCCCCTCTCAAATAGCCGACACTCAGTCTATACAGGTTGATGGAGACACTCCAGGGATTTCTACATCCGTACAAGCAACGGTTCAAGTTACAGAAGAAATCTGTGTACCTCAACAAACATCAGAAGTGAAAGAAACGAGAGAATCTGAAACATCTCAGGCTCAGACTCGACATCATACAGAGACTGCACCAGAGCCAAAGCTGGCTCGCCCATCAAGTTCAGAACAGGTCATAGAACAGCCGAATAATTCTTTGCTAGAAACCGATGAAAGTTGCTCGAGGAAGGCAGAAACGCCCCCGGTGCTAGACACCGAAATGTCCAACACAGAACCACTATCGACAACCACTGACGAACCCACTATACCGATGCCGACAACCATCATGTTTGCTCCACCCGGAGCAAATAATGGTTTCCTAGATGGCATACTTGATTGGGCTTCTTTACACAATCAGAACAACTCAGTACCCGACCCAGCTTTTTCAGCAGCTGCCCAACCACCTCCTCCCGCTAGTCAACCAATTCGGAATACGCAACAGTCACAGGACCCAACAACATCTATACAGCCCCCTGGGACAACAGTCCTCCCTTCCGCAGTCGTTATTCCGCCAATTCATGTCCACACACCTACCACTCTACCTCCTGTCATCCGCCGCGCAACTCGTAATCTCATCATGCTCAGCCATTACGAAACCCTGATGCCGTCTCAAAAAGAACATATCTACAAAATCCTTCTTGCCCCTCAGGCAAAACCAAGTCGTTACCTCACCAAGCGTGTTGACAAAAACTTCTACCCACCTACTATTATGTGTGCCGTTACCGCACAGATTGCTCGCTATCGTGATCCTGTCACCGGTCTTGCATACCGTGACAAGAATGCATATAGACGGATCAAGCGTCTTGTCGGAGGGAGTTTCGCGTGGAGTGCAGCTTTGGAGGCTTTCGTGGGCGGGAGAGGAGATAGGGCTAGGGGTGTACCTGAGAGGTTCTGGAATGCCGCATATGAGAAACCAAAGGCGAAGAAAGCTGATGAGGCGAAGCCAGATATCCCGATGGAGGGTATTGCTCTTAAGAGGGAGGAGGGGATCGTTGCAACATGAAGAATTGCCACTAGATTACCATTTTGAGGCACGCTTTGAGATTGTGCTATACATAGCAATATAGCATTCTCTTATTCGTGAAATTTCGTTGGAACTCCCTACTTGCAATATAATTATCTATTGGCTCGTCAGATTGGCAAGATCTACTAGTGTCCTCCATGATGTGATAATATAACGTGTCAGAAGAATCGAGAGATGTGAGCTACTGGATGAGTACATACCTCAGGACATGCAAGTGATCGAAATATATAACAGAACAGAAGTAGCTGGAAAAGACCACACAGTTTGCTACATATGTGAAGAAACATATACACCCTATATGTATCGGTATTTTCGATATCGATGTCAACATCGAAGTATAGATAGTTAATCTATCTGATATCATGCCATTTTCAACGTCACAATGCCACTAAATTAAGCTCGAACATAGATTTTGGTCAGGAAGAGTCATACACCTCTCTCAATTTCAGAGTCTTATTGAGTAGTAAAAACTGTAGACCTAAATTCAATGTTTAGGAATTACGACCTTGCAAAGATAACATCTCTTCACACTTCGATACTCTAGATCCTACTAGTTGTCCGAGAAAGCAATACCCCGGAAATAGTGCAATAGATATCCAATACGCAAATTCGTGTAGTATGGTAACGAGCTGGATCGAAGAAATCCTACGAAGCTACATAAGCTAGACGACACTTATTTCATTGCATACTAGAGGGTTTCTCAAGCGTCCATTTATATTATGTGTATTATACCATACATCTAAGCCACCTTACTAAGTAATATAGAATAAGCTTAAAGCACATGTATATCCGTTGCCCACGAGGTTTAAAATCGTCAAAACCAGTTAAAAACACGTGCATGAGTGTTGGTATTAAGCCTGCGAGGTTAAAACCAGTCAAATACGCATATAAGTAGTGTTTAGAATAACAGGCGGATAAAAGAGTAGTCGGAGGATGCCGGAGATTAAATTATTGACTACACGATTACTTAGTAAATCTTTGTTTAGAACATTAACGTACACTGGACGCTTGAGAAACCCTCACACTATGCTACAGCCCTCAATAATCTTTCAGGCAAAGCAGCATGTGAAGCGTGTTTCCTCATAACATTGATATAAGCCAACAGCAATACTTGCAGGTGGCCAGGATTATTCGGCATTCGCCCCATTCGTCTCCACTGGATGTTCAGCCGCACACGCTACTTATCACGTACAGCCCATTCAATAAGCTTAGTTCGATTGCCTGGCAGATCACCAATGAAGGGCCTTCTTGACTCTCTATAATTTGTAGATCCGAAGCACCTTGCCTTTTGAGACATGACCCTACAACAAAGGTCATCCTTCGCGCCTCGACCATAATTTCCAAGGCCCTTGCAGTACCAGTGTTTTCAAAGGGTGTTTCTTTTTCTTGCCATGGCCAATGAACCGAGTGCGCTCGCCTGAATGATCGGGTGATTCAGCTCATCACAATCTCATGTTATTGCCATTGGGGGGAAAGGGATGTAGTTGTTGGACCATGGTCGGGCGGCGAACTCTTTATATCCTCTCCAGTAGTCCTACCTCGCATAGACTTCGTACGCTTGTTGTTTCTAGGGGTCCTGTGATCACTGTGTACCTACTTTAACATGCAAGTGATAGCGGTAGTGCGGATCGTGGCTGCGGCAGCCGCATTTGCATTCGCAAACGTAAACCCAAATGTAATCATACCCACTCGTATGTAGCGACCTGCCATCAACCTCAACTCTATATAAACAAGCTAACATAAACCATCCAGCACGACCATCACATATTCTACCACCACGCGGCTGGCACAACGAATCCACGTCTTCTCGGCCAACAAGACTCCCCGGCTGCAACGAAAACTGCACCGTCTTCGAGCCCGCCTTCCAAGGCTACACCTGGACCCGTGTGGACGCCTCCTTGATCGTCTATACGCCCTACTACACAACCTATACCGTCTACCTCGACCCGTCAGGAATCTCCTATTCATCCGAGCTTGTTACCGCAGACACGCTGTACACAAATGCACACGGCACGCTTATCTGCCCCAATGCCATCACGCTCTGGGACGACGCGCATGCTACGCCTACAGTAACGACACTCGCGTATCCTACGAGTCATTTCTCGTATGGCAGTGAGTATTCCTGGTACGGCACATTCGCCACGACCAGGTCTCCCGGGAAGAGCCTTTGCACGACCATCACCAGTCCGATCGGAATCGATGGGGACAGTTGGGCCACCCCGACGGTCACGCTGCGCTCGCATCCGCCCTACCAATCACCTATGGTCGATGCAGAGTTGCCACCTGGAAATGGGACTGTGCTGGGCGCGGTGTATACGTGCATGCCGGCTTCCAAACAACCTGAATCTGAATTCTTGAAAGACGAGTTCCCGGATGACGCGGCTCTCCAGGTGTGTGCTATAGGCTGGAACGGTGGATATTGGGGCGCTGGGGCGTTGTTCACACAGAGTGTCGTCACGGATGCGGAAGTCGGGGTGACGATGATGGTGGCGCCCGTGCCCGTTGCAAAGCCGACGTTGCCAGGCATGGTGGATGTTACTGGAGTGCCGATCGAAGGACAACACTATCCGGTGCAGTCACAAGATGCGACGCCTGGATTCCTCACAATACCACCAGACTCCGCACATCCCACGGGCGCAACACTGAAGCTGCCAGCGCCAGGCTCCAGTACAGTAGTTCTGGTGGCCCCAAAATCGTCGCCGGAGAGTATTCCGCTGACGATCGCGGTCAATGCATACACTCTGCCGGTCTTGAGTTCCAACAGCTACGCGTACGACAGCGTTATCATCACCGAAGTGACCATTATCTCTGGGACCTTCACTTCTCGGACGACACTTCCATCGTCAAACCCAACGATCCGTCACTCTTTGACTCTGACACAATACGACCCACTTCCATCGCAAACAGCTGGTCTGATCGATGGTAGCGTGGTGTTTACCTTGATCTCTGTAACAATGATAGTGTCGATTGCAACAAATTGCTTGCCTGGGTTAGGCGCCACGGAGACGATTACGGGGGTTGTAGGCACAGGAGTGTCAACACATACGGTAGTGATGACGATGAATGAGGAGGGGCAGGACGTGTTGATTGTTGATGAGAGTCAGATTGTTGTTATGCCTACCGGCGCGTTGGTAGATGGGGGAAACAAGTCCTCGGGGATGGCAGTGGAGACGGTAGGTATAGGGCAGGCGGGGGGTCGAGAAGGTGAGGGAAATCGCATAAAACAGGACTGGGACGTACGGTTGTTGGCAACCGTAGCTACTGTTTTCCTATTCATATTTAGCATATAGTGATACCCAATCTACAAGAGAAGCATGATCCAATGCATTTTAACGCATTCGTTCGATCTTTCCAGCATGTACTTCACTGCACCTCGAGTACGACGCCATGAGCAGCCTTCAGTCTGTCAACGAACTCTTCGCCTAAGCAAGCGGTCGTCAGCAAACCTCCACCAAGCCTTCTCGCCTCACATGGTTGGCCACTCTTCTCTTCGGGTCGTGCCAATACCATAGCTGCTTCAGCAAGCAAGATACCAGTGAACGCATACATGCTGCCTTCGTAATATAACCTTGCCGAAGTCTTCTTCGAGGCGTCTGGGTCCGCCTCTCCAATAGTCCTGTATTCTATGAACTCTCGTCGCCCTGCTTGATCGAGATCTGGGCCATCGCCAGGTGACAGAAAGACAAACTTTCGCAGCAGCCAGCGGATCGGCGGCATTATGAGAAAGAGCGGAGCTGCCATAAAGGCGTAGTGAAATATTGCTGCGTTGATGAGTCCAGTACTCCTCATCCATTCCTTGAAAAAGAAATTCGGACCATAAGAGGTGGATGGAGGAGAGAGGGACGACAGCAAGCCCCATGAGCGATTCACTACGGCGGTATCCACGCTTGCACCTGGCGAGTCTGTCATAATTCCCATACCAGGGATATTGGCTACACCTAGGAGTTTTTCGTACAACGATTGCTGGGCATGGAGAGGCGCATTCCGATTCGATGACGACGGTGAAGTTGGACACAGGGCGAATGGGTGCATGCTCTTGATCAAGTAGCTGATAGAAAAGGTTTCGAAGACCGCAAGAATTGAGCTCAGAGTGCCGCCAGAAGCGCTTGCTTTGGCGTTGTATAAGACGTGAGTTACATTGCGGGTTGACGATGAAAACCTGCTACGGATCTGATTGCAGACAATGTAAGTGAGCAGGTCTGCGGGAACAGACTCAATGCCGCACTGCGGAATGATCTATTACATGTCAATAATGCCATGAGAGTGATATGTTCGAGCGCGACTTACGATTGCTCCAGTACTCTGTGCTAAACGGTGGTATCGCTGAATCATCTGCCGAAACCACGGCGACTCCCCAGTGCTACACAGTATCAATTAGGAACAGTCTTTCAAAGAATGCAGTTAGAATCACATACCAATCCAGATAATGAGTTCCGTTACTGGCACAAGCTTCGACCATTGGTTCTCCCATTTTTGAGTAAGGTCCGACTGTTGTGACCACGAGACGTGTTTTGCGCACAAGTGCATGGAGATCATCTTTCTGATGAGCCGTGACCTCGATCGCTTCAAAAAAAATAAGCTCAGCTAGACTGATTGGTGCTTAAAGTAGACAAACATGGTGGGTTTCGGTCACGGTTGAGCTCTTCCAGCTTCTTGACCACTCCCTGGAGTTTGTCGGCGCTGCGGCCAGCGACAGCCCAGTTTAGGTTGGTGGGAAGGTGCATCGTGATGTGTTCAGCGCAGAGTTTGCCAGTGTACCCACTTGCGCCATAGAGGACCAGTTCATATGGCCGATTGTCCACGACCATGGTAAGAGTCGTGATGTGCGTAGGAAATCAATGGACTGGGAGATAGGGAGGTGTCGAAGCTCGGTAGCCGCTTTAGCAGTGCATACCTGTTACTGTTGCTGTCAAGTGAGCCGTATGACTAGAATGATAAACTATCGCTCAAAAAGAAGCAAACTGGAAATTAGGACGAAACGACATTGATGGGGATCTCCCCTCTATGTAATTATCTTGACGTGCGTAATGTACTGGAAGCAGGGAAGTTCAACCGGCGGCCGAGGCAGTTGACCCCCGCACTTAAGGCTTGTGCATCGCCATACATGGAATGGGAGCGCATCAGAGGCTAGATACGAAATGTAGGATATCTAAGATTGTGATGGGTATTGGAACTTAATTATATGAGATGTAATAACTGGCCACCGCTGTTTGGTACAACACGAGACTGTTCAGCATTACTCAACTCTGTGCCTAGCGTAGTTAGTTGGAAGCCTAATGTACAGACGCCACGCTGTGGATTGAGCGACCGAGGTTTCGCCGACCGCCAAGCCCACAAACGCACCACACCTCAAACGAATTCGAAAACACCACAAGCTCATCCGTCCAATATCCAACCCGTAGACTTCGTCGAGAACCCAACGCAACCTACGGCACCATGACAAAACGCACAAAGAGTATACTCTGATCTCTCTATAGTCACACTCAATTCTAACAAGTATCACAGAGGTCGGTGTTACTGGCAAGTACGGCACTAGGTATGTCGAATTGCGACCCCATCCTCGACGTTGACCTTCCAAGTTCGAGCATGAGACCTGGGAAATCGTAATCCAATATGCTTGGTGAATTTGACTAATTATGGTGTCAAGATATGGTGCTTCGCTCCGTAAGCAAGTCAAGAAGATGGAAATATCGCAACACGCACGATACACCTGCACATTCTGCGGAAAGACCACAGTCAAACGACACTCCGTCGGTATTTGGAACTGCAAGGCGTGCGGCAAGACAATCGCAGGAGGAGCCTGGAACGTATCGTAAGTCCCCTCGAGGGGAGATTGCCACCGCGAGACTACTCTAGAAACCTGGACTTGAACTGACACCACATCCTACATTCAGGACCGCAGCCGCTGCTGCTACGCGATCAACGATTCGACGTCTGAGAGAAATTGCGGAGGTTTAAGGGGATTGTTTGTTGTGTGTGCATTGCATGAGTTTCCTCCTGGTCCACTTTCTCGAATGGTCAATCGTCGGCGCTTTATATGTCGGTAGAGCCTTTAAAAAGAAAACGACGTTCCGGAGCGTCTCATATCGAGCACGCGAATAGTACAAAATGACTTCACAATCACGTGGCCTTTATCCTACATGGCGTGGAATGCAGAGCATCGCTTTCCGAACGAATTGTGAAGTCTTTCAACTCAGGCTCTAACGCCCATCCTAGTGACATCCTATCAATTTGCAAGATACAGCTCGAAAACATGACATGACGAAGCGTGTAGCAGAGTCTACGTGCTCAAATATTGACGGTAGAACGCGCCTAGAATTCAAAATGATGGTCAAGGTCTCTAGAAACATTCCAGAGTGAACGCCAGGAACAAGACAGAGTTACTACCCAGCAGTCTTTGCGTTTCGGGACGTCAGGATGCTCAACAGCGTACAGTTTCCGCAATGCCATCCAGTTGCTAAGTGTGTCGACATGTGTCCAATCAACCTTGCCATCAATAATGGCTTTAAATGATCCAACCATCACACAGAAGCTGTGAAGCATTGGGGTTGCTCTCTGGAACAGGCATATTCGCAAAGAACAGAGCCATCAACTTAGCTGTCAATCCGGAACACGAATGCCTTGCATTTTAGATTTCCAAGTGCACAGTATCGTTTGTTGCCTCGCCATTCCAGGACGATAGGACGATTATCTGCGCAGCATTCGGCTGATGATTCTGTGTTCGACTTATCCTCTTACCAGGTTATCCGAATTTCGCGTGATTTACTCACACATGAGCAAAGTAAGCACATTATGAGAACCTCAATTGTCTTGGCTTGGCTGAATCTTAAGGGACGGCGATTTCCGTAGACGCGATCAAGGATGCCAGACAGGGTGCGGCTGTCAACCGATCCATAGCGCCTGAGAAAAGTTATATAGGACTATCGCCCACTTTCAAGAGCATTAAATCCTCATAGTCCGTACCATAGCTCAAGGCAACAACGTTCAGGTGAGTCTCGTGCACTTAGGAATGATTTTAGGCATGACAGGTCACGCGTGTTGGCAGGTGTAGCACTTAGCCAATAGCGGCTTTTCCTCGGAGCTATTTACCAAGAGTACTAAAGGCCGCTGTCTGGTCCAGCCGCAGGTGTGCATCATACCTCGAAATCCCCCATGAGCTCCTCTTTGTTTTCTTCTGCCCTGTTGCCTTTTCAACGCTATGGCACAAACTTGTATAGTTTGTTTGAGCGAACTGGAGTTGTCCGACTCAGATCCAGCAATCAAAACGGAACCCGATGACCTTGATAGCACTCCTACCACTTCTGGACACACCGCCCTCACATCCAAAGGCAAAGAGCCTGAACAACCTCCAACTCCCGAGGACGACGATCAACTTCTTGCACACTTGCTACCATGTGGTCATAACTTGCATAATGAATGCTTGAAACCGTGGGTGGAACGGGCAAACAGTTGTCCGATCTGCAGAGCGAGCTTCAACAAGGTCGAGTTATGTGCCCAGATAGGAGGTAAGCTCGGTGTATCCCCGTTTGAAATCACACCAGATGGATTAGTACTGATGATTCCACAGGAAGCGTGATAGCATCTTACGATGTGGCTGACAAGAGGCAAGAGCCCACTCTAGACCCAGGTCTCCTCATACAGGACGAATTAGATCCTGATGAAACACATCAAGACCCTTGTACGGTTTGCGAGGAATATAACAATGGTCGAGAGAGCGAATTACTGTGCTGTGATGGCTGCAATAACACCTGCCATCCATTCTGCGCAGGCCTAAGTCGCATCCCGGCTGGACCCTGGTATTGTCAGGATTGCTTCGAAGATCCGGCAACTCTATTCACCTCTCGTAATCGAATTTCGGGGCCGAACATTCGCAACGGTCGGCAGCACCGTCGACGGCAGAGTAATCCTGAACAAGAGTGGGCACGCGTGTGGCAATCAATCAGGAGTAGCACAGGTATCGATCTCGATTTTCCCTTCGAAACCCCTGATGAACAACAGCTCAATGCGGCCCGTCGCGCAAGAGATGATCTAGAGCAGCGAGCTCGTGTGGCTGCCGAACAAGGTGCCGGCGATCGCTTTAGGCGAGCCGCCGAAACACTTCTGGACGCTCGTGCACAACGCAATAAGACACCCCCGAAGCCAGAACCTGAATCACAAGACGAGATCCGCGCGTGGAATGCATTTGAAAAAGCGAAGGTCGTTCGTGCTGGAGGCCCTTCGGCGTCCAACAGGCGAAAGCGCAAGTCTCGAAGTGGTACCCCAGAAGAAGAGGCTATGGCTCCTGAGCCTGAACGAACTCTCAAAAGACCACGTACACGGAAGACCCAGAATACAGGCGAAGCCTCTACATCAATACCAAGTGCACTGAATATAACAAATGGAACTCCGGGTACAGTTGGAACTGTGTCTGCACCATATCCTGAGCCTGTACTTGCAGTAGCACCTGTGGCGGAAACTCCAATTGTTCATCCTGGACCAAGTCATTCACGAATCGAGCGCGCAACAACTGTAACACAACCGAGCTTCTTGCAGTCCTTATTAAAAGAAGTCGAAGTCAATGCCTCGGCTGATGATGGTCAGCTGAATCAAATCGAGCTAGCACCATTCATCGATCGTGCCTCGTCACCTCAATCCCCTCAACTCTCTTCGCCTGGCGCATCACCTCCACTCTCTGCTCAAGCCACCCCCCGGGCAGGAACCCCCCCACCACTAGCACTCAGTAGAGATTCCCCCCCTCTAGCCTCGAACGTCATTCCTATATACCCTGCAGCACCTGAATTCCCGCCCTTCTCACCGGCTGACCCTGATGCTATCAGTGGGAACGAACGGAAAGACCGTCACAATCGACCCTCTCGTCGATCGCCAGAAACCAGTCCCCATAGGTCGCATGACGCTTCACCAACCCGACCCAATATGTCTTACTCAACGAAATCCGAGATACAACGGATGGTCACAGCAGCGTTGAAGCCACGATACCGCAAGCACGAAGTCACTAAAGATGAATACACTGACATCAATAGAGATGTATCTCGCCTCCTGTATGATAAGGTCGGCGGCGCGGTCGGCCTGGCAGATGCTGCTACGAGAGAAAGATGGCAGAAGCTTGCGGAGGACGAGGTAGACGTTGCTGTAAAGACCTTACGAGAGACCAATCCCATAGTCAAGGAGTCGCCTTACATCATCGCAGGATCTTGAGCAGGCCGATCGTTTGAATAGGTATCAACCTTGTAGCTGGCTGCTGGCTACTTTCGAGCAAGTTCGTACTCGGAGGCTAAGCTGAGCGTCCTCTGCTGCGTCACGCATCTCGCGTCGCGCTTTATAGATACCCAACCGTCCCGGCGTTCTCAATGTTTGTCATATAGCGGGTGTTTATGGGCAAAATGGTTATCTGGGCTCTGGGTAAGGCACATTGGAATATGTGATTGAAGTGGTGAGTTGCATTGCAAACTGTCTTTGCTAAATACACTTCAGCTTATTATATTGAATAGCAGTGCAATGTATGAATATGAGCTACGTTTATCTACGATCGCGTACAATTCTGGATCGTTAGCAGCACCCTTACCACATGCGAAGAATCTTACGTCCTTACAATCATTTTCCTTGATATATTCCTCGTGCCTATCTACCTTTCCAGCGCCGCCTCCTGGCTTGCACCCATTCCCGCTAGTCTGCTATATGTCTCCCGAGGCTAAAATTAAGTCCCCGCGCACTACGGTCGTCCACGTCTCCACCGCAAGGTCGACCACAACGCGAAAATATGGTCCAACAAATATAAGTGCAAAAAGACTCTTCCGGGAAGGCTCGAACTTCCAACCTCCTGATAAACTGCTGTTAACAGTCAGACGCGCTAGCCAATTGCGCCACAGAAGATTTATTGGCGATTTTGTTCTCGAGTTAATTTATAAACTTCTAAAATGCTATCATCTTATCGTGGATAATAAACGGCTACTGAAGCGAAAACTATTACTATCGTCCAATTAGGCGAGATGTCATATAACTTAATTACTAGTGCAATTTTCTTTATTGAATTTCTAGCACTTTTAACGTAATGCATATAAGCTATTATCTAGTATAGCTGTTTCTCTTCTTAGTGCCTAGTAGTAAGTACAATGCTACTATCATGTTAAGATTTCCTTTATTACTATCTTTTTATGAGCTCATGCCACGGAGACTCGTAGTATCACTACCTTATGAATATACGTACTACCTATGGTGTGGTATGCCGCAATCCGATTTTGCATTCTCATATCCTGTCGCGGGCTGGCAAAGTTCAACAGTCTCAATTGGCCACGAATGCAATTGTGCCCCTGCTAGGTGATATGTTCCGGCGACCATGTTGCCAGCAAGCTCACTTTTCAGATAGGGATTATGCGATTCGACGTGCACCTTTGATTTACCCATCCTTGCCACAATGATTCTCTTACGGTGGCTTATATGTTCGTGTTACGAATGGTCGCTTCTTCCACGTATTCATCACACGGTTGAAAGAACATGATTATGTGACCGAGATAGCTGGCGAGACAGCTCACGTCATGAGATTTTCGTAAATCACCACTTTCCACCCTAGCAACGAAGTCTTATTATTTTCGTTCGTCCACGCAGCGATTCGATACGTTACAATACTACGATCAATGGGAGAGAAAAAACAGACTAAGCGTGGAACGGAATGTATTATCGATATTAGAAGCAGCCTGTATCGCTCCACAGAAGGCAGCCCATTAGTCTCTCACGTTTTCTGATACCATCCCGAATTGCGGTTTACTCACACTTCCATACTTCGCTTGCCACGCAAAGAAGTACAGAAGCGCTGCCAAAGGCTGTCCAACTAAGCAGAAACTAATCCAGAAGATCGCGTTGCCTAACACCTTCCATACGCTGCCTTTCAATCTATTCAGTGGATCTGTCAGGATGATCAGTGGAACCTGGAATAGCATGCCCGCGAACGCAACGCCGATAATATTATGAGTTGGTACGCCAACGAGAAGCTCGTGTAACGCTCCAGAGAAAAGGAAGACGAGAAGTTGAGCGACGGTAGGCGGTACACCGCGACCTACAAGCGGTGCGTAAATGTGTCGCTTCATGAAATGTGTGACAGGCTTATTCCAAGTCGTCCAATACGTGCGAATACTCGTGACATTCCACCAATCGCCGTAAAATTCGCGATCACCAAATCGCATGACTTCCGCCAGCCCATTCAGGAACGATTGGAAGAGCGCGAAAAAGCCAGCGAGCCAGCAGAATAAGGAAATTGTAGAAAGCTTCATTGTGCGCTCGATAATGGATGTTAGATCGAGACCAGAAATGCCACCAAGAGAGTTTTGTAGGAGAGGGACAGCGTATTGGGCACTGGCGATCCAAATTGCAATGGAGAGCACTGTGGCTTCTACGCAGTGACGGAAAACGTAGCCCCAACGAGTGTGCTTCGTGCGTGGGTAGACCGGCTGGTAAACGAGTGTGGGCGCCCACCAGAAGTAGCAGAGGTTACTCATAGATATATTTCTTGGATAAGGGCATGACCTGTACATATCCGGAAGAGGGGCTTCCTGACTCGGGTGCAGCATCGCATCTCGTAGGTCACGATTTGTGAAGGCGTACGAGCACGTCTTGAGCCATACGATGACGGCATGGAGCTCGCACAGGGTGCCGATGCCTGGGTGATGGATGTAGAAGTATACGACAGTTGTGGCGATTATGAGATTGAGGGTCGCATTTGTGCTATGCGCAAATGCTATTATGTTCCAGTATGTGTGAAAACTGCGCTGTACGCGCTCTTGTTGCTCAGGGGTCTTTTCCGCGCGTTTCACTTTCGCTATGGCACCTTTGGCTTGTTGAGCGGCAGCCAACTCGATGATATATGCAATGAAGAGGTGGAAAGGGACAAGAAGGTAGAGAATAGAACCATAGATGACGTCCTGGCGTCGGTAGTCGTGGCAATGAATACAAATCAGGACGCCGTACTAAGAGATGTTAGTGAACATGTCATCAGAATGGAGGCAGCTTAACACACCTTTTTGAAGTTTTCAATCATTAAACGTATATTAGATATTACTGGATTTCACATCAATGTATATTCTTGATCCATGAACGTGGATACGAACACAAGACGAGCACCATCAGGTTCCTGAAGCCAACGAAGCTAGGTGTTCGTTCTGCGTCGTGGCTCAAACATGATGGCCTTGATTTAGAATGCACGGCAAAGACGTGCTTATATTTCTGCTCCTTGAGGCCGGATGAGCTCGACGGTCGTGATGTTTCTGAGATAGGACACTTGTCATCTGTGGTGGATGTGTGGAAATGCTGCTGCAGATCGAGGTTAGGTAGATCATTATTGGTGGGAAGAGCTTCATCAATCAGGGTAGCCATCACGCTACAGCAACATGTATACGAGTAGTAGAGTCGTTCCAGGTAGGTTGCCAGGCGGGGTCAAGGTAAGCAAGCTCTGTCGTGGTTGGAACGGCGCTTATTGATGACGCAGTCAAGTTATGAAGGCATACCGACGTTGGGCGTTTGTTGGATATGAACGTGGTCTCAGTGATCAGTAGCGCGGATGAACTAGGAATCAGAGAAGATGGAGAGGTAGTTGGGTGAGATAGCATTGCTACATAGTCTGGAAAAGTAATTGAATGCTGAGGGGGTGTAGAAATGGACCATACTGAAATCGTTGACCGGCGCTGCGAGTTGGGCCGGTGGGCATGGAAGATATGCCCACATCTGTGGCGTCATTGTGGCTGATGCTGATGACCGCTAGCTCGATATAGTTAGCTCATCAGGGCTCTCCACTCCATTCTCGCATGCCATCGTCGCTCGTGCCCGTACTGTTGCGAAATATCTTATCCATCCTCAATTGCAGTACTCCCTCGATTACCGTAGAGGGACCTTTCCATCCTCAATCGCAGTACTCCCTCGGATACTGTAGGACGACTTTTCCAAAACTTGTCGAACTGAACCCACGAACGGAATCTGCCCTGCGTCGAGGCCTTCCTCTTACCACCCTCATCTGAGCTTTATGTGGCCATCATACACTCCCCGGTGACAATGGATCGCGACAACGCCTTCCCGCAGCCCTACGAGGCAGGGAGGCCGCGCCCTAAACGTGAGACTGCCTTTTTGATCTTGTATTCCTCAATATGAACAGAATGTGGTGCCCGAAGGCTAGTTCCAGAGTATCTGTTATTCCTGAAAGTCCTGGGTACTAGCCATGAAGATGTGCGATTATCAGTTCTTAACGTGCTTTTACTGCTATCATACGTTGTAGTCTAAAGAGCACTCACTCATAAATTTACAGGCCCAGTCACTGACTATGGCTCAACGATGGTGCAATGGATGCGAAATCGGAGACCAAATCACAAGGGAGGATCCGTATTGGAGATGGAAAGACCTAGCGCAAGCTATATAATCGATGTCTGTAATGCTGTCGAACCACCCTTGTGTATGTCAATTGACGGCAAAACAGATGCTCCCGCCTGCTGCGCGACCTACCAATGCTGCCGCAACCATTCCCGTCAGACACCTCCACTCCTCGCTAAACAAAATCAAACATCCAGTGAATGTGGTTCGTTGGACACCAGAAGGAAGACGTCTACTCACAGGATCTACCAGTGGTGAATTCACATTGTGGAACGGCATGGGGTTCAACTTCGAGACCATCATGCAAGCACACGATGCAGCGATACTTGGGGCAGATTGGTCTAGCAGTGGAGAATGGCTAGTTTCCGGCGACAAAGCTGGAGTGGTGAAATACTGGCAACCAAACTTCAACAATGTCAAGGCCATCCAGGCTCATAATGAGCCCATCCGTGACATGGCGTTTGCTCCCACGGACGTTAAATTTGTCACGGCTTCGGACGATGCTTCACTCAAAATATGGGACTTTGCTGCAGGTGCCGAAGAATCTACCCTTACTGGACACAATTGGGAAACTCGCTGTGTGGATTGGCACCCTAGAAAGGGCCTGTTGGTATCTGGATCAAAAGACCACCAAGTAAAGCTCTGGGATCCTCGAAGTGGAAGATGTTTGACAACACTACACGGACATAAGAATTCGCTCCAGAAGACAAAGTTTGAGCCTGTCCAAGGAGACCTTCTTGCCACCTGCGCTCGAGACCACACAGCTCGGATCTTTGATCTGCGGATGATGAGAGATGTGCTTCTGCTCAAGGGTCACGAAAAGGACATTATTACCCTTACGTGGCATCCCGTACATAAGAACCTCTTATCCACTGGTGGCTTTGATGGAGCACTCTTCCACTATCTGCTAGACGAGCAGAACCTACCAGATGGCGCTCCTCCAACCACATCGGTGTATGAAAGTGCAGATCCTACGAATGCACCGGCTCAGACAATATACCCCGCTCACAGAATTGAACACGCACACGAATATGCCATTTGGACACTTGATTGGCACCCCTTGGGTCACATCCTCGCATCAGGCTCCAACGACAAGATCACCCGTTTCTGGACGCGTGCCAGACCAGGCGAAAGCCACTATCTCAACGATACGTATCACATTGGGCGAAGCGCAGCCGAAGCTATGGGTACATGGAGCCGAGCAGATGGCCGCCGACAGATGCGTGAGGAAGAAGAACAAGAGGAAGAGGATGAAGCAGATGGTCTAGAGGACCAAAACGCGTTGTCGCGACCACCACTTGTTCCAGGCCTGCCAGGTATATCTCTCAACCCAGAAGGACATACCGCGACGTCCTTTCTTCCAGGAATCGGAAACACACCTGCTCCGCTGATACCGCTTCCTGGTGCTATGCCGCCTCTACTTCCAGGCATGGATCCAAATAAGATCGACATGTCCAAGCTGCATGAGATGTTTGGCGGGCAGTTCCCTCCGCCTCCTATCCCCCCTCCTAACGGTGCACCGCCTGGCTTCCCACCTCCACCTGGCGGTCTATCTTTCCCAGGCTTTCCAGGAGGCCCACCGCCACCTCCGCATATGCTTCCACCTGGCTTCATGCCTCCTGGTTTCCCACCACCCATCCCGCCATCACAGCAAGTGCCGATCCCTCCGCAAAATGGTGGATGGGATGCTAATGGTAGGAGGCGTGCGCCATTACCAAGCCAACAGGATAGTCTCATGGAGGAGATGAAGAGAGGTAACTATAGGAAGGCGAGATGAGTGTTCTTCCTCGGGTATGCATCAGCGCTGGCGTTCATATAGGGATAATATACATCCATCCTTTTAAATACCATGGCTTCGAACATATGAGTCCATAAGACTCCGAGTTCGTGGTTTTGCTAATCTACAAGTCTGAAACAGTGGGGTCAGTGTGTGTTTGTTCCGTGGACGCTTAGTAGTGTATATGTATTAGCGGTATCGACAATCGAACTATTATAGATGTCAAAGCTCCTGATACAAGCTAAGACTATCGAACTTCGTGCCAGCCATATACATCTGGCTGTATCCGGGAAACAAGAGGACGTCGAGTACATGCTTCATGAACTAATGTACCTTGGCTGTACATTTACTCTGCTTCACCATGACGTTGTGACTGCCCGAAATCGTTTCCTTCATGTCATGATTACTGTTATAGCCGCTTTCATCTTGCAGACAGCAGATTTCACGGCCCTAGCTCTAATGATCATTGCAAGATCAGCCGTTTTATCATCTCAAAATCATATACGACACAACTATATTCGATACGTGCTCCGAATGCTGCAGCAATCGGACACGAAGCTCATATATAGCTACTTCTTCCATCCCTAGACCCTGTCATCATTTGAAGATGTCGTAAGATACTCGCATTAACGAGCGGAAAGATTCTTTCCTGGTTTTTCAGTCAAAGACACCTTCTCATCATTGCCCTGGATTGTGAGTTCGTATGCTTCGTCGGTGCTTGAACCCCTGACACCGAAATGTTGCGCAAGCAACAACGTCAAAATCAGTAGAGTTACCCAAACCAATATTTGCCACATGGACATTCTTTTTCTAAAGGAACGGTATTATCTCTGGCCAAGCTTTAACACCTGACTATGTTCCCTGGCATCAAATGACCTTTGTATGAAAATGTTTTGTTACCTCTCACTCAGTATTTACTCGATCTGTGAGCTGGCGCAGTTGGTTTTATCGATAGTATATGGAAAATTAATCTTAAATGATCCACCACTCGACTAGAAATCAGCTTGTTGCCAGTCAGAGACTTGTCGAGCTTCACTCTAAACATCGTTGAGCGTTGTTGAGTCGTCGTAAACACCTTCTTGAACTTCCTAGGGATAGAATTTTCGAATATATTTCAAGCCAAGAGCTACATAGGAACCATACGTATGCTTATACAAGTGTCCTATGCTGCGAGAGAAACCAGTATCCACATAGTGGTCTTCAGCAGTCACTCTTTGGTCGCTTATAGACTTGTCCTAACAGCGCTTTTCGAGGAATGCTGGGGGGGTTGTATTCTACTGGTAACATTCTTATGACAGTATCGATGAGTGCGGCAATCTAGGCCGTTTATCGTTTCTGATATACCATTGTAGGAGGGCTTGTATAATATTGAGGATTTCCGAAGTAGATCTGCACCGGTAATGGTAGGATATCACAGACGAGGTGGATAGGAGCCGTCAGCTGAATCATGCTACAGCGAGGAGGTACAACGATAGGCAGAATGCTGTATGGGATGCGAGGTAAACTTTTCTCGCTATGTATGCTGATTTCGAGCTTTGTATCCGCGGACCGCCGCCCTATACATGTCACCACCACAAACACTAAACTTATGTTTTCTGAACAGCAACAAGTTCGGCATGGCCATCAACATATGATGATGATATATGCCATGCATTCGGATTTGTCTTTTCTCCTGATGGAACAATTGCATCACGTGGTGGGCATGTCATTGGTCAAAGTGTCTGGCTGAGGCCCACAACACAATATCGTGTCTCGATCATTAGGTGCAAACATTATGAGACAAGACCATCTACACCTCCAGTATATTACAGTAAAGTAGCTTATACTTAAAGCCTCCATAATATGCCTATCAGTCTCCAATACCACGTAGCAGACGTTTTCACCTCTACTGTGTTCGCGGGAAACCAGCTCGCCATCATCCATCTTCCAAATAGCTCGACTTTAAGTGAAGTTCAGAAGCAACAGATCGCGATCGAATTCAATTACTCTGAGTCTATATTCATCCGCAAGGCCGACGTCCTAGACCTTGAATCTGAGGGCAGCGACGCACCAGTAGCTTACGAAGTCGACATCTTCACTCCCCAATCTGAGATCCCATTCGCTGGCCACCCAATCATCGGTGTCGCATGCCATGTCTTTGAGAAGCTCCTCACAGACAAGACTACTGCCACCCTCATCGCAAAAGCCGGCCTGATCACTATATCTTACGACCACAGCAAGGGTGTTGCCCAGGCATCGGTGCCACACAATTACCACCTACATCGCAACTCATCTTCACTCGCACAAGTGGAATCTCGCCTACGCACTGTTCAGTCAGGTCTCAATCAGCAACTCAAGGTGCATCGCATGGCTCTCGTGTCAATTGTCAAAGGAATGACCTTCCTCCTCGTCGAACTTGAGTCTGTGGAAGTACTGTCCACCATTAGGGTCACGTCTGCAGACCCGGTCTCTCCTGAAGACCTGGATGACTGCTGGACGCCCACACTCATTGGCTCACTGTTCTACGTAATGCCGAAGAGAGGGAATGATGGAGTGTTAAGGGCTCGACAGAGGATGATTGCGCTGAGGCTGGAGGACCCGGCGACAGGCAGTGCGAGTAGTGCACTGGCGTGTTATTTGAGTCTGCAAATAGGAGGAGAAGGGCAGAGATATAAGTTCGAACTAGAACAGGGTGTAGAGATGGGGAGGAGGAGTGTGATTGGGGTCGAGGTTGAATTGGATGGAGAGGGGAAGCAGGTGAAGGAAGTCGTGCTCAAAGGTCAAGCAAAGCATGTTATGAAGGGAGAGTTGGTGGTGTGAAGAATAACATTGAGGACGAAACCCCGTAACCATGTACTCGTTTGTTCTCGACATGCACTAGCGGGTGGCGCATTTGTCATGAGATCTATTTTCAATGCAAACTTTTGGGCTTGCTGAGAGCGATACGGATGTTACGACTTAAGCAAATGGCCACACTTGTCAATACTTTCTTCCCTCCGGTGTTCAGTTGTAGATGTCCTTGTCAAGGGCAGACAAGCCTACCTCAATACTAGCAACTCCTATATTAAAGCTGATACTAGACTTTCAAGGATACTAGTAGGATACGATGGGCCTAAACATCGCGCTGAAGGTGGACAGTACGTCGGTGAGGGAGAGATATTATGTATGGAAGACTCGAACTAGATATCTGATGGAAATACATTGAAGACGGTTTGTTCAACGTTGACTGTTGTACCCCTCTTCACTCCTCAATTAGGTTATCCGTTCAGACAAACGTCTAAGGTACTATCTGCTTATCTCAACGTCGCCTTGTTGTCGACAGGACAGGCTTTGTGAAAGCAGGAGCAGATAAAATGTTAAAGAGTGAAGTTGATCGGATAGTACATCTTATAGTACAATATGATATCATTATATCACATACATGATTGCGCTAGTAATGACACGACCATTGCTATGACACTTAGTAAAATTTATGCTCACTTCGAATACATTAAACTTATCCGACGTGAATCCTTCATATCTTCCGTCGCCCAACACTCCTAGTCCTATGTGCATCATATCACAACTTCTGTTTCATGTAAAAACCATAAATAGCATTGTATATCCATACTAAACCGGTTTTTCACAGACTTGGATTTGGTAGATGTATCAGGTCTAGCGAGAAAGTGTCGAAGTACCCTTCTGTTCTTTCTGTGGCGGACTTGCTGATAAGCCTCTGAATGTACTGGGTATATGCGTCAGCTCACATTTCTCATGTACCATCCGCATGTATCTTTCATGTACACATAGGCTGTTACTTACCTGTTGAACCAAGTTCCAAACATTCCACCTTTCGGCCTTGAGTCCGCGAAACTTGCTCTTCTCGCCTCGACATTCGGATTATCAATTGGTCGTTTGAGCGCGGCGAAATTCTCCCATGCGTTCGAGCCGCGGCGAGAGAAGCGATTCGGTGGTGAGGAGATGAGGATCTCGTTCTGGGCAGACGAGAGTGAACTGCGACGGTCCTGGCGAGGTTCTGCAGAGGAAGAGATAGGTTCGGAAGGAAGGCGGTGGGTTTGAGAGGAATATTTCTGATGAATTGGAGACGGCATCTTGTGTGTGATAGATGATTAGAAGGATATTGTTGACAAAGTGTTGATTTATGGGGTGGACAGAAAAATGATCGACCCGAACACCGTCTCAGGCCATATCTATATAACCCCCAATTTGCGAAACCTCCGCCACGGTGCACCAGCAGCAATACACGATCAATCATGACATGGACGACTCCCGTCCAAAATATTTAGGATCGTCCAATGGCCGTTTAGCCATTGTGCCAAGTGACATCACTATTGGTTCTTTCCCCATACTTTCCCCGCACTATCCCTGTTCTTGACTGGTGGAGCAGTTCCAGTATACGGACCGTTGACGTTGACGAACTGCTTCGGAGCGCCTCCTATTGGTCGATCGTTGCGCGAAGCACTCTGGTGTGGAATCTGATCGTGCTTGCAATCTCCATTGAGGTGGACTTGGTAGTTATTGCTCTGATAGCCGAGTCAAGGTTGGACTAAGAAAATTGGTCAGAAAACAGAAAACTAGAATTAGGTACATGTAGATATTGGGAAACCATTGATAGCCTATGTTCATAGGGCGAATGTAAGTGTCTGTTCAGATATATTCTGTGATAATTGGAAAGAGAGCCAGTATAGTGTGCTCAGACAAGATTTCTGAACAGTCCCTGCGCCGGCACAAATAAGTATAATACATACAAGTGTTCTTCTCAACATCTACATCGAGATGTCGTGTGCTCATTGGCTACGCATCATTCCTTGTACATTCGCGACTAGTGTGATTAGAATGTACCAGCATAACAGCATCATGCCTCACTTTCAAGAGGCACCGTATTATCATATTTCTATCAGGGCCCGCACACCGAACTTCTCGAAAACCCAATTTTTATAGCCCATTCACTTGTGTATATGGACTAAATGTGGGTGCATACTACTCAAGAATATTATAATTGAAGGGGCCGCCGATGACGGAAGGCATCAAATAGCCTGGAAGGCCAGATTCTGGTCAGGTCTGGTGAGGAACGCCGGAGGGACTTTCATGACGCACTGCGACGGAACGTGATCGTATAGTCAGTCTGGATTATGTATTGATTACTGAGCTGCACATGCTCCCTGACGATGTCGGCTTGTCAGCTTCAAATCTGATGTGAGCGCTAGCTCGAGATAGACTTTTTGGTTTTCATTCCAGATCTGGAGTTCTCTGGCTCTTCATACGAATCAATCATCGTGGAGAAAAAGGCTGGGTGTCTGCAGCATCCGGATTGAGCGACGTCTCTTCGCCCATCCAATTCAAACCTTCCAAACGCCATGCTAACAAAAACGCTCACATCAGATCAAATCCTTGTCTACCACATCACTTCATCTAAATCAATCCTTCGCATCCCGCTCCTCCACAATTTTCGATTCCTTATTATCCATAAATCCTTTTTCGTCCGACCCACCGCCTGCTTGTGCCGATGCCCTCCGCTTGACGTCCTGCAACTCCGAGAAGTTTGGAAACAATCTATCCTGTGGCGGCGCGGTTTCCGCAATATCCATCTCATCCTTGTTTGCTAGTTTCTTCTCGTTCTCCGCCGACATCTCATACGCCACGAACGCCTGCGCAGAGAGTTCCACGCGGGGCTCGTCGGCACCCATCTCGAACTTGGAGTCCTCGCCAGAGGCTTCGTTGACCTCCGTGTTTGCGCCTGGGAACTCAGACTTCTCGGCACTGCCAAGCTCGATGGCAGAGTCGGGGGCCGCGGATGATTTGTGATTCCGCCTGTATAGGAAGCATGCGAGTGCTGCGACAAGGGAGATGCCAGCGAGAGAGCCGACGACTGCTCCAGCAATGGTGCTGGGTTTAGGTTTGCTACTCGGGCTGCTGGTTGGTTCGATCTGCCGAGTATACGTCATGACAGCTTCGAGAGCGGCGTTGTCATAGCCGCCTTCGGGGGAGGTGAGGGTTGCGCCACCATCACCGGTACCGCCAATGGTGCTGACGATGAGGGAGGATACATTGTATGCAGGGTCGTCGGCGACAAAGATGGATCCTGTCGGCGATTAGTGAGATTGGCGAATGGCTGTTGCATGTGCATACCCCAGAGCATAGTGGAAAGGTCGAAGATGGCGACGCCGCGCTGCTCCCAATCGCAGAAGTCGTATGTGCTGTTTAGACTGCCACTGACGGTGAGGAGTTGTCGGTTGCCTACCACGGAGCATGTGTGGCCCCAGCGAGGACTATCACCCCCACTGATCTTGGTCCAGGTGAACGAAGGTATGGATAGAGCCCAGATACCATCGTAGAGCGTGATATTAGAGCCCATTGGATTGCGACCACCGTAGATGTAACTACATGTATCAGTAGAGGTACAGGTTGTTGCGGAAGTAGAGGCACGGACAGGTTATGAGACGAATTGTCGGGGGCAGATAGTGCAACTACGCAGCTATCGATCATTGGCGGAGGTACTTCACCAGTTGTCGATTGAGAGTACCAAGTGCCGTTGCTTTGCGGGTTGTGTAGGTAGGATGAGAGATCGAATATGTCGACCGAATCAAAGGTAGCCTGCTTGGGTATTAAGTCATGTCGTAAGATGTCATAATTTGGAGCGGGAAAGTCAAACGTACCATAGTCTGCTCACGGAACAGTCCAACTCCGCCAGCTTCTCTGTAAGCTCCGCCCAGTGAAACCAGAACACCATCTTCTCCGACATTTGGAAGATATTGGAGTAAACCGCCCACCCGCGGGTACGAGTCCGGTAGACCGGGAGTGGATATGTTTGCAAGTGTTTGGTTATTGAGGTGAATAATGACCATTCCTGGGAGATTATATGTGTTGTTGCCAAGATACTGTGAGGCGTAGTATGATCCGATGTCTACCTGACCGTTCAGATAGAACCCCATACTCTTGTCAGTCGCTTCTGCAGACGCTCCATAGTTCGGTCTGTCGTCTAGCGAGTTCGAATATGGTAACCACTCATTTGTGGCTGTATCATAAGACCAGAGAGGCGTTGCATCACTCTGAATCTGTTTCCAATTAGGGAAAGAGTTATTTCCCATAAAGGTTGTGCCGCCATACACGTATATCTTGTTATCGCCGTCTGGACCGGCGAACATACTGCCACGGATGACGCCTATATCCGGCGTAAAATCTCCTGCAGGATTGGTCTCTTTCTTCCATGCTGTTTCGGTGATATTTGTGTACCAATTCCATGTCTCGTTCATACCCACAGTGATTAGGCTTGGATCTGAGTGCCGTGTTAGAGGGCAAAGTGTCCCCAGGCTTACTTGCACTTACTGATACCAAGTTGACTAGGCACGGAGGTACCATTCTGAGAGAAGTTGAGCCCCCCTAGTCTATAGGTCTGTATGCCACCATCGATGTAAAGAACGCCATTCTTAACCGTGGCTAGAAACATGCATTAGATGACTGATTGGTAGGAACAGCTCCTGTACGCGTACATTGATGCTGGAATCTCGAGCAGAAGTTGACGATAGGATCTATTGGGTTACTAGAGTTCTGTGCCGTGCAGAGCGCCACTAAAATGGGTAACGTAACGAAGACTAGCAGTGACATTCTGCAGTCCAAGACCTGCATAGCGGGCGTCGTCCTTTAGCGCTTCCGGAGACGGAACCCGTTTCGCGAAGCCGTGTCGGAAAAAGCCTAAGCACTGGTATTCGGGCAACACCTTGACATGTCTATAGAAAGGCACGCCTTGCAAGGTCGGTCCGCGATGACAACAGAAATGAAGTTGTTATAGTACACAAAAGGTCCAGCTCTCAGTCAGGTCTAGGAGACGAAGGCGGGGGCTCGCTTTTTGACTACCAGTTGTGCACGATTTATGTGAGCCAGCTTTATCGAGTTTACGCCAGTAGTATAGTTCTGTGGCGGGTTTTACAGCGGGCACGTCCATCGTAAACGTGTGGAGGGTGTTCACGCGAAGCCAGTAATAATCCTGATAAGTGGAACAACCTGGCCCATGGACGGGACGAGGTGCTACCTCTGCATGATCAGGCTAGGATTAATGAAGCAACATGCCGCTCAGCTCGACTGTTCTGGGACAGATATGGTGACGACTGGGAACAAATACGAGTTTATTTGCTTTTTACAGTCGGCTTGGGAAAAATATGTGCTTACTGAGCAGTCTGATTTCCGGGATCAACCATCCTGGCTCCGCTGCTGGTGGACCTTATCGCTGACAGCGCGAACATGAACAGGTTTTCCCTAGCTCTCTTCTCGAACGTTAGCCGATGACAGCTCTACGTTGAGGCGGTGGGGACATTTATCTGTCGCAAGTGATCAATGTTTGTTTAGTCTTACAGCAATTTTGAATGTCAGCTCGCTAGGTGGAGTCGCGAAGTGGTGGTCTGCTGGCTCTGGCGTGGGAGTTGAATTGACTAGTGTGGTAGGAAAAGCTAAGACTTCTTCCACCTTGTCCGATGGTGGCCGTGTTCGTGATGACTGGTCTAGTCGTGTGAAGAATGAAGACAGCTTATACGTCTGCACTTGATCTGAATAGATGTCTCGGACAAGACCAACTGATTGGGTGACTCCGACACCTCGGCGCGGGTTGCCGTGTCTTGCTTGTAGTCAATACAGGTGCAACAGCGACGATGCAGGATGTCATGTGAGGCTGATAGTAATTCGGGATTGACTCCGCCATCAAGCCGGCATATGTGGTACGAATGACATGGAGCGGTTTGGTGCTTTAAATACTGATGGGAAACAGTGTCCGTGGCAACAATGCATTGTTGAAGGGCAGAGGCAGACAGCGAGAAGGGAGCCCGATGATGGAAAAACAGGTGTCTGAAGAAGTGCATGAATCTCGCTAAATTTCAAGATGTTGAGAAGGCGGTGACGATTTCGCTACCCAATTTTCATGGATCTAATTAATTACGTAGCATGATTAGTTGGCTATGTTTAGCTTAGACCTGGGGCGTGCGGGGTTCAGCCATGGATAATTAGCCAAGACTCAGCTAAATCTAGCTGAGGCGGCGGAGGGTAGTCATTGTACTCCGCTAATTCATTATTAGGGAGTCAGCCATATTTAGTCGAGGTGGCTATAGTGGCTATGCAGTAATTAGAGATTGTGCGAGCAATGTTTGGCCCTCGCACACATCTCCGTGGTATCCATTAGTGTAAGATCCATCAGTCTTAGTAATTAGTGGCGCGCAATTGTCACGACATTCAATTAATTATTACCCGAAACAGCTGTATCTCTGTTTGCGGTTCATGTAACCTATTATTACTTCCTTCTCGTTGACCTAACCCTCTATCAACGTCTAATCCGTCTATCATCTCAGGTACCTTATAAGATCTGAATACAACAAATGAAAGATATGTAGGTATGCCCTTATGACATTGCTCATGACGCAAAAAGCAATTTGCCCAAGTTCAGCCGCCCAGACGCTACGCCACCTGCGACAGCGACAGCACTCAGTAAACTCAACACAACCGTAGTGTTACTTATCATGGTTTCTTCATGCACCCTTCCGATTCTCGACTCCTTCTCTTCTGGTAGCGCATTCACGCCGTCTCCTTCCGCAACATAGTCTTTCCAGTCAACCTTGGATAACATGTTCTGGTACTCCAGCACTGTTCCATACCAATTGTTGGTGATCCGCCCACTCTCGTTTTTATACCAGGATTTACACCCGGGATCGTTGAAACTCGTTCTTTTCAGGATTTCCTGTGCCTTGTTGTTGAACTCGGCTACTCGCTCTTGTTTGGGATACAGAGCAAGCTTTCTGCCGGATTGGCGAGCCTTTAGAACACGCCCAACCAGCTCATTCAGATACCTCGACTGCGCTTCAATCATGAGAATGATACTATTGTGCCCCAGATTGGTGTTGGGGCCGTAGAATATACCAAAGTTTGGCGCATCCTCGACTGTCACGCCTTGGAACGCAGTCGCCCCGTCCTTCCAGATATCGGAGAATGGCCGTCCATTCTTTCCATATATGTCGATCGGGTACATGAACTGTACAGTCTTGAACCCAGTGGCACAAACAAGAAGATCGAACTCTTGTTCTTCACCCCCGTCGACTACGACTCCCTTCTCTGAGATTCGTTCAATTTTCCGGGTTTCAAGCGAGCAGTTGTCTCTCGCCAGAGCCGGGTAGTAGTCGTCACTGATTATGATCCGCTTGCAGCCTGGCGCATACTCGGGAGTAAGTTTCTTCCACATCTCTGGTTGATCCGGAAATTCTCGTCGCATAGACTTCTCGCATTCCGATCTGAACAATTGAGACATTTCTGACTCTTTGTCCGTCACTGCTTCGTGACTACTCTCTCGAAAGTCCATCATCGCCGAGCGCACACGCTGAAGGACTCCCGGAACGTATTTATAGACAGCCTTCATATATGCTGGCGTCGCTTCGTCCAAACGCGGCACGACCCAATTTGGAGTTCGTTGGTAGACTGTTACCTGAGACGCGACTTTCGCAATCTCAGGAATGATCTGGACAGATGTGGCACCTTTGACTCGTCAGTTATAGACACAACATATGCGACAGTCACGGTGACTTACCATTACCTATCACGCCTATTCTCTTTCCTTCCAGGTCGTACGTCCAATCCCATCGCGCTGAATGCATCATCTTGCCTTTGAAGCCGTCAAGTCCGGGGATGTTCGGCATTTGTGGTGCGTTTAGTTGCCCTACCGCTGACACCAAAAAGTCGGTCGTCAACGCGTACGTCGCGCTGTACTCGCCATCTTTCCCACCATCCACACTGACATGCACCTTCCACTTCTTTTGCTCTTCATCCCAGCGGGCCGACTCGACAGAGCTGTTGAACCTGATGTGCTTAAGAAGGGAGTATTTCTCTGCAACTCCGATAATGTATTCCTGTTTCTTGTCAACCATTACATTCTGGTGCATAACCAAAAGAGATACCCACAAGAAGCTCCTCTTGGCCTGGATACAATCTTGACCAGTTGGGATTCTGCTCGAAGCTATAGCTATACAATATGCTAAAGACATCACAGCAACAGCCGGGATACTTATTATCACGCCAAGTTCCGCCGATTCCACCACTCCGCTCAAGGATCACAAAGTTCCTGCAGTTGTTGCGCTTGATGAGGTCGATTGCCATGCACAATCCGGAGATGCCAGCCCCGATAATCGTCACAAAAGGCGAGCTATAGTCATTGTTACCGACCGGTAACTGTGGCCATGGTTTGGACATTCTCGCCGGAGGGTCAACACGGATGCCAGGGGATCAGTGGCGTGAACGTCGAGGGGAACGGGTCTGTTGCCTCGAATGTTTGCAACACGCAGTATAGCTACGGCGGAAAAGCGATTAGACACGTCAGCTGCGGGAATTCTTGCGAATAACAAACGCCCTGCGAGCGTCATTTGTACAAATCGCAAGGTCGGTTATCTGATCCCGGTCTCCCCCTCACCACTGGCCATCCCCTCGGTTGTCACTATATCCGTGTAGTTCAACTAATATGTACTGAATGCACCACATACCACCATGTGGATCAAACGCGTGGCGAACCGTTCTGATGGGCTGGCCAAAAATGAAGATTATCACTGCAACTACTGCGTTTGGTATCACAACATGAGTGGGCTGATGGCCAATCTGGTAGAGCAATGATTCAGACGACCGCCTAGTGGACGGCACCGTGGCCTTTGCCGCGCACGGCTGTTGTTGCGTTAAAGAAAGTATCATCGAACGACAACCTTAATTAGCGCATCCAAAATCCTTTCTAGGTAGTGATCTTTAGCATTGAAATCTTGGTAATGCTAAAACTAATGCCGCGTATCTCCGCTGTAGTAGTGACATCCTTCTGGGTATGCAATCCCTAGACAATCTGTTGGATTTGGAGACCTCGTGGAAGCTTTGCATATTGCACATTGCATGAACGGCCGGGGAATTTTGCCCGATGCCATTCTATATTGCGCTCGCTATATAGGCAGGCTGCTGGATAGAGTTCAACTTCATTTCATTAATTGACGAGAATAGTATCATTTTCTAATTGGTACATAGTCGCAATTTAAGACACGCTAAAGCTACGACTCGGCCAATCGGTAGCAGTCGGTTTGCTGGTAGATCAATCACATGAATGCCCTCCCTCGGCCCTCCACTTCCTATGGTATACACATATAGATATAGATATATATTCTTCTACAGGACGGTTGCTTAGCTCTAGCACCGTATACTCCTATGGTGATTGTTTTTAATGTTTCGGATCTTTCGGGGTTTCTCAGGGTGATATCTGATACAACCTAAAGCACTACCTGAGCCGCTCCTGTCGAAGGTCCGCCTTCTGCCCACGCTGCCATATTATTATTCCTTATCTATATTTTAAGTGGACTAGATACTATTTACTCATTTTCATATATTATGATAGTAACGATATATAGTATACTCTGACTAACCGCGACTATTTTTCTATAATTTTCTCTTTCATTTCCTCTTCCTTAAGCATCAAGATTTACTAGAGGTGGTCTAGCGGGTAACCATTCTAATTTTCCGCCCCCGATATCATTTAGATTTAGTCCGACACCCGTGGTATATAAGATAGATAGAATACAGTAGAATACTATATAGTATTAGTAGCCGCTGTATATATGCCTTATAGAACACTTGAAACTTACTAAAACTATTTGTGTTTGTAGATGCGTCGTCGGCTGAAGCCTGCGAGAGTTGCAGAGTATCTTGCCAGTAATCAGTTTGATCTTCAGCTATATTAATCTATTAGTATATGTAATATTACTATAGAGTCATCTAAGCTTACTTGGGGGGTACCGTGTCTTTAGTAGTATCTTTAGAAATGTACAACCTAAAGCCATTTCGATGATATTATCCAATGGAATGTCCTCCGGGTGATAGCCTGTCGCATATTCCTCGGGGCTTACGTTAGAGGGCCTCACGCCACGAGGGCCATCCTCGGCATCATATATATTTGGAGGGCGACTGAAAAGATAGTCGGGAGGGTCGGCGTAATTATCCCCACACCATGTGACCAATTTTACATGAGACCTTCTTACACGTGGTTCGTCATGAAATATCAGCTCTCGGTGCCAATCATCGCAACGAGGCGGCGGACCTTCCTTTATCGAATAAGATCCGGTTATCGGATCAAACCAAAGTTCAACCTCAGAGTCAGAGTCAAAATCAGAGTCAGAGGTGAGTAGTTCATCGGGAACGCGTCCTCCGGAAAAACGTCTTATCTCCTCAAGGGTGGACGGCCTCCAGCGGTTGGTATCACAAAAGATAATAAGATCTGCTGCATTCCACCTGACCTCTCTTAGTCCGGCGACCTGGCCTAAAACTCCGAGAACTGCGTTTCGGATTTCGAGATGGCGACTTCTGTCTGGGTCCATATGTTCGGGAACTCTGGCTCGGTATACAGGATCTAATGGACTAAAGATCAGATTCCATGCCTCCCGAAGGTATTTCGGGGGTCCATCATCTCTTAACATGCTCTTGAAAGCTAGTCTAGCCATCCGTTGGGTCTCGACGAGACTAGGTCGGTATGTAAAGCGAGTGCATGAGATTGGATCAAAGCCATAAGTTCTAGGTACTTGCGAAGTACGAAAAGAACTAGTAGAAGGAACCCCCGGCCGTGGAACACGTACAGCCGCTAGCGAATAAGAAGTAAAGAGTGTTATAAGAAGCGTTCGTAAAAGCATAAGAGAATGCATTTTACTTCCAGAGATTGATCATAAAAGCTCTTTTTTTTTAGCATGAAAGAGCTTACCGCGATGTTATAAAATGCCTGGTAATCAATCAGTTCACCATGTCACTAGAAAACCATCAATCGCGCATGGTTCGCCTTGGTATTCTATATATATGTATGGATAAGTTTTTCTTAAGTCTGAGCCAGCGTATTAGGTGCGTATTAATAATATATATTAGACAGGAGGAGTGAATTGCCCGAGTGGGATCGCTCTAGTCGTGATCAAGGATGTTTGCTATGTACATAGCGTGGACTGCTACTATTCATAGTACCAATACTGTGGATCGGATTCGACTTACCCGAAGTCAACGTTAAACGAGGCCCATTCCCTGATTCACATTACCCCACTTTCAATCGCCCTCTTACCTAAGCCAATTGCTAAGATCCGACATTAATATCTCTATACTTGCTCTTTGTCTCTTGCTTGTATCTATGTATCTAACCTTTGCTTCCGGAGGGATAGCACGGAAGGCTTGAGGGTCTAACCTCTCCCGCAATATCGTGTGCAAGACCACCAAGTCCTGGATCATTGGTATGCTAGAAGTGCTAGTCTTCCAACATGGTGATTACGGCCCGCTTCGTTCATCAGTTCAACGGCCAGCTTCTTCTACTTACCTCTTGGAATCGAGCTTGGGTATGTCGAGGCCGGAGATATTAATGAGAGAAAGAAACGAACTCTTGTTGACAGCGGGTTGTGGTGGTAACTAGTGGCTGCGTTTGAATCGAAGTAATATTCTGTATGATGCAATGGGGTGTGCTTAGTAGGCGATATGCATACTAGTCTAATAGTTTAATAAAGACTACATTCATCAGCTGTCCTTGGTTACTATAGACCTTACTAATAACTCTTGTTAGCTAACTCCAGAAGCCTAGACTTGGACTCCTACAAACTTAATCAAAGCTACATTATCGATGCACTTTTCATTGATCATCATGGAAGCCAAGCTAGAAGAAAGCTTTGGGTTTGAGAGGCTCGAAAATCAGGCGACAGTCTTTGGCCGGTGTACATCGGTAGATTTACGAACTCTAGAAGATTAGCTTACTAATGCTTTAGACAAAGAGATCGATCATCAAGTCGTAAGCAATGCTTTGAAATGAAATGATGTTCTTCTCCCGCCCCCATTTCATTACAATGGAATAAATAGCAATTTAAACATGGGCTTGAGTTTTAACAATCGTGGGCATGTCCGTTGACGAAGTAGAGTCTATACCGCGTCACTTGAAGAAGTTAATCAAGGTGCTCATATCCTTCATTGAGGGATTTTCCGTCATTTTGAATTGGGACGGAAGTGAACTCACCGGGCCGATTTAGTCGACAGTCGCGGCTTGCCTTCAAACCTCGAAGTCTTTTTACCATGGGTATCCTAGCAGGGCCTGTAGGTATTCTCTCATAATCCACTGTCTAGATCCACGTTATCGATGTATTCAAGAGGCGTCCTTTAGAGATCATAGTCGCCTACATTATCTTACATCAAACCTCATTCATACCTATGTAAAGACTATCTTTGGATAATATCAAATTAAGCTTGTGGAATTCATGGTATATATAGAAGTGACCTAGCTTGATCGCCCCTTCGAGTACGCCCGAAGAGCTAAGAGTTAGCTCTATACTTCTATAGTATTTATATTCTTATCTTACTCATGTTATTAAACAGTAGATTAGTAAATAAGAGATATATATTAAAAGATAGAGAGAGGGAGCTCCTTTTAAGCTATGGATCTCTTTCAATGTAAAAATTTCTAGGGATATAAATGTCTGTATATCGTTAAGAGGGACGTCTATTTTACTACTATCTTTTGCCTATAACATATGTCTATAACGTTCTTTAGTATTACTCTTAGTACGCGTCTATATATTAGTTCTTCTATCTCTTACTAATGAAATCTTATATTAATATATTTCTAATACTAAGATCGAATAAATTCTCTAAATATAATATTATTATTCTAAGAAAAGCTTCTATTAATCGATCTTTTAGTTAAAGAGATAGACTATAATATAGGTCTAAATATTATTAAACCTTCTTAAGTATCGTATGTTATCTAGGTAGTTTAGGAAATACTTTTTAGATACAAATACACATATATCTAATATTTTCTTTAAGAGAGAGATATTAAATAATTAAGGATTATAGATTTCTAGAAACTTTTAAAAAAGAGGATTAGTACGCGTAAGTAATGTGTTAAGAGTAGTACTAAGATATTCATCCTTGCGTGATTTCTAGGTTGTTCCTGAGGTAAATTTTAAGATTTTCACTCAAAGACTAGTATGCCACCATTGTCTACACCTAGATAACCTAGACTATTCATGCATCGCTTTCTCTTCTTTATAGCACTCATGTACCTGTCCACTACTACTCCGTTCTAATTCTACAATGAGAATATTCTCTTCTATGCTCCTTTTCGGAGTGTTTTTTACGTCTTCTCTAGCGGCTGGAACTTATGCCTTACATAAAACATGCACTGATGAGTATCCACGTCTACGGTACATACTCTTAGAAGCTCAGGGTATGGCTCGGTTAGCCACAGAAAGCATAGAAAACTGGGATGAAATGTCGGATGAGCTTAAGCATGGCTTTGAGTTCATTTTCGAGAGACGAAGTTTTAATGATGGCATCCAAGATGAGGAGAGTAAAGAGGAGGAAAGTCCAGGACCTCGCGTAACCGAAACCCCGCGGATGTTTAGAACAATGGTATCACAGATTTTTAAACGTGTCGACGATTTTCAGGAAACTGATTGGGAGTCGGGAGAGATTCATATATACTGCAACGAGGATCGATGGAGGGAACTACAGGACGATGAACAGTACGATGATAGGATAAGGCGACATTTTCCCAATGGCAGCATCCCGGTCAACCTACGCAACTCTAACCGTCTACCTAATGATCGGCTCTGGATTGATCGTGAGAACGGTTATTGGCACAGGGGTCCACCAGAGTGCTCCCATAGTAGCACCCTTTTTGGAAGATACGAGGACACACCGTCTAGGGGCCCATACGGGATCACCATAACATGGTGCGCAAAAAATTGGCCCCACGGCCAACGATTTCTCATTGATCTCCTTTTGGAACAGGAAGATTTCTCTACTACTACGATTGATAACATACTTTCACAGCATTTAAGTCCTGTGTTCTTATATGGGCTACTACTTACGCCGCGATTTGACCGTAAGTCATGCTTTCCTTCTTTCCATTATTCATAGTCCTTCTTCTCATATCCTAGCCGTACTAATAACACATTAGTACGTGAAATGACTGCTGGCTGGGCAGGTAGTAAAAGGTTATCGGCGGAAGAGGCCCTTATCAATATTGGAAGCCATGGTAGGTTATAGTACTCACTGGGCAAGAGTGTTGACTAATGCATCATAGTATTATTTGGTCTTTTGTCCTTTTTGAACGAGTTACATGTTTTTATTGATGAAAAGCATGCCAGACTAGGGTATCTAGTGGAAAAACATGATTAGGTTGTATAAGAAGACATGCCGCATGGTTCTAAAAGTTTATTTAATTCTTAGCCACATAGTAGCATTATTGCTTCCCTAACTTTTCTATTCTCGTAGTGCGAGATTAACAGGGACACCTTTCCTCGCACGTAGTGTTATGTAGACTTGTAAAACCTAGGTAGACTACGAAACGGGAGTAAAAGAGGCACCTAGACGTGATATACCTACGTGAGCCCCAAAGCTTACATATAGAAATCCTGGTCAAGTGATAAATCTAGGCCATAAGTATGTTGAATATGCCTAGAGATTATTCTAGAAGGGATCTGGTTAGGATGCATACGAAACTACACATAGGCAGTTAATCATACAAGTGCTGTAAACCGTGAACGGAGAACGCTTTCTGTCGTAGAGCAAGAGACTAATTATTACGTGAGAGTGTCACACAGACCAGAGCTCATAAGGGTCTGGATGAAAGCAAGCTTGCAAAATACACTTTCAGCTTTGTTGGATACATCTTACGGTGCATAAAGTACAGGTGGTCATTGCCGGCGTCTGGGTGGTCTGAGAAGTAAAGGTAATTAACCGCCGTTCCGAAATTGGGAGGTTGCGCACTTTTTCAAGCATCCATCATGCGATCGCCAATTTAGATGTCACCCTCCTCTTTTTACGCTCATAATTTCACTTTCTCCAATGTGCTAATTTGAATACGACCTGCGACCAGCCTATTGATATTTACAATCGATAGCAGAACAACTGTGCATCATGCACGCCTATCTACGGAACGATTCAAGGAAGTGACGACAATGCTGCTTAACGGAGAGGCCGTGCCCATGATTTGTGTCCGAGTTCGATAATGTAAAGCCCGATGAACTAAAAATAAAGGTGGAAGTACGAAGACACCCCACTGGTTGAGCGAGAGCCGTGCTGTGCAGGAGCGAGAACTTATCAGAACGGTCCAATCACATCCGTGAAATCCTGTCATATTCACAGTCGCCTTGCGAAGGGATGATCACTCTGGAGTGAAAGTAGCAGCGCTGACGTTGACCCTGCACCGCTCTACTAAGTCTACTCTGTTGAGCGAGTAACGTCACTCCGGAGCAACGCTCTTTTCGTTCCTTGTCTAACACTTTAAGGATCACAGCTGTGGACAAAGACGGCAGCACCGAGAAAGTTTCAGGCAGTTTAGACCAAGGCATGGCTACTAATAAGAGATGCACAATGCCAATTTCCCCGATAGATTCAGACGAGTTCTACATAACCACGACATACAGCGAGCTCTGGGGAGACAGGCCCAAGCCCTGACGTCTCCCCGATTCGCTCTGGTCGGAACAAATGTTAGAGGACAACAGGAACAATACAAGGACCCGACGACAGAAGCTAGACGTCGGCACTCAGTACGTTCACATCATTCCAGAAGGCTGAGCCGCGGAGCTGGGGTACAGGTATGTTTCAGCCAATAACAAGAAGGGCCACACAACTACGGTAAGCTGTCTTATGCTAAACTCATCTGCTTGGGTAGAAATGATGCGTTGTTCCATGGCTAGAGTTAAGGAACATATGTATTAGCAGGGACTGAACATATACAAATCTAGGGATTGATGACAGCTAATACTACGATGCAACACAAAAGGCTGTCCTTATCCTTTTTACTTAATTAGGCACGCCTGCCATCTGTTATGAGTATCTAGACCTCGACTATGATGGTTCCGTGGAATTACACAACGCATAGAAGAGACAGGCGCATGATCTGGTCACGGGCTTAAAATTGATTCTGATGCATCTTTCGCAGCATGCTCAAATGGCATAGTATAACTCACTCTGAGAGTCGTATCGAGATACAAAGGTCTTAATAGATTATATGACTTGTAGCATAGAGCGATCTTGCTTCTGTGTGTCTAGAGTCAGGTGGGAGTCCTGCAAATCTTGAATCAGCGCAATCTACTGGTGACTCTGTTGGGACTGCTGATGGTGTCAACCACGGTTGTATGATCTATTTCCATGATCTATCTCTATGATATAATAGTAGTTATAAAGAGCATCATAACTTGATACGGAGACTTGAAGTACCCCTGCTGGAGTCTTAAGCTTGGTCTGTATGTTGCCCCCATGGGATAGCTGATAGGTACGGAGTTAGGTGTGCATTAGGCTGGGTACCGTAGTACTTGCGGCACCGGCATCAAATATGTGCCTGAAAAGCTGTGGCGGATCAAAGTAGAAGTTGATATTCACGTTACATATAGATAAGAAGGGTCCTAATGACCCATCGTCGCCCAAAGAGGTGTTTTTCGAAGATAAATGACGTCGAACGGATCGTCTAATCTGCGGCTGAATCGTGTTCATGATAGCCTACTTGCACGTTTTGAAAACCTTTTGACACAGTTTCATCACGCCCACTTCTCCGCCGCGTGAGAATCGATTGGGTCTATGCATAATGTAAAGTCGCTGTACAGGATATACGTGGCTACGTCCATGGGTTTATCCCACTCTTTCTCGTTTTGGAAGCATTAACGATAGATGTTTGTCGGAGTCGGCTGGTCAAGTGTAGGTAAAATGCTTAGACGTGGTATCGAAGAAGGTCAGGGTCGAGACGATGACGACAGGCCCGTGGCTGGACATGCGTACATCCAAGTATCCGGTGTGGCTCTGCATAAGTTGAACAGGGCGTGCTGGATGTTGTGGAGCCGACTGCTCTAGTGACTGCCCAGTATCCGTAGTTTTCCTAGAACCTGACTATCTTGGGGGGTTTCCCGTTTCGGCAACTAATCGTGGTCCATCTCTCCCGGACATTATACCCTTTCCTTGATCTCTCTCACGAGTACTCAATACATATCCATACTCGTATAATAGTACTATCGCGCCGAAGTATGCAGAGCTATCCGCATTTGAAATCGCCTCGGCACTTGTTTTCTCAACGATATGTTTCCACCCAAACGCCGGCTCTATGTTTTGTAAAAGAAACGGGCGTGTATGTAGTATATCGTGGAGTAGAGCATAGCTAAGAAAGGCTACGATAAAGTCTATCGGAAACTTATTACCTAGATTCCCAGTCCCTGTCATACCCATGTACTGCACAATAGAAGACTGCCGTCTCGGATTAGGGGGACATAACGTAATAGCTGCCCGGTTTCGGGGCGTACGGAACGGGGCTTGGTGGTGAAGACGTATGTATGTATTTCCTCTTCTTCCGTCACGACAGGTCGGTCGGCCTCGAGTCTCCAAGTGGCTCTCCGGATCTACCCATAAGTCTCTGTCCGGAGAGTCCGGCTGTGGCCTCCAACGCTCCTCGTTATCACAGTAGATATGCAAGTCTGCTTCATCGAAGGCTTTAGGTCTCATCCTTCCTATATCTTCCATTATAGATCCTATTCGGTTTCTTGTCTCTATGGTGTTGTCCTTATAGATAGCTGTAAATGAGCGGGCAAGGTCTTCGTTGAGGCCACGAATATCTCGTAGATGTTGTGCGCTTAATGTGGCCATGCGTATAGCCTCAGTCATCCCAACTACCACTTGTTGAGTTTCTTCTTTTCGGTTCGGTTGCTGGCATGATGAATGAAAAGCGTACGAATTGGCTGCGAAAGCCTTAAGCGGGAGTAATGCCCCGTATAATAACGTTGGTACCGTAAGAAGTAAGAGCATAGTGAAGTGAGAGATATAGAATGGTATCTATGAGAAGTTATACTAAAGATATCTTCTAATATATATTATTCTAATTCAAACTTCACATGCTCTCTAATATGAGAATATCTCGTGATCATTAATATTACATACTTATCCCTACTAAGTAGCTACGAAAATCCCGCATAAGTCCATCCCTACACCCCAAATAAGTTTAGCCTATCAAGTATGCGGCCTTTACAGTATATATAGTAATGCGAATAACGTAGAAAACAACTCAATAGAAAATAACCTAAGCTTATTAGTAGTCGAAACCGTGTAGATTAAAGCGGCGTGAGGCTATTCATAGCACCTAAGAGTTATCAAACGACCTATCACAGCATGTGCGTACGTTTGTAGGAACTGCCCCTGCATACCGTCCCTTTCTACTCATAAAAGTTAATGCGACGCAATCAAATTTGAATATCACCAACCCCCTGGTGTAAATACTTAGAAGGATAGACCTCCATGGCTTCTAATTACGTAGTACAGACTGAGGCATACGAAACGCTCTCCATCTCAATCCTCAAAACCCCTGCTGCCTCTTCCATTTCTCCTTCCACCCCTCGAACCACGGACTCTCCTCCAACGTATGCACCTCCCATCCTTGCTCAATCTTGCCATTCCTGGCCTGTTCTGCGCTCCACTCCCTTAGCGCCGGACACACGACATGCTCGACATGCCATGAATTTTTATACTTCATAAGGCTCTCTTTGCCCTCTTCTAGCACCTTCAAGAGCAACAGCGGCACGCGCGGCTCGTCTCTTAGCGCCTCAATTGGGGTAAATAATGCTTTGAAATTGAATACTATGCCTGCGGATAGGGGGAGACGGCGGAGGGTCTGCCAGTCCACGCGAAGGTGGCAGCGCGAGAGAGTGATTGTGGGGTCTTGGATATCGCGGTAGATTTCGTGAGGGTCGCCGGGAGGCATGTAGAGAGGAGTATCGACTTCTAGGCCCCAAGAACCCCGTTGAATCGGCCTGTCCGTGGGTTTCCTAGCGAAGTACCTGCATCACATGAGTTTCATGTCGCTCAAGAATGTCTCAAGGAAGGGTGCGAGACCCAAGGAGACAATGCATACCGATCCATAGAAAACTGCATCTTCTCCTTATAATCCGGAATCGGCTGATGAATTTCATCCAGACGAAGCCCGATTTTACTCGCTACGTTCCAGCCGAGACTGGAGCAAATGACCCCAGCGCGGAAATAGTAGTGACCAGTTTCGGGATCTCGGAGTGTAATAGCGAAATCCTCCGGGACGTGGTTCAACAAGACATGCAAGGGGTGCTCAGATCTCAGATCAGCCTTAGTACGAAGGATGTCGTTGTGAAAAGTCATGTTTAGCACATCGAGACTGAAGTAGTGCGGGTAACGCGCACATAGAAATTGTAACACCATCTCCATGAGCTCTTTGCATGCGAGTTCAGAGCCAGGGAGGTAGTCTAGTACGTTCTTACCGTGCTCCGCGACGAGTTTCTGACGCTGAGATATTTTGGACGCGTATTCGTGTTCGAGTTCGATCCACCAGTTGTTCTCCATTTTCATTAGGGCTGTGAACTGTCAGTGTTTACCACTTTGCTTGAGATTGTTGACAAACACATAGTTTGATGATACGGCCATCGAAACGGGCGATAAGGTCTTGGAAGTGCCTTGTCGATGTCGAACTCTGGGTACGGAGCCGGGAGTGAGACGCCGCTGAGCGTAGCATAGTCTGGAAAGTCACCGAGGGCTTTGATCTCGTCGGAAGAGAATCCTGTCGGTGTGCAAATGACCTCGTTCGTGTCCCAGATAGAGGTCTCGAGAGGAACACATGTCGTGTTCGATGCGACGTCCTTCAGAGCGACAATCCCGGCGATGGGCTTCTTCAAGTTGACGAGGAGTTCGTTTCCTATCTGGCCTAACGTCTCCCGACGCTGTGGCGGGAACACGTTTTTATACGACAGTTCTTGAGTACTGAAGGCTTTCTCAGGCCTAATAGATCGAGGCGGGGTGTTCGCACCGGAGGTCCGTCGTTTGTAGAACTGTAGACGTAGTAGAATGATCCCTCTTCGTTTTCTGTTGAAGCCTAGATACGACAGGGAAATTACTAGGAAACATGCAAACAGTAGGAGTGATGATGATCCAAACGTCCTGTCGAGTTGCAGGTGCATGATGTGTATACGTATACAAATTGGATGAACAGGCAAGACCCGAGGAATGTATTCCTGAAAGTATGACTGTGTGAGCGATGCCGCTAACGACACTCGGGATGCTGTATTCTGAAATGTTGTATACGACCCTACCAGTCGAGGCTGTAAACACGATTCTTAGCAGTAATGGATACGCGGTTGTGACCGCAAGAGAACGGATAACTGCGAGTGGACACTGAGAGTTATGTCAGTATTAGGTCCATAATATATATTATTGAGCTGCAGGCCCAGATAATCCTGATCGAGTTAAGCTGCAGGGAATGAGAGCGAATGAGCCAGGCGGGGTGGATGGACTTGCTATACAAGGCAAGAGATGTCTCAACGAAGTGAGAGGTATTGGTGGCCTGATTTCAAACTATAGATGTGGCATTGGCAGGTGTAGCAAGAGAATATTCAGAGGAATGCATCTTTGTTATTCACATAAAGACCCATGGACCATTGTGATGTCGTTTGCCAGGACCATTGACTACTTGTGCGTCGTTATCGTTGCCCAGGCCTGTGGTGTAATCCACATTGAGCCCTGGTCACACTTGGCCTAATCAGGCTAGTAAACCTAGGGTGCACTAAGCTGCAACAGGTCAACGAGTCCTGATTTGAATATGTGTAAGTTGGTGTGCCTTGATTTCCCCTTTTATGGCTTCTGATACCTAGTATTTGTCTTGTTGAACTTCGGGAAATTTCTTCTCCTGGCATAATCTCCCGTCATGTCAAACATACAAGCCTATCAGGCTGTGACGACGCTTTACACCGTGACCTGGATACGAATGACATGGCTCGTCATCACTTCCTGTATATGGTTAAATAATCCAGATGCTGGGGTGTATCATGGAAGAGTCATGTTCGTAATCAAGCTTCGTTAATTCGTGCACCTCTCCCATGGCTCTCGGTACTCGAGTCCCAGTCCCTCAAACACCTTTCGTTCGGCGTCCTGCCAGCTCCCGCTGACTCCCTCCGGTCCTTCGAGTGGTACCAGTAGCCCACTGCCGCGGTCTCTAACACCACTGCTATCGAATTTCCAGTTTTTCACATTCTTGGCGTACCGTCTTACATCCCTTTGGAACGTGGTGCCCCCGCTCCAGCCCATGATGGCGCAGCCCACCGTCCTCCATGGCGAGATAATGATATCCACTCGTCGATGTATGTTTGGATTCCTGACATTCCCTGGATTGGCTTCCAGGTCTTCTGCCTTTGTAGACCATTGAGGATGTTGCCAAACGACAAGTGCTTTGTCCAGAGAATCAAAACCATGCCCGCCGCCAGCACCACTCGCTTTGAATGGTAGAGTTGACTGTTCTCGTAGGCTGTTGTTCTCGCTGTGGATCAGCGTGTGCGTAATCCATTCTTCTCTTTCTAAGCTGAGCACAATGTCCCTTGCAAGACCTTGCGTGGCCTTGAGGGAGCGGTGCGAAACAATGACATCCACGTCGCCACTTGCGGATTTTCCTCGCCGATATCCTCCCACAATAACGACTTCAATCCCAGGATCGCGGACTTTGATCGCATGCGTTCGTATCACTGACACTATAGACTCAACTTCAGACCTTGGAATCGGGTCCAGAAACTCGTCATAGTACTTGACACCAATCTGCTGCACTCGATGCAAATCCTTCCAGCCGTAGTCGATCACATCGTCCAGATCCTGCCAGCACCGGTCATAGTAAAATTGATGTGCCGTCTGCGCGCCAACGCCCCAGATGTTGTAGAATAAATTAAGCTTGACCAAATGCTCATCAGTGGACATTCTCTCTGCCTCCTGGACCCTGCCCGTGTTTTTCCATTCGACCCAGATGTTTGCCAGTTTTGTCTCACAGCCCGGCAGCCGTGTTATTTCACGAGGAGTCGTAATCTCATATGGGTATGCAGCTACCGCAGCAATACTAGTCGAGTATGCGCGGACACCAATCTCATCCATAATAAGAATTCGTTCAAGCCGAATTTGTTTCAACACTTCTATGAATGCTTGGTTTGGTGGATTAGGGGGCGTAACACGTTGACAAGCATATCGCAGACCGCTCTTGACCCAATCTGGCTCCATGGGTATGTCGCTTTCACCGCCTTCATGCTCTGCTGTAGTTTCCAGGGGAAGCTGGCTTGTCTGATGGTGAATCCTCTTATCAGACATCGCATGCCGTGTCCCAAAGCCGCGACGTTCAGGCAGTGTAGGAACTTGCGGTGTATGTCCTCCAGCATCAGCATTCGCCCGCTCTAAGATATTTGATGCGAGGTAAGAAGTGGGAATATTCCCTACCCCTCTCACGCTGTGTTCGCAGCCTGGACCGAGTTCACCATCCCTTTGCGTTGCCGACTTCTGAGGATGAAGTGCACTGACAACCTGTGGTGCTTGTACAGGCCTGCCTTGGTATATCATGTATTCTCGAAGTGATAATAATTTTTGTGCAGTAATGCAATCCTCGAGCCAATTCAACTTTATGACCGTGATTGTGTTCATAGGGAACGTACACATGTCCACCAACTCAAGCGCAGGAGGTACTGACAGACTGGGTATAGAGGAATCATCATGAGGCAAGATGCTTTCCATCCCAAAGTGGGTATCGCTAACAGTAGACTCATTGTCAGTAGTGGAGTGGCCGTCGTTTGGGTCAACTTCAGCAACGACCAATCCGTCATCGAGTCGTCTACGCTTGGCTAGAGGCTGTACAGTATGAACCGTATCGTCGATTTCTGTTGCAGCTGGCTGAGAGACGGTTTCCTCAGTCCAAAGCTGAAGCCATCTCAACTCCAGTTTAGCGCGAACTTTCTTCTCTAAGTTAGCGAATGCAAGTCGTGTTTCTTTGATATCGTAGGTCAAGGTGGCGCCATATTGCAAAAATTTGCTCTCGATATCGTAAAGTGCAGTCTCATCCATATGAACAGGCAGTACGTAAATGGGAGGTAGGTCCGAGAGGTCCAATCTCGTCGCGGGCGGTGCAGTCGCTTCAGAGTCTGGTGATGTTTGAGTCGAGTTAGGCGATGTCATGTCTGCGAATTCAGAAGATATGCGGGGCAAGTGTCAAATGGCTTGACATTGTGTAAACAATCCTAGGATGTTAAATTGGGCCTGTGGAGCGCGCGCGCGTTGATCGCTACGTGTTTTCGAATGAGTATCGTGAGTTATAATCTGACAAACCACAGTATGTGCATGTATCGCGATGTCTCGTACTGTGCACATAACTGATGTGCGAGATGGTTGCATTGATGGTTGTTCCAGGTTGGCCATGGATCAGCTTGGGACTTGACACAGAAATACGCTAGGCCGAACGTGGTAAGCTGGAAGAGCCATTGGTTTCTGACGGACTCACGGACGATCTTAGGCGCGGTAGACTCGGGGACTATGAGAGGTCTCTACCTGAGAATGTAGTTAACAAACATGAAGAGAAACCTATAATTAATAATAATTCACTAGTTCTTGGCTTTGTTTCCATGTATCTGGGACAATCGGATCTGCCCGTCCCTCGGCTTGTATCGTACAATGCGTCGTTAATGGCACAGTCTCTACATGGTCCTACAAAGCTCTTAGTATGTACATCTATGTTTTGAGCACCTTATCTATAACACTTTCTCTGTTATGAGCTTGATTGAGTATCTGTTTTGGGTTACGGGGGTTACAAATAGCTTCCTCGACCGTTCTCCCAGCTTATATGCGAGGTTGTCACTTCCCGACCGCGAAATTTAACCACATCGTATTCTGACATTGGCAATAAGAAACACTCCAGGCGCACCTACATGAGGGTAGCTGTTAGTTGTAGGTGTTGATAACTTGAAGGCAGGTTGCTTAGCATCACGCGTTGAGTCAACGACCTGTGTAGGTAGGTAGGCAGCAGTACATATTCGAGGGACAAGAAGATAAATTGCGAGATCACGTGTCGTCGCGAAATGTCCGCGTTATTAGTCACGTCACAATTCTAGCACTACATACGAGCTACGGAAACACCCTTGATCATGACGACTACACGTATTCCGTCATGCCACTTGCTACCCCAGATTATACTTTGATGGGGATCCGACAGCCACCAAGGTACGCTACTGTGTCTGGAGCCCTGAGTAAGGATTTCTGCAGTAATTGAGATCATCATGATCCGTCGACTATGCACGATCGTTCGCCAATGACTGCGAGATCTCGACGCTCGACGCTTTGTGGGTCTGCCCCATGGCTTTGGCAACAGACCCTACCTGTCTCGCGCCATCAGCTTCAAAGCAGGCGCGCCTATGAGTCTGCTTCCGTTTGAGGCTACTTTATTGGTCAATACGTGCGACAAACGAAAGACTCTACCATGATAACTCAATGGACACTACCAACACTCCTTTCCAGACCTTGGCCGATGTTATGCGAGATGTGCTAGATTGCAGGAACAATGACAGGGGTTCATGTCAAACAGCGATCAGATTGGTCCAGGGCTCCCAAGACCCAGCCGCATAATGCATTTCGTGTGCAACGGTGATGCGTTGATTGAAGACCATCTGAATTTATGAGATATCGATAGCATCATCAATTCAACAGATCGAAGATCCGTCCAAGTTGACAACGGTCTAGGCATCGAACCACTATGCTTTTTACATTCGAGATTTCAAATATAAGTACTGGCATTTCGACTGACCATGTCAAACCTATACCATTTCAACCCAACAATTACAATCTTCCACGATACAACAATTTCAGAGCCAAGCAACCAACGCTTAACACCAATATGTCTGACTACAAGCCCACAGGTAAGTCCCAACCACCATCTTTCATTCCCGTGGTCATCCCAGTGTCCCTCAAACTCCATGTACATCAACATCATCTTCCACTGAAGTAACACCCAACATAGAGCACGACGGTCTCCGTCAAGATGGCCAGCCTGACAAGCGCGTTGGAACAGGCCAGTTTGCCGGCGGCAAAGTTGACCCCGTTGAAGCTGGCAAAGCGGGCGGCCACTCTTCTGGTGGTACCGGCGACAGCAGCGATTCCACCACGTCTTCCGGTGCTGGAGGTGGTGGCAAGGGCCAGTTCGCCGGCGGGAAGGTGGATCCCGTTGAAGCAGGGAGGAAAGGTGGAAAATCGTAGATATGGGCGTGCATCAAAAAGGTTGAAGTGGAACTCTATAAAGTGGGACACCCATTGCGTAATGCCAGATTTACGCCGCATTTGTAACGACAAAATATACAAGCTCTCTCGTTCTGTGGCTCAGGACTCTTTGTGAATCACAATTTGATTTGTATCATCAACTTCCTATTGTTTGTGTTGAATGTTCACGCCTGTCACCCTTGGCACGATCTGCCTCATAACCTGAATTCGATGCACTCACATAAGCCGGACGTAATGACAATTCATAGCAGTGATACTAGTCTTGCAGTTGCCTCTCCACAATCTACTCGGCTGTGTGTGCGGCTGACCTTATTACCACGTGGATATTACAAATCTACCTTACTTATGTCCGAACTATAACGTTAAGGTCGGACTTTGATTGATGAGCTGTACAGGATCTTGAGCGCGGCAATGAGGGCGCAGCTAAATAAATAAATAAAAAGTCAAAATAAGGACCTTTTGCCCTAGATACAAGATTACAGTTTCAACTGTTCAAGTTTTACATGCATATATGTTGGTGGCCAGGCTGATGTTTGATTTGATACTTGGCGCTCGCTTTCGCGTAGCAGCACGAATGGCACTCGTTGAACTCTGTCATCCTGTCATCCGGAGAGCGTGGTTGATTTAAATATTCAGTTCACAGTAGAACGCAAACTTGGCAAATCCAGCCTCTTCTGCGGGTTGAGCGCTCAGCCTCACGCTCCAACCGCCTGATAGCTTCTTGGCCTGTATCGACGGCCTTTCAGCCGTATATTCCTTCGCTACAGCAGAGCTCATCTACTACCAATCTACAATGGCGCCTAAGCTTCGAATGTAAGCAGTCCATGGCGCATACAAATCTCATATAGACCGCGTGTCCTGCCACGAATGCCCTCTAAACCATCCTCCGGTCTTTCTGTCCCACGTCACTTCGTTCCCCCATGGAAGTCGCATATTCAGGCCTCGAGGTTGACCCTAAACACAGTGGTCTTGAAATCAACCGGGTGCCATACTCTGACCTCACACCGCCGAGCGCTAGCTACTACCAAGCCAACCCACTCCACAATGTCTCACCGGTCGAATCTGGATTACCCGACAAACGATCTTTCCTGTCAAGACACTATAAAGCTATTCCCTTCACTCTCATGGCAATCATCGTGGCTCTGTGCGTCGGCGGCGGCGTCGGCGCAGCGCTCGCAGTCAACAACGCGCGGACCGCCTGTCATGCATCCCAAACATCACAACCAGAGACGTCGCCTCCATCAGCAGACTCCGCGTCGCCATCTCCCACCCTCAGCATCGCGCCCTACGACCTGCAGCTCGGGCCACAGATAACGGCTCTACCACTGCCTGCAGCGCAAAACTTCACTTACATCGCATTGCAAGACAAGACGACCTACGATGTCATCTACGGCGGTAATATTGAGGACTGGACGCACCATGTTGCGGAGACTATCACGCCAAGCTTTGAAGCTTGTGTGGAGACGTGTGCGAATTCGAATGAGCTCGTAGCTGCGCTAGGCGATGGAGACGGGAGAGATGGGTGGAAGGGACCGAATGCATGTCGGGCGGTCGTGTGGGTTCCGGGGGCGACAGGCGTTAATCCGATGAACTGTTTTTTGAAAGGCGTGATGGGGGAGATCACGGGTAAGGCAGGGCAGGGCCCGCAATGGATTGCTGTGAGGAGGGGATAGATGGGGTAAAGAAGAAGATGATGGCCGGGTGATGGGACAAGTGAGAGGCAGGTACTGGCGAAATAAGCATCTCAGCCTCCATGATCGCTATAGACATAGCCTTCAGCGAAGGTCATGGCAGCAATGCGTGCCATTTCAAACCGACTTTCGAACAGCCGTCCATTTATCTTAACCACCCCTGCCCCTTAATCTCCCGCGTCCTCTTCCACCCAAACCCCACGTCTTCCCTCCCCCACCATTAAAGAGCGGCCCATTGTCCACTATACGGCCATCTTCATCAAACACAAGCTTCCGCAACTCTTCACCCGATTTGATCCGCCCATCCCAGTCTCGACTCGTGTCATGCCTAATCTCCTCAAGACGCGCCGAAGCCGTCTTGTCTTCGACGCTCAGAAAGTATAAGAACGGCTTTGCCTTTGTTTTTGAAAACATTTGGTCCAATGTCTGGAACGGCCTTTGAGTGGCAGGGTTCTCAACGCGCGGCGGAGGCACGCGTGCCGGGCCTGGCTCTTGTACGAGACCACGACGAGAAGGATGGATAGTAGATTCGCTGTATTCGCCTGTGCGGTGCGGTTCGTAGTCGCTTGACCGTCCTGATTCGAAGTCACTCGGTCGCCTCTGCTCATAGTCATTGCGAGGGCCGGTCGGCGGGTTGAAGTCATTCGGATGCATAAGTCGGCGACCGGGGAGTGGCGCACCAGAAGTTCCGGCTTCACCAAAAAAAGCTTTGTCATTGCGGTACGTGACCTCCCAGCGACGGGCCATACGGCCGTGTTCCCTGGCTGCGATTTCCTCAGTTTCGATCCAGTTTTCGACAGCTTCCTCGGGTACGAAGTCTACGAAAAGGGGCTTGCGAGTCTTCTCTGCCGGCCAAACGATTTCATGCAATGCAGCTCTGACCCGAGATGCAGCGTTCATGGATGTAAAGATGGCGAAGGCGTGCGTCCGGATTGGATCGAGGTAGAAGGCCTGGAGTAGAGTGCTATTTGGGGATGACCCAGGAGGTGTAGCAAGCGCTATGAGGTGACTACGTAGCACTTGAGGTTGGAGAGGACGCGTGAAATTTCGAATATAAATGGCAGTGCTTGCTGGGTGGAGCGCGCGTGTGACTTCTCGCGATTGTGTATTGACGGTGGTCTTCCTATCCGCCGCCTCAACAGATTTTGTTGAGAACAAAGTCTTGTAGCGAGCATTATTAGGAATGACTTTCGTGGGAGATGCAGTTGCTCTGTTGCTCTCTGCTGAAATTTCTTTCGGATTTGGTTCATCTTTCAAAGGCTCCGAGGAGGCAGTATCTCCCGCCTGTGACAAGGGTTTCTCAATTGAAGTGCCACCTGCAGTCTCCTCCTCAACTTCCGATGCATCCATGTCCATGTCAGCGTCGCTGTTATATGATGCCGCGCTTATAGCGGGTTCCTGGGTACTGACTCCTTCGTCGTTCACCGGCTCGGGTCGAGCTGAGGCCTCAGAGTTCAAGGCGTTTAGCACTTGGGTCTTTCTAGCGTCTACTACGTCGACATCACTGTCCTCTTTCAAATGAACAGCCCCGCCTAGCTCTTCATCGATCCTTTGTTTCTTCTTTGTCGCCTCTGCTGTTCCAATCGGAGGCGTCGCACTTCGTCTCTTCCGCTTGCGAGTCTCCTCTGCGAGTTCTTCTGTGTTGAGTCTCGAAAGCGTTGGAGCTACTGAGGGCTGCGTCGCCCTGTCGACTGCATTTTCGGCTACGTCTTGTTCTAACGGAGATTCCTTAGACGTGACCACGGGTGTATGTGGTAAAGAGGGGGCAGAGGTTGAGACACGCGGGTCGATTATGGCAACATCAATCGATGGTGTATTTAACTTTGACTGGGTAGTCTCCACAGGATCCTCCTTGTCCGTAGTCGGTGCTTCTGCCGTTTCAGCAGGACTTGGATCGCTATGTAAGGTTTCAGGCGACTCCTCTTTGTTGATCTCTAATGGTAGGGCTTGTTGTGACGCTTGCGAATTGTCGGACTCTGCGTTTTGGCGATCCCACTGCTCCAACGCCTCAACAATTTGATGCTTCAGCTTCAGGCCTGTGGGAGGTATGTTTCGCGCTTTGAGCACCTGCCTGAGCTCTGCTACAGTGCATTTACTATAGTCCGCCATGATACATGCGCGCTAGCATAGGTGTTATACCCAGGATTTGGTAGACAAGGGAAGTTGATTCGACTAATTTCAAGACACGCCCGTGCAGTGAGAGTATGTGACTGGTCGGGCAGTCCGTAGTGGACTGTGTTGACTCAGAGTATATTATGCTGTCTACGTAGTAGAGCATACGAAAGCTAAAGTCCGGTATGATGGTATGGTGTGGTGAAGATTGTTTGCGAATCTGTAAATGCCCATGGATTCAAGCTCCGTGAAGCAAGGTCTGTGCGCAATACACGTGATGATGTAAGATTGTACTAAATCTGCGCTTCATTTAATTAGTAGCTAGATAGTATTGTAAAAGACCATTCTCTAAACCCTTGGACTGCGTAACCGCACCCTATTGCTGTTCTACTATTACTACTTCTCGAAAACCCATAAATCGGTACGCGCCAGCGACAGCGGTCATAAAGCTCCTTAGCAGAGCTACTGGAGAATGCTATTCCTGTGTCTGAAGGGAAATCTCAAAGGCAAAGGGGAGTTCTTTGAAAGCGTGTACTGACAGACGAGGGTATATGATACCAGCGCCATAGTTAGAACTGGGGTTCAATAGATAATTGATGGGATGTGGATGTGTATCTACCTGTATAGTTGGATCCGTGAGTTTATTATTTACGTGGTAACCGAAATGTTCATAGTAGTTGACATGCGCATTTCAAGCACCTATGGATAAAGGCTGTAGGATTAAGCCATGATGCCGCTAATTACTTCGATTCAGCTTCTCAATAACGTCGAAAGCAATGTAAATAGCCATGCTACAGTTATTACTCCGGTTCCATGAGCGTAGGCCCCGTTCTGCGACCACTCGCCTTCTCCTCTACTTTCTTCTTTTGATTTTTCTGCTCGCTAACTGCCAGTCGTAGCGTATCAAGTCTTTCCTGGGTCACCTTGATAGCCTCATTCATCTGAAGCTCGCTCATATGCTCGTCTACGAGCTGTGTCTGCACGTTGAAGATCCTTTGTTTGTTCCTGATCGTGCTCCCGTCCACAAAAGCTGCTGCGCGATCCATTGCAACCCGCTCTTCCAGCCATGTCCATAGCTCACTTTCTTCCTTTTGCCACATCTCTTCGTACGCTGCGATGCGATGAGCGTGACTGACGCTTCTTACGCCGAGTCCTGTACTCGGTTGTCGGAACCACATCCAAAGCACGAGTCCGGTGATAAACATGAGAAGTACAGGACCATTGGTCAACGTCCCCACGATGTCTAGTACTGGACTCAGTATGCCATGAAGTGGTTCGAAGGGACCCCAAGACGACCGAGTCTGCACCAGTCGGTCCAAAGCATTGTCATTCGTTCCAGGACCAGCATTGTCCGTCGAGTCAAAATTCCTCTCCCGCTTTCGGCCTTTGATCTTACCTCGTGGCCCAGCTCTGCCCGGCGCTTTGGCCGTAACAGCAGCTCGGAGCGCAGCGACCAGATCCTTCGCGTACTGTGTCTGGCCATCATTTGTGCCCTTCTCGATGGGACCTTTTGAGATTAGTATGCACGAAACGGCGAAGATAATTGGTACCAACCTTTGAGCCAACTCTTAGCTGACCACTCAATGGTACAGGTCATGATAAGTCTCGTGGCATTGGCTGGGCCCCACATCAAACAATACCTCGTCTTGACTAAGAAGGAATTACCTGAAGGAACATCAGGATTCTGCGTGGAGCAGTCTACTGTCACTACCTTTTCCAGATCATACTGTTCTAGAGTCTGGTTGATGATACACTTGGTCTGTTTTGGCCCAATAGACCCGCCTAGCGGCTTGATGAAGGAGTACCCAAATGTCTTTCTGTCTTCACCAAGACCCTTTTTATCATCATCCATCTGCAGATCTCGAGATTTCTGATCCTCAATCAACCACTTCTTCATGAACACTCCTGATGCTGGACCGAACATCATGGAATATACTTTCCCTAGGGGAGCTGGGATTGTCGTGTCGATCAACTGAGTGTCGTAATGTGCAGCTTGATCGCCGCATTCGGTAGGACTATGTGTTGCAGCTCCAGGGAAATCGTTTGCGGTGACGGCGCCAGATACGACAGACTCCGCGGTGTCGGTAACCTTTGCCGTGCCGTTTTGGATAGTTGTGCCAGGAATAGCGGCAGATGTTTTCCTGCTGACTGTTGGTTCAAAGCCTGTATCGCTATCCGCAATACTTCCTTCTCCCGCTTCTGTGAAGCTGCCAAGGCCATCTTGATCTTCAGCATCCTCGTCATAAAACTCTTCATCTGTTTCTTCGGCGGATCCTTCGTCGGAGCCAACCATAGATTCTGCTCGCTCGGTACGGTCACCTGTTCCGGGACCATCGAGAGTAGTGCCATTGGCAGAACTCTTCAGATTTGGATGGCTGATACCCCATATGTCAACAATAAGGTCATACGTCGTGTCTCTCGTCACGAAGCTGGCGAAAACATTGCGTGCGTGCAATGTCTGTATTACGATTGCATTCGGAAAGACTATGGCTGTGTTCTTCTTTTCCACGGACACAACTTCATCAAAGCTGATGACCAAATTGGTCACCCATCCTAGAATGTTGCTTGAGAAGCAGACGTGTCCTTCAGAGATATATAGCCTTCCTTGAAGTAGTATGTCACGCTGTAAGGCTGCACTGTAATCCTCAATTAAATATTCGTCTTCAGGCACGCTACGAAACAGTTGATGAAAATCCCGATTTCGCTTCGCATTCTGTACAGCGTATCTTTTGCCTTGCGTGCCGAATGTGCTGTTAGGGTTCGCAAGGGTGGCAGTACTTGCACCGATAGCAGCCGCAATAGTGTTTCCTTGGGTCGTAGCCGAACTACCCCGATGTCGCTGTCGTCGGCCACCACTAAGTCGACTTCGAACACTTCCGCTCCGAGCAAGAGTTGCCAAGTCTGGTCCCACTGACTGAGTGCGCGGTGGCGTGTTCACACCCGTAAGACTCGCGATAGACCGAGGGCGTTCGGCAGGCTCAGATGGCGGCGGTGGGGACTTCTCGGAGGCATATGCTGCAGACACCGCTTGAGCTGCGGCTGAACCTTCTGCCTTGGCGGAAGCATGTTCTTCTTGAGCGGCCGTCTGGCTGAAGTCAGAGTTAGAACCTTTTTTTCTTGCAGGCATTGTGAAGGGCTTTGGAGAATCTACAATGCCCAGGTGACTCAAGCTGAGATTCCCAGACCCCAGGGTTTCGACGGCTAATTCCTTTTTCTCGGTCACGCTGTCAGAACTGCCGTCTCGTTGAGAGCTACCAATGATGACTTCTTCACCTCCAGCCTCACCGGGAGTGTCAATGGTCGCAGCAGCGGGACCGCTCCCGGATTTATTTGATTTGCCAGTGGGAATTGAGGTGTTTGCAATTGTGGTGGTTAGCTGATTTGCGGCGTTTTGAGCTGCGGAAAATACAGACGAGAAGAAGCCACCAGACTGCGAGGAAACTGAGACAGTGCCACCGGGTGTTTTGGTTTCTTCGATAGTTGGTGTTAATGGTATTGATTGGGAAAGTTTACTTGGAGGGTTGGTTGTTGATCTTGCACGTCTATGCGATATCATTTGTCCAGAAGGGGATATGACGATGTCTGGATTTGGAGCTGAAGAAACAGTATGAAGCTCGGGAAGGATATGTCGGGTTTCAGTGGGTGTTGGGGGTGTTATGAGTGTTTCCGGAGGGATTTCTATGGTCTTCGGTGGCGTAGCTGGCGCATTGGTAGCAGTTCGGCTCAGGCTTGTGCTGCTTCCAGTCGTCCCCAGGGATTTCGATTTGGTATGAAGAGCAGGAATCGGTGGCACTGGTGGTAGTGCTTCGGTGGGATCGGACGGGGCGGCTAGATCCTCAGAGGCTTTAGAGCCACGCCTTGAACCTGCACCCTTCTTGCTCCCGAAGATGCCTCCGAAGCCACCTCCGCTAGTACCGGATTTGACCGATTCGGTGTCACTGCCTGGTTTCTGCGCAGTACCTTTCCTGGTGGGAACGAAAGCGTCTCTTAATTTCCCGGCCGGGGACGGACTACGGTGCGCCCTCGAGGGAGCATCGAGGGTTTTGGCGTGACGTGGAGCCAGATTGTCTTCTGAGGGCGCCCGCACCTCGAAATGGGTGGCAGATACGGTACTGAAGGTTTCGGTTGTTATCAAGGGAGAGGACAAGGTCAGATAGCCTCGGTGTGAGTGACGTGGGGTAAGCGATGGTCGATTTGGAGGACTGGTTGGGATTAAAGGTCAGTTGAATATAGAACTACCGGCGGCGTGAGACAAGAATGAAAAGGGAGTTGGCGGGAAATGGTGATGACCAAGGATAGGATGAGATATAGGCCGCCAGCGGTAGAGAAGCGCTCGGTGCATAGATGGCGAGGAAAGGATATGGTGCAAGTAGAGAAATGGTGCAGGCAGTGGGCGATGACGATGGTCGTGTATGTGAGAGTGTGAGCGAGGAGTGTTGAAGATAAGGTGTTGATCCATGGCTCAGGTCGTTGTGGCAGCCCGGAACCTAGCTTGCACCATGTACGACTATTTTACCCCCCAGATCCTGGCGCGCGTCGGGCTTTGGGGACAGCTAGCGAGTCCCCCGGACGCCAACGACATGGAGCTAGGTTGAAGGACTGCTGCAGGCAACAAGAATGATACCAACAATAGGGCAAATGATAGTAGTAAAAATGAAAGATGGAAGTACTCACGATTCTATATCTGAATCTTCTGTCAACAGACTGCTTGCGACACTTCCGTGAAGCTGCAAGGAATCTTCGCTTTCGTTCTTATTGCTGTTGCGGGAAGCGCTGAAGATGCTGTCGTCGAGAAAGATGATACTAGCCTGCGTCTTTCTATTGTTCTTACCATCGTCGTTGTCATCGTCTCTGCGATTCTTTTTGCGGTGACTTTTAACACGGCCTAGGACAGTAGATACTCGTCTGGCCGACTCGGAACTTCCTCGTCGGTCGATAGCATCTTTGGCCTTCTCTTTTAACTTATCGACGGTTCCATCTACACTGCTCCGGAGGCCGCCCCTGCTTGATCGGTCGCCATCAATTGCGATGCTTGAGCCTGCAGAAGGCGGAGTATTATCATCGTCATTCTTCCGGCTGCGACGCTTGAAAACGTCCGACAATCTTCGGTCCGACGTAATGCTCGACGTCGGCTGAAGAGTGGCCATACTGAGATGTTTTAGGCTCGCTGCGGACAAGGGTGGCTGGGTGTATAAATCCGGGGGAAGCGCGAACAGTCCATGCAGGGCAATGCTCGTGATAGATTTGCGAGTGGTAACAGTATACCAGATAGATGGATAGTAGGGTCAGTGCTATGAGGCGTCGTCGCACGAGTGACCTCAGGAAGGAAGCAAGAGGTCGGCAGGGTGTGCACGCGTGTGACAAAGGTCTATTTATCGTGTTGATGACGCGTGTTACAGGCACTGGTCAATGGTTTGAAGCAGTACTGAAAATGAATGAAGATAGAGCGGGCGATACCTTAGGTAGTAGTGTAGGTACCTGGGTAGAGAGTCAGAGTCAAGGAGAGCAAGTAAGCTTAACGGCAGTGCGCGAAGTTATTGGAGATTATAGACGACCTGCAGGCGCATTACGATGCTGGAATGAAGTTAAACACATCCCGAGTCCATCCATGTTGACACTACAGAAATGACGATGACGCCCTGGACAGTCACTGACCGCGACGCTTGCAGCGGCGAAGGAACAATTGAGCCATTCATCACGAGCGCTGATAGAGGTGGTACACCATACACGGTACTGTTGCACTGCCAGACTGAGAACAAAAATCGCACTGCGGGTCGCTCAAATGTCCCATGGACACAGTCATATGATAGATCAGACACTACTATTCATCTCCACCACTACATCACATAAAGTAGACCCTCGTGCACGTTTGTTTCTATGGATGTGTTCGGACTGGGGTTAATTGATTAGTTCGCAGTTCCGGGTGACCCGCTGTTTCTCTGCAGGGCTGCAGGTGGTGTCAGTGCTGCTGCTACTGTACTTTGTAATTAACAGCCCTGGCGGGGCTGCTAATCCTATACGTGTGGTCGACGGGATTATACACATCCATACAACTATTTAACTTATGACAGCATTACGTAGAATGTATCATGGATGTCGCATAATTCTGGATAAGCTGGAGGCTCGTAACCCAGAGTAGTAATTAATCTTGCAACATTGTCCTTATGAACCCGCACGCTAATTCGGTATTACCTAGTGTCCATCTATAGCAGTGATTAATACCTAGTTATTACACCCTAGACCCTGCCCTGCTCTTCATTCACTCTTGCTAGTTCTCTTGTCCTCATCACCATACACCGCGAGCCACCCCCGCTCCCTCTACGAAGCTTGCGATAAACAGTAATTACCCTTTGTTGTTATGCAACATCATGGAGAATGCCCCTATCGTCATCGCACACTCGCATGCACGAACCGCCGCATCAGAGCTGTCCAGAGCAAACCCCTCAGCTGCCACTACAGAACATGAACTTGCGGCCGAAGAGTTCTCCAAGGCTGCAGGAGCTACTGGAGATGTAGAGGTAGGTCTCATGAAGCTTCGAGGGAGCTGGTCTAAGCAGCAAAGGCTCTGCGTATTCTCAAACTCCTAGAAGAGTACCATCACGATCTCGCCAAAGCCATCAGAGCAGAACCGCGCCCTGCAGCACATACCAAAGCTCACTATGACTCGTCGACAGGTCTCACTCTGACCGCGGCACCCAACTTTGTTTCCACCACTGAACAGGAATCTTCGCCATCGCCATCGCCCTCGCATTCTCGCGCCTCTGCGCCCAAAGCCTCAAGTCGCCAGCGTCCAAGAGATCTTGCTTCGTCGATCGCCAGCAATCTCGCATCTGCGCGAGGAATCCCAGGAGGCCAGCATCGTAGAGGTGCACCCGTGTCTCCTACTGTTACCACTCACAATGTTGCTGGGAACGCGTCGTCCACTCGAGGGAAACAGAAGAGAAGGGACTTGTCACCCTCCTCGGCCGTGGTAGCAACTCGAAGGCAGCTAAGAGGCGGCGAAGATCTCGACATACCAAAACCTATTGTCTCTAGTGCGCAGAATACAATCCATGGCGGGGGTTATGATGGCCTGTCATCGCAGCGGGATACAGCCTTTCATCGTTTCTACACCAACTTTGAAGGCTACTTCTCAAGTCTTACCGCCCCTCTGGTATTCGCCGGATTCCCCTTGAGTGGAACGACAAGTGGTCCGACGCCAAAGGGCGATCCGGTGACTCTTCACAAGGGGAAGTATTCCGAATCCACTACCAAAACTGATGAACCTGATATCACTAATATATTCTCTCGTGCTACACTCCGAGCCGTACAAGGCGCCCCCGGGAATGGCACTGCAGCAGAATCCTTCTATCACGTCCCTACATCTGGTGGTACAACATCATATGCGCAGATGTTACGGCAAGATAGAAGTGCTGCGGAGCCTCGTGCTTCTGCATCTACTGACCACGACGAGTTTGTAGATGCATCTGAGACACCATACCCCCCCTCACCGCAACACTCCAGACATGGAGCAAGACTCTCGTCAAGCATCCTTCGAAATACTCCGCTGGCTGGCGGTAGGAATATACGCGGGAAGACTCAGGAAGAACTAGAGCTCGAGACTAAGCAACAACGAGAGATTATCGACAACCTTAGCAAACGACTTCTCCTGTTTGAAACACACTCGCAGTCACAACGTTTAGCACTCGCACAGTCAATGCACTCTCAGCGTCCACCGTCACGTTCGGGAGACAAACGTGATGCTACAGCAGATGTTCCCCCTGTGCCGCCTCTTCCAAAAGCTGTCGAAAGCCCGTACATCGACACTGATGCTTCGACAAAACCTAGTGTGGTAGACTCTCAGGTTGACGAGCTGCAGGCTTCCATCGTGGCTTTGCAACGAGAGAACGCAAGGCTGGCTAGGGAAAGCGAGAAACGCGCGGCTGTCATCACTCAGTACAGACAGAAGTGGGAGGGCTTAAAGTCTGCTGCGCGGAAGCGACAGAGGGAGTCAACAGCAATGGACCAAAGTACTTCAGTCAAGGACTTGAAGACCAATCCGCACACATGATATTGATAGTTCCCTTTACTTTTTCATCGGTTGATATACACCTAATGATTACGTGATATATGTCTTTATCAAGTCAAGTACCACACGTACGTGGCGCTAGAAAGCCCCGCCACGATGGATAACATCGCAGTTAGATTGTCTAGCAGAACTCATGTGATTACCTCTTAAAACTCTCCCATGGCCATATTTCAGTCAGGCGACGAACCTAGGTAGCTCTCAACTGTCACCCTCCCACCTTGCTTGGCGGCCCGTGTGAAGTGCCCCGCACAGTAGTGGCTAGGCACCTGCACTTCTGGGACCTGACATGGATGACTGCGTGATACATTGGTATAATCCAACACCACCACCACATCCCCTAACCTGCAAATCTACTCGTTTTTCGTTTTAAAGTACACAAGGATCATACTACTGCAAGGACTACACGACTTCAACAGAACAAGACCCAATATGGCTGCTTACGCCTATGCACGATCGCTCGCTGACAAGCTTCGCGAAACGTACGCATTCACCGCACATACCTCCACATTTCGTGACACTGGTAAAATCACATATGAAGAGTTCGTGGCTGCTGGAGACTTTCTGGTCTACAAGTTTCCTTCCTGGGCTTGGTCGAAGTCGCCTTCGTCTAAGCGTGACGATAAACTTCCGGAAGACAAGCAATTTTTGGTCACAAGAGGACTGCCGTGCCATCGGAGAGCCGCAGATCTAGCTGGCCATGCGGGCAACGATGAGACCGTAGTTGGAGATGGTCTGGGTGGTGTTGATGGCGATGGGGATGGTTGGCTGAGGACAGGTGGCATGGGAGACAGTGAGGTGCGCAAAGTGGGAGAGGTCAGGACGATGGACGACACTGGCAAGGTCGAAGATCACGTCGAAGAAGAGGAGATTCCGGACATGGAAGACGAAGACGACGACGCCGCCATCATCAGAGATACCAGAGAATCGTAAGGCTCTCCTGGCAATGGAACGTTACAATGCTGACATGACTTGTGTTACAGCTCGACCCGAACCTACAATCTTTACATCACATATTCGCGTTACTACCACACCCCTCGAACCTGGCTCTCCGGCTATTCGTCTTCTAACAAGCCTCTTGGTAAAGGTGAAATAGAAGAGGACATTATGGGCGACTACAGAAACAAGACTACTACCCCTGAAGACTTTCCATTCTTCGATAGCGTCAAGATGCTTTCCATACACCCATGCGAACACGCCAATGTCATGAAGGTGTTGCTAGACCGTGCAGACGCTGCACTCAAATCGAAATTAGCTAAAATGAAAAGAGGCGAAAGGCCAAAGGGGGAACATGGTCTCGAGGGACTCGTGGAAGACACCAAGAACCTGACCATCAAGGACAAGAGCAAAGGCCGTGAAGAAGGCGACGAATGGGAAATTCTACAAGCAGAGGGCGGGACTGAGGAAGATGAAGATGAGGTCGCGATCCGTGTTGATCAATACCTCATTGTCTTCCTCAAGCTTATGGCCAGGTTCGCATATTCCTCAATTGAGAGGAGACTGCCAGCTAACATAGTGTCAAGTGTCACTCCAACCATCGAGCATGACTTCACCATGGCCGTGTGATAAAGGACAGAGCGACCCCCAAGGTGGTTGATGAGGTTTGTTCTTCTATGGCATGTCAAGCGTGATGTAAGCGTTTACGTGAATGTAGATCAGAGGACCAAGATCAAATAAATATCAAACAATGGACAACATGCTTTGGCACCTGTATGGAGAAGCTGCTTCTGGCAAAGGCGTGTGAGATTAAGGCTGCAAGCTGCCATCTAAGGTACGTTCTCCCTAGGTACCATGCACCTGTAGGCCGGGATCGGTGCCTCCCTGCCTGTGGTTAATTATGTACCTAGGAAGGTAGTAAACTAATTAGTTGTAGTACAGGTGCATCAATAATAATGAATCCATTCCAAATTAGCGCTTTAGCGAACTTAATATAAACACGTGATTCACCCACACTCTAGACATGCATCGAAACTTAAACATCTGAGAACAAAGTAGTATTGTTCCCCTGTGCAACCAAGATTCCCCAAGGGTATGAACGAACAAGTACTCGACGAACAGGTGCGGTTGCGGTGTCAGATACGGCGGACTATTGCACAATGATACGCGATCTCACAACATTGCTCTGGAACGAGCTTCAAAGTAAGTCTCAAAGCCTGATACCAACAGAGATAGACCGGCAGTATGTGTTCGATGAAAGAAATTCTTGGCAGCTTTCCAGTCGCCGACAATGACTTCGAGTTTCTCTTACAGAACACAGATTCCCCGTTAACCTCTCGGAAGCATTGTGTCGCGGCATCGACAAAAAAGAAGAGACGAAGCGTCAGCGTGTCATTGCCAGAGCTATAGTCGGGGCGATCTCAACCGTCGACCATTTCAGGTATTCGGAACGTCAAGCGGTCCATGTGACCATGCCAGCGAGCAAGAAGGCATCAGATTCACATGCATCTATCGTGACTCGAAGCAGAACCGAGAGCGTATATCGAACCGTCAGGAGCGTGAGGATAGGTCTGGGGCGAGGGGTGAGGATGAGACGCATGAGATGCATGAGACGCATCCGTACACCTGTAGAAGAAATATCAAAATTAAATTTCTTGGTGCAAGCGGCCAATGTCTTAGCGACCTATCAGCATACACCTACCTCTTCATCGCAACACCACAGGCGGAGAGCTTGCTACTGTCGTGAATACAATATTATCCACGGATACAGCGCCGCCAAAAATTGGGGATGTAAAGAGAAACGCCAATACCACCACCTGTTGCAGCCGTAACGTCGCCGAAGTCTGTGCAGAAAAAGAATCGAAAGCTATCCGGCGTGCAGTCTGTGGCGGCGCATCTGACTGTGGTACCTGTCCCAAAACGCCCGACAAAGCAGAGGGTCGAGCTGTCCCTCGGTCTAGGGTGTGTGACGCGCAAGGTAAAGGTACGATTATTGCACATTCATGGCGCACTAGCACTCGCCTATTGATGCCTCATAGTGTGATGTACTCAAGCCAGACTGCACACGATGCATGAAGGGAAGCGAGTTCTGTCATTATCCGCATAGTAATGGTACCATGAAAGCGCTAACGATGACTGCCCTTACTTCGCTTCCCTGAGGGAAAGATCGATCTAACACAAACCTGGGTCGTGTTTACTCCCGATTCCATCGTGAAGTAGAGCAAAACCATGATGGAAGAGTAGCGATATTGATGTGAAATTTGAGGCGCAGGCTCATACGACGTTGTAGGATTTGGGCATTAAAACAATGACGATATCCATAGACGGATGTAAGTAATATTTGTCGATCTTAGTGGCTGGTCCGCTACTGCTCACCTGCAATACTGAAGGCTTTATAGATACTATGATCGTAGGATTGGTGGTATTATGGACCTTAGCGAGTCACAACTTCGCACCAAAGAAATTACCCCAACAAAATAGGTCGAGCAGCCTTAGACTACACATTCGAGTAGAGCTTTCGACTGTTCCTCTCCATGAGTACTCCGGTAGCCAGATATAAGCACATACACATGCATATACATATACATATCGACGGCAACAATGCAATTCGGATCTCCACCTCTCACTGGTCTCTGTTTAATTCACTCACAATGGATCGAACCATCTAACCTGTCGCACTGTCGTTTCCCGGATCTTCCGGTACGAGAGTGATGGGATATAGCTGCAATCTGACCTTATATCACATACGAACAGGGATCCAGGGTTTCTGTGAGATTAGACAATCTTGTGCTACCTCAGATGATACCTACACGCTGATTGGCTGTGAGAGCTGACATGCAGACAGTCTAGAAAACAAAAGAAGCTTTATGATATCTTAGGCGGGAGGTCGGGTGTACTGACATGACATCCATGTACCGATCGTTCGCATGTATCAACACTAATCAATTATACGGCATCGCATACATCCATCCAAGCAAGCAGTCGCACCCGACCCCTGGCTATCCATGCTTACTTATCCACTGCCGACGGTGGTAAGTGCATGGGAGTACCTCTCGCGCGTAAGAATCCAAATCAAGCCAAACCGTGTTGAGTCTTGACGATCGACATGCGCTCGAATGATCATGCGCACTGTAAAATTAATGCTTAGATCAGTCTTTGATTCTATGATACAATCTGCCAACTGCCACCAGCCGCCTTACAGCAGGATCTTGGGCAGCTATGCAGCTGCCGTGCGAGTCCACCATCATCTGACTATGGGAACTGCGAGAGTGGTTACTTGGCACCGCTAAAAGTCGGGAAGAAAGCCATTAAAGAGTGCGGGGAAAGAAGAGAAGAAGATTGTATGCCCATCCACCTGGAAATGGGCTTACGACTCTTAATATCGCCTCTGGCATGGTGAATGTTAATGGGAATTGAAGCAGGGGTCCCAGTATCATCCATTTGGTTCACGACAACAACGACGATCCAGCAAAGTAAGAGCTTAAACCCGAAGCCTAAATTACAGCCACTGCAAGACAGTGGCCGAAACAGACACACATCATTGATAAAGTTGTAATAGCACTTAGTTTGCTACATCATCACAAAGTGTGGACGTCGACCACAATCCATCCATCTATGGCGACTGATTGGGCTCGATCGTTCCACCCTTGTATGCACTTCGACTTCCGTGAAAGCGACCCTGGCTTTCCGGCCCGCCAATCCATCTCTCTGATCCATGTGTGCCTCTTCCCATTGCACACTTTCTGGCCATGCCGTACCCACATGAACATGCTGTACAAGCACATTGTCACATTGGCTGAACATCTATTGCTGGTCACCTGCTTTTGTTTTAAGACAAACTTTCATTCTTGGCAGAGCATGAATTGCATGAGCCAAGCGACATGAGGTCTTGTGTATAAGGGGCATTTAAGAGGATGGATATTCCTACATCACAACTTGACATGACCGCTGCTCATCCTGGCGACTCTCCACCTACGATATGTGGCAAAGGGTAGTCCCGCTGCTGGCTCTTGCCACGCTGTCACAGGCTCTCGACTGGGACGCTGCATACGCGAAAGCAAACGCTGCCCTCACGAAGCTCACACAAGATGAGAAGCTTGCCATAGTCACAGGCGTCGGTTGGACTAAAGGTCCCTGCGTCGGCAACACCGGAAGCGTAAACTCCATCGGATATCCATCTCTTTGTCTGCAGGATGGCCCACTTGGCATCCGTTTTGTCGAAAAGGTCACGGCTTTCCCTGCCGGTGTCAATGCAGCCTCGACCTGGGACGTCGACTTGATTCATGAGCGAGGCGTGGCGCTCGGGGCCGAGTCAAAGGCTCTGGGGATCAATGTCCACCTCGGTCCTGTGGCCGGAGCTCTGGGTAAGATCCCATTCGGAGGGCGTAACTGGGAGGGATTCTCGCCGGACCCGTACTTTGCGGGCATCGCCATGGCCGAGACGATCAAGGGAATGCAGGAGTCGGGCGTCCAGGCGTGTGCTAAGCACTTCCTCCTGAATGAGCAAGAGAAGAATAGGGAGACAATGGACACGAGTGTAGACGACCGGACGTTGCATGAATTGTATCTCTGGCCGTTTGCAGATGCCGTCCATGCCGGCGTTGCGACCGTCATGTGTTCGTACAACAAGTTCAAGACCTTCTGGGCGTGCGAGAGTGAGGAACTGCTGAACCACACCTTGAAAGGCGAGCTTGGGTTCCGTGGTACCGTCATCAGTGACTGGAATGCACAGCACTCAACCGCGCTGAGTGCCAACACTGGCCTAGACATGACCATGCCGGGCACCGACTTTAACAATCCACCCGGCAGCGTCTACTGGGGCGTAAAGCTAGGGCAAGCCATTACGACTGGTGAGGTACCGCAATCAAGGCTCGACGATATGGTGAGGAGGAATCTGGCTGGTTGGTATGGGCTTGGTCAGGACAAGAACTATCCTCCAGTGACCTGGAACTCCTTTAACAACACTGGTGGAGGTCCGAACGTACAGGGTGACCACAAGAGAATCGCTCGCACCATTGCTAGGGATTCAATAGTCCTGCTGAAAAACATAAACAACACCCTTCCGCTAATAAAACCAAAGAGCCTGGCCATAGTCGGCCAAGATGCTATTGTGAACCCGGCTGGTGCAAATGCCTGCGCTGACCGTGGATGTAACATTGGTCATCTAGCCATGGGTTGGGGATCTGGCACGGCACAATTTCCCGTGAGTGTACCCCTTTGAATGTCGCGCCGTCATCTAACAGCCTACACAGTATCTCATCGCCCCTCTCGACGCTATTAGACCCCAAGCCATCGCCGACAATACAACACTTGCAACCAGTACGAGCGACGACCCTGATGCCGGTGCCAACGCCGCCCGAGATACTGAGTTTGCTCTCGTCTTTATAACCTCCGATTCGGGCGAAGGCTACATCACCGTCGAAGGTAACCAAGGCGACCGCCTTACACTCGACCCCTGGCACGACTGTAACGACCTTGTTGAGGCCGTCGCGGCTGTGAATAAGAAGACCATCGTCGTCGTCAACAGCGTCGGTCCAATCATCCTCGAGACAATCCTTGCCCAGCCCAATGTCCTCGCCATTGTATGGGCTGGCATCGCAGGCCAGGAAAGCGGAAACGCCCTGGTCGACGTGCTATACGGCGGCACGTCGCCCAGCGGCAAACTCCCATATACAATAGCCAGACGCGCCGCGGACTACGGCACCACTATTTTGCCTGGCACAGATACGTTCGACGAAGGCCTCTTTGTGGATTACCGCCATTTCGACAAAGCCGCCATCGAGCCCCGCTATGAATTCGGCTTCGGTCTTTGTACGTCTTGATTCCCCTTCGTCTTTCTGCAACAAGCCCTGCGACTCACTGTTTAATTCCACTAACACATGTCTCCCCTGATAGCATACAGCAAATTCACATACTCTACCCTCATCCTCGATCTTGACACGACTCCCGGACCCGCGCCAGGCCCAACCGGCCCCGGCGGGCCCCTCTCGCTCTTCAGTTCCATCGGCCACATCAGCGCAACGATCACAAACACTGGCCGTGTCGCCGCCGCCGAGGTCGCCCAGCTCTACATCACACTGCCAGCGTCCACATCAGCCGGGGAGGGAGACATACCCGTGCGGCAGTTGCGCGGCTTTGCAAAAATCAGCCTTGCACCCGGCGAGAGTGGGGTTGTGAGTTTTGTGCTAAGACGGAGGGATGTCAGTTATTGGGAGGCGACCAGTATGGAATGGGTTGTACCTCGGGGGGTATTTGGAGTAGTAGTTGGAGCGAGTTCGAGGGATCTGAGGTTGGAGGGTAGATTTTCAGTCGATGCGTAGGTAGGAATGAAAAAAATAGACTGGACTTCATAATTAATTATTCCTAGCTCTACTCTTACATAGTATAGAAGATAATCTAGAATCTCTGTTATACTATTCTTATTCATAAGATAACTTTGTCATATCTAGCTCATGTGAATTGTAACTATTATACCTGGTATATAGTATAGTATTACACTCTACTTCAATCTAACTTATTAGATATATATATCTAAAACCATATGTCTCTCTAAGAATACCCTAGAGAACTCTAGTTACTTAAACTTTATAACCTAGTAGAGAGGAATACGTAAGTATAAATTTATATATGTTTTGCGGGCGGGGCGCTTATCTCTTCCTCGCTACTCTTTATCTTTAAGTATAGATAGATATTCTCTTCGTGAAATGTATATCTTTTAAGTATAATAATAACTAAATACCGAATTTTCCTCTTTAGGACCTTAGGACCATTAACCCTACTCGGTTATCTCTCCTAATAGGACTAAGCTTGTAACCATGCTTAAAAAATAGTACCATGGCGCAAAAGTATATAGTGCTATCTACGTTAAGGATCGTATACTTATAATCTTTCTAATAGATATTTACCTATCTAAACGCCGGCTTATTGTTACCTAAGGAGAACGGGTGCGCCTATAGTAATAGTTGTAGTAAGCCATGGCTTTAATAACTATTTATAGAATCTATAAGAAACGTTAGGCCGAGATACCTAGTCCGCATAGATTGTATAATCGAAGGAACTCGGTCTAAGTAACATAACGTAATGGCTGTCCGGTATCTAGGCACGTTTAATAGGGCCTAGATAGAACGTATTATATAAGTAGTTCCTTCCCTTCTATCGTCGTAGCTCGGTTTACCTTTAGTTATTAAATAATTCTAAAGGTCTTTATATATTATAGAATCTACGTCCCGCTAGGAGTTTTGGGGATATACTCGCGGATTATCCGGCTAGGGCCTCTAACGCTCCTTATTATCGTAGTAGATACGAACCTCTACTTATTAGAAGAGAGCGGGTTAAGTATTTTCTATAACTCTTAGTAGGGCTCCTATCCCGCTTACTCCGTTAATATCTAGAGGCTTATAAATATTATAGAATGGGGTTCTAAGATATAGATAGAGGATCTCAGGTTCTCGTAGATATTCTCCGCCTAGTATAGCCATTTGTAAAGCCTCGGCCATCGCGTCCTAGAGGATTGGGAGTAGTCTAGGAATTCGTGTACATAATAAATGAAAACCGAACGTATTAGCTATAGAGGCCTCGAATAGAAGTAAGGTTCTAAACAATAGAAGATGTAAGAGTATAACGAAACAGACATAGAGCGTTAGAAAAGTACTATATATAAGTACTTATACGACGAACATCTCTTCTAATATATATTACTCTAAACTTAAACCTTATATACTCTCTAGTACGAAAGTCCCGTATAAGTCCCCGTACGCTAATAGATTTTTACTATTAAGTATACGACCTTTACTATATATAGTAATCCAAGTAACATAGTAAATAACTTAAGCTTTTAAATAGAAAAAGCGCGTAGAGTAAGTAATATTTCATTAATAAATACACCCTAGCGTACGTTATAATTACAGCCTACCTAGCTATGTAGCATGGCCTAAATCTACCTATGCGATATACCTATACTATAGTAAAAAAGCGTGTGTATTACGCGTGTGACACGTACTAAGAGTTACGCCGAAAAAGTTACGGATAGATATAGATAAGGACCCTATAGCGTCGATATATGTAAAGAGTAAAGACGTAGAATAGTAGTCTAACAGTTCATAGAGAGACATAGGAATATATTTATAGAGTAATCTTACTCTTATACGAGGTTGATTCCTAACGAGTAGAAATTAGTTTATACGGTCTACTTATATAGTAACCTTACTTAACTTAGCTGACTTAACCTAGCTCTAGCCACTACGTGGCTATATGGATTAGAATAGTCCATATAGGTCTATTATAGTTCCCGTCCTAATAATATCCTTCTTCTTTTTATGCTTCGCCCCGAAGTACTTAAGTATATATAATTCTAAGTCTCTATAATCTATCGTGTACCTATATATCCGTAACTAAGTTTCTATAACGTTATAACCATCCTTAATATAGGTAAACTCGAGATTCTAGTTTACTTTTACTAGTTTATGCACGCGCTTATCCCTTACTTCGTGGCTACTACCTAGGATATATAATTACTACTTTAGTTAAGTATATATTTAGCTTCGCTCGCCTTTAATTTTATTCTCTAGTATATCTACCTCGCTCTTAAGGTAAGTCGTTAATTTATATACTATCTTCCCTAGTTTAGGTTTAGAAGGGTCTATAGTAGTCTATTCTTATTAGAACCGGTCCTATATAACCTATTCGCATTATTATAGTTACTAATTTAGCTTCGTTAATCGCCGTTAAGGGTAGACGAATATTCCTTCCTTAGATCTCTAGCTAATATATATATATAGATATCTAATACTAGTCCTATCTCTAAGCCTACCTTCTTCTCTCGTAAGACTCGCTCTAAAGGTATCGCCTTCTCCCTAGCCACGCCGGCTAAGAAGCCCACCTATTACGGTAGTATAAAGGCGCGCTCTAAGTCGGAGAAGAGAGTAGCTAGGGCTACTACTACTACTGCCTCTACTACTAATATAGCTACTAGTCGCTCTAATCTAGGTAATTCTAGTACTAAACTTATGGATAAAGTGGTCGTAGGTTCTCCTCTCGCTCTAAAGCGTACGCCGTCTACTCTACCTTCTCTAGAGGATAAAGAAGATCTCGTTATAGATAATAATCGCGAGCCCTTACGCTTACCTACGCCGCCGTCTTACCGCTCTTCCTTCCGGTCTAATATAGACTGATTTAGTTACTCTAGGTCCTTTTAGGACCTTAATATTCGCTCTAAACCCTAGTCTACTAATAATAAGGCCTAGGTCGCCGAGGATACTAAACGTAGTTACGGTTTACGCTATAGAAAAACGGCGAACTACGGTTTAATATACTATAAGTATATTAAGGGCTATACGGCCGGCTCTAAATATCTCTTTCGCTCTAACTCTAGTATTAGCTACTACTCTACTAACCGCGACGGGCCTATACGCCCTATCTTTACTCTACCTACCCGCTACCGCCGCTATACCATAACTAGTAAGACTTATCTATAGGTGAGTATAATAGGCTATCTTAATCTAGTATAATCTAAAGTAGTCCGCGCTAATACATTCTTAGGTTCCTATGTATATATAAGATATATATAACGACCTTCGCGTCCGCGAGACCCTTAGGGGTCCTTATAGCCGCCTACCTACTATATAGAGGGAGTTTAGGGAGCGCTATAAGCTCTTCCTAGAGGTTATTAAAGTATAAGTTACGAGCACGTTAATTATTTTTAACATCTATTAATTTTTCTAGCCGCCGCGAGATCCCTAGCGCCTAGATAGTCTATTCTAGAGAGTCTATTCTAGCTATAGAGGCCGTAGAGAGGATTCGCTCTATCCCTCTCTATCTATCTCGCGCTACTAATAGATCTTATAAGAGGTCTACTATTTCTCCCTCTAAGTCGCCTCATAAGAGGGTATATATTCCCTTCTAGATTATTCTAGATCGTATTAGCTAACTTTAGACCTAGTCGCTACGCTCCGGCGCTTAAGGCTCTTCCCTCTAGGCTCTAACGGATTAGGTTATTACTCTAGAGGCTAAGGTCGTCGTCCTCCGCCGCTATATCGTACGGTTAGAGAGAACTATACTAGAGGTTAGGATAGATAATAAGATAGAGGAGTAGCTCTATGGTTCTGGCTCTATGGGTTTGGCTCTATGCCTAGCTCTATATGTTAGCTCTATGCCTAGCTCTATATGTTCTAGATCTACTATAGGTGGTGCGCGCCGGCTCTATTTACCTAGCTTTTATCCGTTTTAGTTCTTTTTAGACCGTTTAGATACCCGTCGGCCAGTTTCTAGTAATTTAATTCTTAACTTAACGATATTATATATGCGCTCGCTTAGCTTATAACTATTAGTTTCTATATTCTAATTTTCCTTAAGTCACCTAAGTATAGGCACCGTATATAAATTAGTTTATCTCTATGAATTCTATTAGAGTACCCGAACTAGTAGCCTAGTAGTTATTGGTTCGGGTACTCTAACCTTTTATATTTCGTGTTAAGAGTTTAATTCTATAGTAGGGTACCTTTTTTTAGGTTCTTAGTCCTATGTTTTTCTCGTGTATAATGGTCTATGTTAGTCTATTCTAGACTCTTCTATATTATTCTATTATAGTATATCGCGTCGCGTTCCTAAAATAGTTATTTATACTTTCTTTGCGTCTAGTAACCGTGTAACGCTTAAATTATAGGGCTACTATATAGAGTTTTCCTAGTGCGCGTCTAGATTTCCTAGTTTAGTACTTCGTTCTCTACGGTATCCTTCTTCTTTTTACGATAACCGCGATGTCGCTATACTTATATTAATAATATACTATTCTATATCTTTTACTTATACGTAGCCATTATAGAACTTAAGATATATACTACTGGTTTCTAGGTGTCCTCGTCCTTAGTATAGTCCTTCTAACGGATTCTATATTTCTAAATACTATCTTTATTAATTCTATATTCGATAATATAGTCCACTTCGAATACGTCTAGTCTATCTTAGGGTATAATAGAGTGTAACTACACGTTCGTACGGCTATACACGTTAGGTCGAAATCTTTCGAGTAGTAAGACGTGGAACACGTTATAGATTCTTATATCACTTCCTAAGTCGAGCTCGTAGACTCTTATACTAATACGACGTTTAATTCGGAAGGGACTAGCCATTTTATAATTAAGCTTCTTATTTACTCGCGATGTTCGTATGTTACAGACGTTAAGAAGGACCTTGTTACCCTCCTTATACGTCTAATCCTTAGCTAACCTATTATAGTACTTCGTATATAAGTCGTTTACTTATTAGATTATAGCGCGATAGTTACGTACGGTTTCAAAGATTTTAATCACTAATTCCTAAGCGT